TGGGATAGAATAGACAGCAGCTGTAATCTGTACTTGTCTCAGAGTGTACCTGAAGTGAATGGGGCAGCTAGAGACGATACAGCTGGTGTAATAGTGTTGTTGCAGTTGTTATTACACATACGGAGCATGGATATATAGGGTACCGTACATTACTAACGTATCCCAGCTTGCCGCATGCTCGCTCTGAGGTGAGCTACGGAGTGATACTGGTTACGGATTTGGTACCTTCCAACGTACTCTAACGTACAAGTGCATTCTGGAAAACACAGAAGAGACGCAAGGAATGGCTTGTAAGCGAGTGCGATAGCTACGGTGAGTCGTTTTGTTCCGCAGTGGTCCGTAATGGGACCCAATGGCATATTATTTTAGCGCCGTCAAAAACGGAAAACGGAACAGCATAGCAAGACGGGAGAGTAACCAGCTGGACATGTAATAAGGGCAAATTAACAGAGTCACAGTACAGCTTTGCCTGGAGCCCAGGCGCCAGTAAGCAGCATCAGACCAGTCATAACCAGCTGCCAACAGCGTGGCAGGTGACTTGTACCCGCTCTTGCCCGCTACAACGACGCTGTCGACACAGCTGAAGGTGCTTCTCCACTTTTGCAGCATAAGTTCTATCCTTTCCTCCCTCCTTACTTCCCGCATAATACGGAGATAATTTTCCAAGCACGGTAATAATGGCACTAGAGCAAAGGCTTTGTCGATTGCGGTAATGGAAGCTAGTACACAGCATCGCAGGATCAAGGACGCAGGACGCAGGGCCACGCCGTGGTCTATACCGAGTATGCGTATAGCGTATGTATGCTTGTTTGCCTGAAGTAATTATATGCTGTAGATCTCGGTAGTAGCGTAGCCTCTACAGGTATGACATCAGCTGTATATTACTCTGCACATAGCGTGGCTATTGTAAGTCGCATAAGAATTCTACGGGAACTCGTAGCTGTAAAGTACTATTAATATTATTACTAGCATAGATGAGAGCGGTGAATGAAAGTGATGCAAGACTTTGGCATGGCCAAACAGGCTAGAGATACCGAGTAGATGGTGTGGGTTTGTTAGAATGTCTCACTCGACCCCCCAGCTGGGCTGCCATGCCATGCCTCATGGATGGGCTGGAGGGTTTCACTAATCTGGCATGGGCCGCATGACAGGAGTATCTGTACGAGTACGAGAGTACTGCTGAGGACACTATTAAAAGCTGTGCGCTCGTTGGAAACGTCGCTCTCTTTTCCTGTGGCAGCTGTGCACGTAAAGTGATAGAAAATAGAGCGTACTCGTATATGCTCACAATGGTAACTTGGATAAATGGCAAGTTGGCGTGTGAATTAGCATCCATCTCAGCACTACGTGTAATAGACCGTTTTCGTCATCTGTTGTGAAATATCTGCTAACGCCTCCCGCCCGTCGCTCTCGCCGTCGGCCAACAGATGGGGGCCGGAAACAAGGGACACATTAATTAAAATAGACAAAAACGCCTGTGCCACGGCCGGCGCGACAGCCACTACGAGTACGAGTACAAGTCTACAAGTACAAGCTGTACGTCACACTCACACGATATGCACATACGACTAAACCAGTCTAAGTATTTTGACCCGCTTCTTCTTCGCGATATCTCGAAGAATTCCTAAGTACCTCAACCAACTTCAACCGGCAAAAAAATGCAGGTTAGAATTTCAGTAGGGGTTCGTAAGGGTTCGAGTAGGATTCGACTTGGGATCAGGGTTAGTATACGTATCCTTTTACCAATGGAATAAAAGGTGGGATAGTAAAGATACGTGATCGAAGAAGGGCTTATATATCTATTCATGCTTATTATTATCTCATACTGTTCGGGCGTGGATGTAGCTTTATTACAGAGTACGTACTGTTAGCAGTATATGTAGCACTCTTTCGCACTCCAGCTGTATTTCTGTCCATACGGCGGGTTGTCCTTTAGTATTAGGTACCCACTATCTAGAGCGACCATTGTGCCCCGAGCATGGAGGGCTGTTAATGACTGGAAAAATTGATGGATGATTAATATTGGCCATGACACACAACCATGAACATGTGAGCTGTGCCCCAGACAGGGGTCATGTCGATGGAAGACTCATAAGGACTCACAGATGCATGCAAGATTCGCGGGGGTGCATATGTGAGTGTGCTATACTGTCAAGAGAGTTGGCGTTAAAGGATGTTAGTCGCTATGTATTACTCGCCGTGGATTGGAGGGAGGGCAATGCAGTATCTGACGGTGCGTTGCATCGTGATGCAATCACGTTGGTAAAAGTGTGAGTTGTGGTGTTTTACCGTTGAAAATAAATGGAATGTGCACTTGTGGCTAGCATGAGCTTACTACGACGCACCACAAATGACTAGATGGACAGGGAATTTGCAGCAGTACCTCTACATATACTACGCTATAAGCCCCGAGCCACTGCAGCGGGAGCGACGGAGCCCCCGCCAGTTGGGCATCAGCGGGCAGGTGGCGGGAGGTGACGCGAGGGGGGAGGGGGGCGGCTGGCATTGGAACCGCGGAATCGATACTAATTGATCGATACAATCTCTGAAGCAGTCGAGATAGTGGAAAGACATGGAGGATGGAGCAATATCGAAATGCTCTAGACGATACTAATAAACGTGCATACGATCAAGCTGTATACCTGTCCTATGGGATAGATCTAGGCAAGAACTATTGTTAGATCGAAGTCATGCAATTCCATCCACGCCTCCGTTTTTTCCTTCCTTCTTCTTTTTCCAACAGTAGATAGAGCCGCTGTACTGACGGATATACGAGCACTCGCACGTACAGAAGCTGTACGAGTACTGTAGTCTGTACAGGCGAGCCCCAGTCCAGTCCAGCTGGATTGAGGCTGCTGACTCGCTTCCCCACCAGCCCCACCCCCGACCAACAGGAACACAACTCTTCTGCAGGGTCGGCGCAGCTGAAAAGACAATCCCGCCCCATGACCCATGGCCTTCAAGCTGAATCCGAACCGTTCAAGACGTTACTTGACAGACGCCCCCCCCCCCTCTCTGTCATACACTATACCTAATAATTTGTAATACTATGCTCTGGTACTGCTGGCACTGGCAGAACTACTACAGTAGTATGGATGCAACCTTCCAGCTCACACGCCCCCCACCATCTTCCATGACTGTTGCAGAGTTTGTGGCCTGTACAACATGCTTTTACCACCCGTTCGATCAACAAGCCTATGGCATATATCACATTGCTCATATATCCTGATCATGGCCCTGGCCGAATCAGAAATTGCCCACTACATTTCTTTCAAGATTTTTCGAGATTTTTTCAAATCCCTACTCTACTCGCCCTTAATCAATTGCTCTGCTGCATTCTTTTACACCCTCCTCCATACACATACACCCTCCTTCATCATTTTCATCGTCGTCGTCGCACATATACACACGCCCCTCCTTCTCCACCACCTGGACACCAGATCTACCACTACTGCCGCTAAAGGCCACTCCACGTCCCTCGTTTACGCTGTGCTTTTTTGCCTCTACAGTCAACGTTGTATCGTGCCCCTCTCGAAATAGCACTACACACTCTCTCTCCCTCTCTCCCTCATCTTTACTCAAAAACAGAAACACCCTGGTCTATATCATCTCCTTTCTTCATCCACACCCTCCCCCTCCTCACCCCTCTATTTCGCCCCTCACACCACATCCTGGCACCGTCGTTTCTGTCCAACCCTGGTTTATAACAAGACCGTCCCTGCCACTTCCCGTAGATATCTCGTTCTGTCATCTTTTGTCATTCATCTCCATCACTCGACTTAGACTGCTCTGCCATCACGGCAAGCCAAACAAATACTACGACAACTTATTCGACTACTCTTCTACTCTTACAAGGCCATCGTCGTCTACACCATCTATATCATCGCCTATATCGCCGCCCCATGGAGCATACTTGATCTCGACCTCAGCGACATCTTAAGCAAGTCCATTGATACACAACCGTTGAACGTACAACAGCCATTGTGTCTATCAAAGCATGCCCTCAGCTCCCATCAGTGCAAACATCAACAGCAGCAACCATATTCCCTCTCTCTACAACTCAAGGGCTCAATCCACCCTAACTGGATCATCTCTCTTCGCCCTCCTTGTCCTCTTACGCGTCTGCGTCCGTCGCGCCGCCAGCAGATTCTCTACCAACATCACGGATCAGCAGCAACAGCATCCCAAGCCTACGAGGCCATCGAACGAGGACGACATCCCGTCGACCCCTCCTCCTCCCTACCAGCAACACAACCCCCTACCGACAACATTCGCAATGAGCGACAAGAGCTACCGCAACATGATCCCCCCTCCGCCCCCCATTCCCGGCCACCACCAACCCCACTACATACTCGCATCGCGGCTTCCTCCCGCGCCTCCGTTGACCCCTCCGGAGTTGAGCAACAGCATCTTTTCCATTGACGAGCGCCTCCAGCAGCAGCACGACAACTTCATGCGCCAGCCCAATCCTGACTACGCTGCCAACCCCATGGCCGACTCGCGCTACGACACCGACTCAGAGCCCGAGCCCAAGCACGAGCCCGAACACAGGCACTGCGCTACCCCGCCCACCCAGCCGCGCCGACTGTTGTACAACAAGACCATTCCCGTCGGCTCGCCCGCCCAGCGTCCTGCCGCCCCTTCGTCGTACCCGGGCTTCTTCTCAGCCTTTCGCGGATCGTACCCCCCTGCCAATGCCAACACCGTGTCGCGCGGCGGTCCCGACGGCGGTCTCGCCGATGGTCCCAGGGAGATTAACGTCCATGGCGAAATCATCTCGATGCTCGACAAGAACGGTACCGGATGGACAAGACACACCCGCGTCTACGGTGGTGGTGGCTGCAACACCTTTCCTCCTACTCCTGAACCCAGCTTCTACGCTCCTTTCCCAGAAGAGACGCGGTAAAACTTGATACCGTCTCTTTTTTTCTTTTTACTTTTTTCTCCCTTTTCTCAAGACTTTCACATATCTAGAGATATACGTGGCTTTTTTGGCCCGCGAGGGCCCGGGGTTTCAGGAACACGGCTGGAAGCATATGATATGAGGTTATGACTCGAACGACTATTTTTCCCTTTTTCTTGTTACTACGCTTTCCTTTTTACATTTACTACATATTTCCTATGTTACACGGCAAACAATCAACACCTCACCTGAGGTTCACGTCTTTGTCACTGGAGGTTCATACACATAGATTACTGGATGGGTTTCATTACAGCATTTTCGATTCATATACATATATACCACGGGAATATGGGCGCCACATAATACACATCTTGCAACTCTCTCATCATCAACTCATCTATCTATTCGAAAATCCTTCACATCCTTTGTTTACCGTTGTCCAATATTCTCTAATATTGGCACTAAGGGAAAGCCGCCTCGTCTTGGCAGGCCCACGAGAAACGTGCTTTTCCACGAGATGTCAAATCAGAGGAGGTGTGCAGGAGTAAATGAATAATCACAATGAAATTCGGCTATGGGAACCATTCAGATCAGCTTCTCTTTTTTTCAGGCAGAAAGAGAAGTGAAGGCAAATAATGGCAACAATAAAGTAAAGGAAGAAGATTTTTTTGGCATTGCCATGACTATGGTTTAGGTAGTAAGTGTTGCATGTAGTAATAGTTTAAAAAACTTTTGATCCATATGTGGCGTGACGGTTTGCCACTTCTGGACCACTTCCCGAGACCTGGTCATACTGCTCAAGATGCTAGCTGGTTTTCCTGTATTCGGTGCTTTTTCTTTTTCGAAGTTTACAAGTTTGATGGGACCATTACACCTAGCTCTCTCTGTCTCTCTCTCCTGCTGTGTATGATCGTCCTGAATAAGTATCTAGAGCTGGGCTGAGTGTCGTCTTTGGTCTAGTCTGGACTTGTACACCCAGCATTCAGCTCCGCATACACAAGTCACAGGGTAATCATATATGCCTTTCACTTAGTCTAGAGAAATTAGAAGAAGACGTACAAAAAGAACCACACCAAGAGCTAACTACTTTGGTAGCATCGTCCATCGAATGGTCCTGGCCGCGACCCACTTTCTGTGATCCCGTGACCGCACTTCAATTCAATCCAGAACGTGGGACGAACAGACGCTAGGCGTAAAAATACATGATACGATAGTAAGTTTGTTTTGATGACATCGTAGTCTTCAAGCGCCTGCTGACGCGCTTTGCGCTTGTCAAAGGGTATAGCCACCCTGGCCTCGAATCGAGGTTGCCTGGCTGTCCGCCTGCGGGCCTAGCCGTGTGTTTTGCCCAGAGCCGAACAGTCGGTATTGTCAGCGACATCATTAAAATAGATATTAGCGGTTGATAAAAAGGCATGTATATTATATGTAAATATATATAAGAGATAGAAAAAGAATCGTGTACGTGATGACATGCAGACAACGCGGCAAATCAGCGAATCTCGTTCACTCTGCTTACCGCTGCAAGGGTCGTGCACGCACCATACAATTGTGATTCCTCTGCAGTGGTACCCGACTTGCATCATTGTGCTCTATCAGCTCCATAGAGTCGGCAAATGAGCTTGTGTGTGTGTGTTTTCGCATAGAGCAACCAACTCCCTATGGCCGTATATTGTGACCTGGCACGCTGCAGGTAAACGTGGTTGTTGATGTGGAGCGGTTCCTGGTGGGACTTGTCAAAAACAAGAGCACCATGCGGCCTGGTGGAGGCCAATTCGTTATACGAGGATTTTCGGTTGGATAGCAGTAAAACTCTTTCTCTCTTTTCAGTTGATCATTATAGTGCGCAATATCATTGAGACGTCAGGATAACGCAGTGATTTCGTATGGCCCTTGTGTATCGGGTAGGCCCTCTGCCTCGGGCGTATACTGTGGTGCGATATTACGAGTACTCGTACAGATTACAGGTGGGCATACGTGGATGTGTACGTAGGCGACTATAGTTTAGTACAAAGTTGACCGTTTGGTATTCTTTACATGTCAAGCTTGTCCGATATACTTTCAAAACACCAGGACGACAAAAGTAACACACACGTACCTGGGACTGAGAACAGAGGAAGGAGCTTACGTCGTCAAGGGGTGGACATGATCCATGGCATGATCGAATTATAAATTACTACTCTATGTACGACTACGAGTACGATGTCGGGGGAAAGGACAGGTTTCGAAGTTTCAAGAGTTTCACATTGGAAAAAGTGCTCGTACCGACTTTAAAAATAATAGTGGAAGGGGGGGGACTGGAAATTGCAACGACGTGCTTTAGCTTTTGTACGACCGTAGGGCGGTGCGAGGTCATCAAAAGGTTAAGATGTGACATGGGCCGTGCTGGTAGGGATCGGTGTAAGAAAGGTCACCCCTTAATGAAGGCTGTAACGTGACCCAGGGGCTGTGTCCCAGGACGAAACATGGACGGGCCCCCCTCAGGACGAGGATTGTTGCATGGAGTTGTCGCGTGAGGGAGACTTTTGTGAGTCTATGAGTGATTTGCTGTCAAGTTTCTCGTAGAAAAACTCACTTGTAGAGACTCACAACCCTCTAACTGTTCTGTGAGCGAACATACGGCGTACATGCCATCACTATTATAATACGCGGCACCTGGCCATAGGACCCTTTGACTGCAGGCCATGATTCGACGGCAACGAGGTGGCGCTTGGTCTCGTGGCGTTCTAGCAGTTGCGTACCAAATCCTGGTTACCCACACACACCATTACTTGTGGGATACGTATATCTTTATCCTGGCTATATGCGCCAGTGAAACCTGCCAAGTAGCTAACATGCTAAGTATTTGAATACCAATTTCTTGTGTGTGTGTGTGTGTGTGTGTGTGTGTGTGTGTGAGTATTAGTTACATTTAGTAGAGTAGTGTAGCTTGATATGTATTACTCGTACTTGTAGGTCCTCCGAGGAACGGCACCGCTGAACTAGAAGTCTCGACCGGCGCAGACGCTAGGCGGCCTGTCGGAATCCGAATAGAGAGAAGCGGTGAGGAACCGAAATACAAGAATATATTACAAGTCAGAAGGCCGTTTGTATTGATGAAGATTTTTGCTCTTGTCTTCTGTGTAAAAATAGGAAACTCGAATGAATGAATAAACGAGAGAGGGAAAGAAGGAGGGAGAGAGAGAGGGAGGGGGAGAGAGAGGGAAAGGGAGAGAAAGATAGAGAAAGAGAGAGAGAGAGATCCAATATTTCGTCGGCGCTTCCACAACCTCCATCACCCTGCATGTGACTGGAGGAGAGAGACCACAAGTTTAGGGAAATTCTGCCCCTGACTGGACCTCCTCTCCCCCCCTGGTACCTTGAAGAGGAAATACGTGGATATGATTGGCTTCCTTGTCTCTGACCCATGAACCTTCCCACCGCAGGGGTCTCACATACTCGTAATTCAAGTCTGGGACCGTCCGTCACCACCGTCGGGATGGGCTGGGGGAAGCGGGAAATGACTGAGGCGAGAAGCGAAGCGAGAACTTGTACGGAGTAATCTGTAGCCTGTAGGCAATAGTAAGATGTTAACAGTACGAGTACGGATACAGATAGCGGCATCTCTTGATCCGAGGCACACAGACACACACACACACGCAAACGCAAAGACATGGGGAGACCCCATTGACGATCAAGGGTCTCTTGCATCAGAATTTCAAGTAGAGACGGGGCTAGAACCCCCTGTGGCGGATTATCTGGTGGCTGTACAGATACTTGTATGGGGGAAGGACATGGTTCATGGCAGCGTTCTGAAGTGTAGGTGAATCGTGAATTCCTGAGCATAACGTCTTTTGTCTTTTTTACCAGTATGAGTACAGGGTACAGATCTCGACGATGATGGATAATACTCGTACATGATGTTGTATCCTTTCCCTTTCTCTTTATTGACTATTCTTTCTTTTGTGTACCAGTTTTGTGTAGCTCTAATAGAGTACTCCTACGTGTATTGCCATATCGCTACAGCGAACAAACCTTACTAATAGTCGTACACACCGTCAGCCCTGTGTATCGTTATTGGTCCACCTGACCTGCCCAGGCTATTACGACCTACAGGCTGCAGCTCCAGGGCCCGGGGACCCATCTCCAGGGCTCGTCAGGGCCTCCAATTCCCTACATGTAATATGTACGAGTAGGGTGTCATGCTCCAGTAATACGGTAGAGTCAATGGCATGGCCCGCTCCTTCCCTCCTCTCTTTCCTTCCCCTTCCTTGGGCCGCTCTTGCCTTTGCCGTGTTTGTGTGCCCCCCCGTACTCGTACGCTGTAGGGCCTCTCCCTAGGGCGTTCCCCCCCGGGCCAGGCCCCTCGCCTTTTTGCTGCTGACATGCTGCAATATGAGTAAAAGGCTCCAACCGCCAAAAAAACGCGTCCCACCACTCAGGCCATCGGAAATCCACCCTCCTCTATCCACTTTCCTCTCTCTCTCTCTCTCTCTCTCTCTCTCTCTTCTCCCTCTCTCTTTCTCCTTCTCTCTCTCTCCGTATTCTTCTTTCCTACTTTGATCTCCTTCCCTTCCATCTCCATCACCCTCTCTCCCTTCTACATCCTCCCGTCTCGTTCGCCAAACCTTCCCTTTTTTCCCTTCTTCCTTTTTTTGCTTCCACTCTCTTTCTCTCAAACATCTTTCATCCTTCCTTTGTGCGCCACTTCTTCATCTGGCTGCCCTGTGTTTTGAGTTCGTCCTGCTTGCCGATTTATTACTCGCTCTCCTCTCGACCCGCCACCACTCATCGACAACATCTTCTGTGCATACAATTCGACCATCACGGAAAAGAGCGATCACCTTCCATCCACGGCTTGCCGCATCGATCTCATCGCGCCTTTTTTTCATTTTTTTTTCCATCGCGAAAACCGTCCGATCAAGAACCTAATTCATTTTTTCTTCTACCGCTTTCTGCTTCGATCAGCATCTGTTCTTTTTTCCTCTTCGACACTATTTTCTTTTCTTTAATCTATCCCGACTGCCCGGCTATACCAATTCGATAACAAAGAACCATCGACACAACGCCCGCTACAGAATATTTCATCTCGTGGGCTAGCTTTAGTCTGTCAACTTCTTGCTACAAGCATCGGTCAACATTCTCATCGTTGGGCTCTTCTCGTTACTGTGTTCCTTATCGCCGGTCCTCCAGTCTTCTCCCCCCTTTTTTCGTTTTTTTTTTTTCCCGTGCAGGGGCGACCCACTGCTTGACACGCAACTTTTGCCATTTTTTCGTCTATCCATGACATTGGACAGTTCTGCGTCAAACTTTGGAACAGCAGCTGCGTTGTCCATTCTTTGAATTTTTCCAAGGCATCCGTTTTCCACGGCATACATTTTAATCCTGCATCCACCACGTCGTGGTCACCCTGGTTGCTCTTCATCCGACCAAAAAGGAACGACTTCTCGACTTGCTTCCATATCTTTTGCTTTTCAGAAACTGCTATTTTCTCGTTATTCTCATCTTCGGTTGAGTCGAGTCAACCTGACACAAACCGTACCTCTGCTACTTCGTTTGCATTTATCTTTTGTGTCGCATACAACAAAACCAGATCGCGTCGAGACTCTTCTCTCTCGACATTTTCAACTCTGAATTTCAACGAAACAAGAACGATCACATTGGTCCTGTCATAAACCTCGTTTCCACTCTTACCAACACCTTCATCCACTCGCCGGACGGACTACTTCCTTTTGAGCCATGAACCCAGGCGGTCTTGCTCAAATGTCTTCCACCAACTTTGCTTCCCACAACGGCTTCGGCAATTCTGGCGGGTTGGCCTCGCGCCGAGGTGGCCAGAACATCAAGCCTCTGTCCTTCGATGGTGTCGCCAAGGCTGTCGATAAGGAGAACACGGTTCCCACTCCTCGCACGAGCCGCTCGCATCTCCTTGCTGGTCTCAGGACAGCTCCCAAGTCTGCCACGACTGGTTCCTTTGGCCTCTCCTCGCCCAATCCTACCCAGCAGTACGCCCGCAACAATATGGCTGCCAACGTCCACAGCATCACTCAGGACACCGCCTACAACGCCCCCAAGACGGCCTTTCCCCAGTACGCTGGCCAGCAGCAGCAACAGCAGCGACTGCAACATCAGCCCCTGCAACATCAGCAGCAACAGCAGCAGCAGCCGATGCATATGAACAATGCCCATCTTATGAGCCAGCAGTACACTGTCGACCAAGTTCTTGCTCCTCCTGAGCTCTCCTTTGACGACCAGGTTCAGGAGCAGATGGACCCCGGCCTGTACGCTCAGCTTGTTGCCACCAACATGTACCTGGCCCAGCAGCAGCAGCGCCTCCAGCAGCAGCTCCGCACCGTACAGGCCGCCGCCCAGCAGTTTCAGCAGCTCAACCTTAGCAACCCTCAGCTGGTCCAGCAGCAGATGGCCATCTACGAGCAGCAGAACCAGCTACGCACCATGCAACAGCAGCTCGGTGTCCAGGCTGCCGCCACCCAGGCCCCACAGCAGCAGTTCTACTACAACCCTATGACAGGCCAGTACTACGTTGACACCATGGCCACCTCGCAGATGGCTACTCCCTCGTACACTGAGCAGCAGCCCATGACGCCTGGTTCTTTCGGCGGTCTGCAACAGCAGCACAATCAGCAACAGCACAGCCAGCAGCAACAGCAGCAGCAAATGTACCAGGGTCATACCCAGTCTCAGTCTCAGTCCCAGACCCCCCGCGTTCAGGTCTCGCCTCCTCCCGAGACGCTTAGCCAGGGCAATGGTCGCCGTAGTAGCTCTCCCTCTAAGCGAGGTGATTCGCCCCAGGAGACGCAGCCGCTTCCTCCGCCCTCCGCCAACGCATTCCGTCGCGGACACAAGAAGGCTTCGTCGCTTGCCCCCGTCAACTCATCTCTCGCCTCAGGCAATTCGTCCACAGTGCCGCCGTCTGCCGGCCCCAAGTCTGCCTTCCCCATAACGCCCATGACTGGCGGTTACGGTCCCGGACAGGGCCGTGCCGGCGAGCACCCCATCCGCCAGCCGCGCGGCCCGCCCTCGATGGACGAGCTTAAGCTGAAGCCGACGGCCAAGTACGAGGGCAGCAAGAACTTTGCTGCCCGTACCCGGCGTTCGGCCGTGCACAACCTCGTTCGAGCCGGACTCGAGCGACGCAAGGGCACTGGTAGCTCTGCGGGTAGCATGAGCCCCGTATCGGAGACCGAGGAGTCGACAACGCCTATCACCGACAACGACTCCGAGTCTGGCCGCAGCGGATCCGGCAGTCTAGCTGGTGAGGAAGAGAACCTACCCCCCAGGAAGCCCGTCGGTGGTGGCTGGGGAGCTATCGGCTCTGACCGTCCCAACTCGAGCCAGAGGGCTCGCACTTCGAGCGATGATGAGGCTGAGTCTAACTCATTCGCCCACGTCTTCAAGAACGGCGCTCTGCGAGCATCCAAGGCTGAAGAGGCTGCTGAGGGTCAGCGCCGCGCCCCCAGGCTGGTGTTGACCAACTCGGACAAGCGCAGGACTGCTGCCCCCATGGCCTAAGGGCACCATTGTCCAGGGGCATGCTTTAAGAGGAGGGCATGGTGCTCTTGCACTTTTTTCTACCTTCATTTCACATTTCTGCACTTTTCTTTCGTCATCCATGTTCACGACTTATGCCTAGACTCTGTGACACGACTGCTTGGAAATGGCGGACTGCACTGTTCCAGGGTTGTTTTACTTCACTTCTCCCCTTCCACGGCCGCTTTCAGGATTCCGCACCTGATGCGCCTGGATTTTCGATACCATCGACCATTATAATTCACTTCGCCTCTCATTGACAACAATGTTGCTTTTATCTCTCACCCCCAACTCTTTTTCTGCGCTTCGAATGTGCTTTTGTAGGAAATGATGGGGACTGCTCTTATTAGGTGGCACTTTTTATCGGAAGGGTTTCGTCTCTGACGCTGCTTTCTTTTACTTTCGGAGAAGGGGTTTTGCAGAGCATCTCACACTCGGAGAACATCTGAGGGTATACTCTAATTGAGGAAACAGATCCGGATGGAGTCTGGCCGTCGGTTGCGCTTGAGAGCGGGTATACTTCGGGATTCGAGGCATGCGAGGCATTCTGGAAAGGAAGCCCATGGCAACCGAATTGGTGGTACCGCATTCTTTTACATTAGCTTTGCGAGACCTCATATCCGCTTGACGCTGGGAACCTCGATGGTACTGTGATCTTTGGCAAGAGGAAACGTGCCATTCTTTTGGGAAGGAGCTTAGAATGGATAGTGTAGTTTAGCAAAAGGCCGAGTTCAATAGAACGCAGTAGCCTTGATATCTGGAAGAAATGTAATACGTGATATGGTCTTCCCGTTGTACGTGATGTCCGGAATTCAGATGGTGTCTCCACTGCAGAACAGGGAAGGTCCGGCTGCTGCATTCGTCAAGGCTCATTCGGACAATGCGTCTTACATGTGCAAGGTAAGGTTGTTCGTCCATATGATACTTGGGGCATTCGTCTCTACGGAGGTTTATACTCTTGGAGATAGATTTCATTTCCTCCCCATCACTCCCTTGTCTGGCAGGGAAAGGGGTTTTACTCGTAGATGACTAACCTGTACTCTTTGTCTGTTGAACGAACGCTCTAGTCCGAAAGGAACCAGCGCTGTGCTCTCACTTCAGTCAAAAGAGGGAAGCTTTTGGACACGAGAAGACTGAAGTGACTCTGGTTAGAAGGTAGCATGTTGACCCAAAAAGAGAAAAGAGAATTTAGCTAAAAAGGGAAAAAAAGGTCGCTGAATACGAGTAGAAACATTTAAGTGTCGATTCTCGTAGATTCAAGATAAGGTAACACTTATGATCATGATACCCAATGTGCCAGGCAAAAAGGCCCCACACTAGAAAAACGCAGCTGAGGTTGAAGGTCCCTTCCCCACTCCAATACCTATTCCGCCTCAGAGAACAATGTATTCGTATTGCCACTAGCAGTGTCCAGCCTGCACCAAAATGGATGATGACTTGGCTCTATGCAGTACACAGAGTACGGGAGACTCCCATGTTGTATTCATGTCTGGGAGTTGCCAAGGCTCAGGGCTGACCACACCACCAAGGTCTTGGGACGACCAGGTCAATCGGCTTCTTGTGGCGACGTAGTAATAATAGCTCGACTATCGGCTTTACAACTCCGAAAGACAGCATTAGTCTTGTTGACACATTTTGAAGTTTCGTGCTTACTGCGTTTGTGGAGATTACACGGAGTATGTGCTTGCTTGGTAACTATAAGATGCAGAGTTATTTTGCCTCGATTCATATATGCTTAAGTTAACAGTAGGGGGCTTATCTACCTCGTACTTACGCTCATTGTTCGTATTTTGTACGTTGGAAATCTCGCTTATTTTCTCATGATCTCGCATTCACCAATCATAGCATTCCCAGTCGAAAAAATATCTAGAAGACTGTCCTTAGCCTTCTCCTTCGAGGATAACAAACGGAAGGATTCGCAGGATTTCGTCCTAGTCCAAGTAAAAAAAGAAAAGCGGCCCGCCAATAATCCGGTGCTGACATGTAAGATACCTGCATCGACTAGTTTTCCGCCCAACCAGCTTATGGATCGTGGCACACATCCGTCCCCTTTGTCCAGTGCAGCGAGGAGAGCATAGCCATGTCATGTTGGCTGGTTCATGCGTTGGCTGCCCCCCTCTCATGATTGCATGACGGACTCGTCTGACCAACATGGATGTTTGTGTGGACAAAGAGAGCCCGATTTACCAAATGAATTATGCAGCAGTGGAGGTGGTCTGTCTGCCTGCATTTCCTATTCTTGTTTCCCTCGCACGTTTCCTTGCAAGAAGAAATATGAAGGGCAAACAAGGAAAAGCGCTGGTTTCTTGATACGACGCCCATCCTCCAGTCTCGTCTTGTAGCAAACATACACGAGGCACTCGGGGCCAAAAAAAAACATTTGAAACAACCACTTACTACGCGCGCGGGTGCCAATACTCGGGACATTGAAAATGGTCAGGCTATGTTGGGCAATAGCAGCCGTGGGCTTGTTCACTCGCGCCTCGTCGGCAGAAATAAGTTGCTTCGCCCCCGATGGGAAGACATTGGCCGACAACGAGACATATGTGCCCTGCAACAAGCTTGGTATTCAGCAGGATGGTATCGAGTCGAGTTGCTGCCGCCTCGACGGGAAGGCCGACGAACGCGACCTGTGCGCCGCGACAGGACTCTGCCTCAACGGAGGTGTTCTTTTTAGGGGATACTGTACAGACAAGACTTGGAAGAACCCGGCCTGTGTCGATGTCTGCACAGATCCCAAGGTATGTCCCCTCCCCTCTCTCTATCCGTCATATACGCATACTTATTTCGTCGATCTTGTATGCGTAAACTTGTTACTAACGAATAAATCACCAGAAACATGGCTCGTCCAACGGCTCAGTTGAAATCACCCCCTGCACCGACGGCAAGTACTGCTGCGGCAGCAACAACCTGGCCTGCTGCGGCACCGACGAAGCCTTTGAGATCCCCACCATGGCCGACAAGTCGACCGAGACGGCCAACCGCGCCGCTTCAGCCACCCGGTACAAGAACTCGACCATTGGCCTGGCCGTCGCCCTTGGCATCGTGGCTTTTGCCGCTGCCGCCGCCGTCCTCTGGCTCACCAGAAAGAACAGGCGTCTGAGCGACGGGTTAGCATCCGGAGCGGTGCCGACCGCATCACCTGTCGACGAGCAGCAGTCACCTGCCCAGCACAACGGGAGCATCTACGACCCTCACTCGCCCACCACCGGCACCCAGATGACCTCTGTGTCGCCTGCACCGCTACCGCACTCGTCTGGCGACAGCAAGGTCGTCACTGATAGAGCCTACGACCAGAGGTACTCGGAGCTCGATGGAACGAGCTTGAGCCCTCCGTATGAGCGCTCAGCTGCGTCACCGCCGTTGCACCCATCCGATTTCAGATTACCAGAGCAACATAGTGTGGCAGGGAATCATGTTTCTTGACCGGATTGAACGTATTGAAAATGACAGGGTCGTTTCGTGTTTGCTCTTCTCTTTTGTGGCGACATTTAAGTAGCATAGCGATTCAATGGCTGAAATCATCCCTCACCCAGAGTGAAGGACTAACGGTGAGACGCAACACTGGGTTACCACTGAAGTTAACTCTGCTCGTGTTCCATATACACATTGAACTTATGGATATTATGGATAACGACTCCTCTCCCACGAAACCGAAGGAAGATAGGCCCCGGTATAGGAAGAAATATATATGTACTGTGGAAAGAAAAGAAAGAAGTAGGCTTAACCACGCGAGATGGTGAGCCCCTTTAAATCCTTTGATGCCTACATTACGAGTGAATGTGGCGGTGGAAAGCCTTATCCCTCTTGTCGGGCAGGGCTCTATCGCGTTTATGGCTGTAAGTAGTAGTGGAAGTCTGGTTAACTCCATAGCTCCATCCCTGAAGGAGGTTGTCACTGGGAAGCTGGTCGAGGACGCCGCCAATCTCCTCGTCGACCTCGGAGGGGATAGTGCACTGGGCCTCGTTGAGGGTTACGCTGGAGCAAGTCTCCATACTTGCGTGCTGAGCGTCGCAGGTATCAATGCTATCTTGGAGAATCTCCTCATTAGAGTCGGCGAAGAAGTTATGGGAGCTGAAGCCTGTGACGTCTCCATTAGACAGGACAAACGGCTGGTTGCCCGTGCCGGGCGCCCAGAGGTCTAGGAAGGCAGGCGTGTCCCAGTACATCTCGTAAAACATGTGGGGGAGGTGGAACCAGCCCTTGGGGAAATTCTGCTTGCCAGAGTCGCTGTACTCGGGGAAGGCCATGCTATTAAGGCAGTCCTCCAGACCGACGTCTGGGTTGCAGCACGACGGTATGTGCACGTCAGCGCAGAGCGGTGAGTACTGCCCGTCGCAGTTCAGGTCAGGGAACCCAACACCCACGCTAGAGTCGGAGCTGCCAATGCTGAAACTGGAGCCGCCGGAGTCAATGATGCAAGAGTGAGGGTCGTAGTTCGAGTGCGGGCATGTGAATCGGATGCTGCTGATGTCGCCCTTGGACGGGTCTAGGTTCTATGCGGCACTCGAGGCGGGGGCGACTCGTGTCATGGCGCCGCCAGCAACAATCTTGAGACTGCGGGGGAAGGCCGTGACCTCATAGTCGGTGGGCTTAAAGCTATTGTTCACCAGCTGGGTCGACAATGAAACCCACCTGAAGCCCCTAGTCGAGAAATAACCCGTCCGCAAAGGCTGTGTATGTAAATCGTGAGTTGGCCTTGTATTTCTCTTCCCGGCACGCCCTCGTCTGCACCTTGGAGCCGTAGATAATGGGGAGACGTGCGCAGTGGGGGTTTTGCGAATCCATGCCGAACTCGGCGGGGACGAAGCGCGATACCCCAGCTGTCTCGGCTGCGTTGATCCATTGGTCCTGGTGGCCCATCATGGCTGTGGATAGACACGAGATGACGACTTCAACACCCTGGAGAGCTGGGATGATGAACTCGGACTCGGTCCAGTCCACTGTCTCGACTGACAAATCCAGGTGGGAGGACAGCTTGGACAAGTTGCTGCCATTGCGGAGGAGCGCAACGACGGCAAAGTTGGCGTTGAGAGCAGTCTGCGAAGTATGGGAACACCAAGGTTACCCGTGGCACCGGTAATTGCGACTTTGGTAGGCATAGTAGACATGGTGAAGGGTGAATATATAAACAACTGCTCTTTACTGTCTTTTCGGAACTAATGAAGGAAGGCTCCCTAACACAAAGTAGGGAAAAGGCATAGGTATAAGTATATTCGAAATCCGGGGCTATCAGCCCACCTAACTTCCCTCACTGATAATAGCACTCTATATATACTGTCTCCCTTAAGAGAGAAGGAAACATATGAAATGGATTGGTGTCGTTATTCCATTGATGGACTTACACCATGATCGCGCTAGGCCTCTTTATGCCAAAATCGGATCCGGCATATCCTTTTTGGGAAGTATCCGGACCTGGGTCTGCCATTTCTGGGCTAAGTATTATCTCTAAATAAATCAAGACCCCGAGCCTACTGCGCAGCCTCTTCCTACTTTCCTTGCACGTACTCGTATCTCTCTCCCTATCTTCATTAATAATCCCCAGCAACGGTAAAATTACAGACACTTCATCTTCTTACGGCAGTATCGGACCCGGCCCTTCCATTATCAGCTTTCACCTGCATAGATGGCACATGCTTACCAGCCATCAGATGGAGCTTGGTCTTAACGCTAACAAGAGGGCGCAGTTCTCGAGCTGTGATACATGCCGCCGTGCGCGTACAGCCTGTGACGCGGCACAGATCACCCACCAGCTTGGAAACAGTGCTCACTGCTCCAGATGCTCATCACGAGATTAAGAATGCACATTCGAGGTATGGTTATATCAAGGGATATAGTACTAACTTCCTTGGATAATCGCTGCCAGGTGGGGATGTGCGAAGTAGATCGGTGAGAGAAGGAGGCATCGGCAGTTTCCGCGCAAATCGACCGTTACCGACACCTCGTTTATCCTCTGGGGAGGACCAAAGCAACAAGGGGAGGTAGGGGTGCTACATCAGGAGCAGAAGCTAGATCGTGCAGAATCTGGTTCAAAAAAAACACTTTCCACACATGGTATAGGCACTACGCGAGTGGCGCAAGCCGTAGCGGCCTCGGTCAAGGAAGCGTTCTTCGAGGACGAGAGCGAAGAGAGCATCATGTTTGGGTGGCGATCCATGCAGGCGGCCATCGGAATCTTCGAGGGGACGACCCGCCCGTTGCTGGACATGTGCGAGAGGAGCTTGCACTTTCTCACGCAGACCAACCGCTTTGTCTTCTACCAAGTTGCCCTCCACTACTACCTGGGCATCCTGATCGTGGTCGATGCCGTCGAAGTATCCCAGGGGCAGGACCTACTGTCACAACTGGTGGACCGCAGGCTTGACGCGGAGCGCGAAGCCTTCAACACAATCAAGCTGGGCATCGAGAGCCAGTTTACGCTGCAGGGTCCTCCAAGTCAAGAGGATCAGGACAACGGCCGAGTGCATAGCACTGTCACGACATTCTTCATCGCCATCGACCCGTTCCCTCACAACGTAACTGCTCGTGCCCGGCTATTGACAAATTTCATTGGGCGCAAGTACCGGCGAGGAACAGTTCAGCGGGATACGTACGCTGGCCTTCTCTCCACATTGTCCAGGGCATTGATTCAACTGCCGGGGAGCACCAAAACGGTTCTTCTGGCTCGTGACCTCCCGAAAGGGGTCATGGAGAGCGTCGAAACCGACCAGTAAGCATCGGCGAGTCGAGTTGGCGTCCGTCGCTTCACCGGCAGCTGGGCAAATCCTTCCACGTATGACAGTCGAGTGAGGCGGGGGGGCACGCGCATGTATTTACAGACAAGGACGTAAATGACCCTCACCACCGTCGGGATTCGTGGTGGTGTGGTGGTTTATGTACGGACTGTGTGGCACAGGCAGCCCTAGTTCATACCCCGTCAAGGGGTGCAGGGGCAAGGGTCACGTATGGACAGGCTGAGAAAATGCGGTATCCGAGTTGCCTCAATCTCAGCACAAGTCCAAAAGGTTGCATACCTAGGCTGAAAACGGCGCAGAACAACCCAAGTTGAAATATGTGCATTGCGCGGGGGGCCTGGGGCGGGGGAAAGGTTCCTAAACTATGTCTTGAACAGCGATGATCAACAGTCAGTCAGTGGCCAGACCTCTAGTCAACTCATGGATGGGGATGAGCGTTATAAAACAGGATTTTTCAGTTCAGTCACCCGATCTATCCAGAGGTCCAACGTGCTGTAAGAGTGCGCTTTATGTCGCGCAACAGCACAGTGGTCTGTGTGTTGCTGTGCCTTTGCTTGCTGCCTCTTGACTCGTTGGGAAAGGCTATGCGATGCGACACTGTTCTTAGTAACCGGTCACCGTAAGCAGCAGTAACAGGTAATGATGAGCGAAAGGGAAAAAAATAAAAATAAAAAGAAGAAGCCACCGGTAAAGGGAATTGGTTGACTTGGCAGTGTGTGTGCGCGTTGCCGTATTATACGTCTAGGGTTTCTTTGTCTCGAGACAAGGCGTATTTAAGCACCCAATCAACCATGGAACAAGCAACAGGTCATATTCCGGGGAAACTAGGAGATAATAATACGGGGGAGGGGAATCTAGGCAGCCGAATTTCGAATTCGGGCGGGAGCAAACGTTATCTTGATTGATCCCCGGATTTTGGGGGAAAAAAAGACGTGTAACTTGGGTTCAAGTGAGTGGGCAACGCCAACTACCATGCATGCCATTTGCCTGGCCTGGATGATGAACTCATCTGGAAAGAAATCAAACCAAGGGAGAAACAGCGCCTATGACTTCTGAACAGTTGGACCAGGCTGACTGTTGCGCTCCATTACTACATGTAGTTAATAGTGACGGTCTGGCCCTGTTAGACCGGGCATCGGCACCACAAGTGTCGAAGCATCGCGGCCGCTCCCTTGACGTTGACATCTAGATATTGACATCTATTTGCGTATTCAGCGAGGCATTGTGCTAGTTGTGCTTTTGGGAAGGCTTGAGAGGATATTCCTTGTAGGACTGGGCGTTGTCCTCTCTGGATACTTGTGTAGAGATACGATTTACCCGTGCCCCATTACAACGTATCACGCCAGTTCTAATTGTACGGAATATTACATACTCGAGAAATACTTGTAGTCGACGTTCTTTGCCGCTCGTACATATACAAGCAGCTCGTGCCGTGGGAGTATTCCGTAAAACCCCCCTGTCTTCCCCAGTAATCCCCCCGCCGAACCCGACACCCTGGTCCCTTTAGCCCGCAGAGACCGTTTATATCATCACTGGGTCCTGGCCACCCCGCCCTTCCTTGGGGATAGTTGTTCTTCGTCTCTGTCGTTTACAAGTAGTACTAGTATTACTTGCTGACCGCTCTCCTTGTTTATGGGTTTCCTAACAATAGAAGCAGTTCTAGGGCGTCACCATGTCCCCTGCGATACGGTTCTGCTTTGGCTCTGTATCCGGGTGTGAATCAATACGCCACTATCGCTTCTTATATTGCCTAACTGGTTGAAACACGGGCGAACGGAGCACCGTCCGGTCCCTTCCTTTGTTTCTCATTGATAAAGTGAAGAAAGGAAGGAAAAAGGAAGAGAAAAAGACCAACCAGATGACGAGTCGCACACCAGGCCCGTCCAGGTTGGACACGAGGGGCCCTGCTGAAGATGCCATCTATGTAGAAAGCGGCCCCAATACGACTGTTGTCGAGGCGTGGGGCGAGGGAATGCACGTTGGCGCTCTCGCCTTCGTCATTCTCATTGTGCTTTGCAATTATCGCAAACATATCCTTCTGCACAAGCTCATTCTTCTCGAGGTATGTACATCACTGCAAGCGTCATGCCATTAGGCGCATCTTGTTTCTGATCCTTCTCTCTAGCTCCTTCTCGCCATACTGCACGGCTTTTACATCTTTTTCCCAGACGATACTTCATCATGGTGAGCCGATCCGACTCTGGGCATTTAGAACCGGAACTGACATCACGTGTGTGCAGGGTCTTGAGCGGCACAGCAGTACTACTGTACATCTCGTACACTATACACAATGTCGTCGCCTGGATCAAGATCAAACCTTTCCTCCCGCGCTGGGGGGGCCTACTATTCATCATGACGCTCATGCTCGTCCAGCCATTTTGGGTGCTGGAGATGTGGGCCAACTTTGCCTTCTTCAACGACCTCGGCCCCAAGGCCATCTTCAGGACGACTCGATGCCTGGAGTCGCTGATGAGGGACCCGTGGTGGATATACACGACGGTGAAGCTGGTGCGCGTCATCAACAATAACTACGGTTATAGTCTCTTTGGCCTGGTGCACATCAGCCCGCGCTTCGCTATACTCATCATGTGCATGTTTGTGTCCATCATCTTTGTTGTTGTCGACACGATAGTGTCTGTCACGGAGAGGAGTACATTCGAGAGTGGCGTCAATCCATTCTGGCGGGTGAGCTTGACCCATATCACATCACAACCCAAGCAATGGCGTCCGTTCCATTGACAATCATTGGCGGTATACAGCTCGCGCTAGTTTTCAAGTGTGCCTCCGACGCCTTCTTCCTAGACGACTTCAAGAGTGTGCTCGACCGTATAGCTACGTCTGCGATGCAGGGCATAGCTAACGTCCCCTCCGGGTCGATGGGCGGCGTCAAAGACGATAGTGCCGTGAGAGGACCCTTTCGCAGAGGTCATCGGCATCTCAGCTCTTTGGGTGGCATGAGGAGACAGGGCGTCATTACAAATCACCAATATAACACGGGCCACGGCGCTAGGGTGGAACATGTATCTCTGCGGGGCGACAGCATGGATGAGGAGGCTGCCATCGTGGGTCCGTCGCCGCCGCAGGTGCATAGCCGGGACATGTGGATGACACCTCGCTTTAGCACACACTGCCACTTCGATGATGACGCTGACGTTAGCGGTGCTAGACCGCCGGGTCAGATCCTCGCTGAGACGACCATTACCATCTCGGAGGATGGTGAGAGACAAGGCCGGTCTAGTTATCAAGAGACGGATGCGACGTCGTCATCTTCGTATCCGGATCATAGGGCCGAGCAGCAGCGGCGGCGGTATCGGGCTAGGCAGCCGGTGGGCCCGCTGGACCCGGAGCTGGGGATGCCACTGTCTTCCTTGCGGCCGATGGATAGTATGGACCGAGGGGTATGATGTCGGGGGTTTCTGTAACACTAATGAGAAACATGCTTGTAATTAAACGTCATGATACCACGTACCATAATGATAATATAGGCAACAACACTGCTGTTTATACTATCACCATCATGATCCGCTGTTGGACTCCACAAAGAGGAGACGTCCTACTGGGGTATGGGCATCGGCTACACCAGAGCAGGCCGGATTGGAAAGACAATTAAATTGATGCTCTTCTTTGCAAAGCCAAACAATAAGCAAAAAAAAAGGCGCACTGGCCTCTTCAGCCGCGGTACATGTACACATCGTTGGTCGTCCCTCTAGCGCAGTGCGCCCTCGTTTCGCCTCGTGGTCTATAACGACGACTCTAGTTGCTCCTGGCGCCGTCCTTGGACTCCCTCAGCTCATCCATCTTGGCAACGCGCTTCTTGAACTCGTCGTACTGACACTTTTCGTAGCTGTGACGCTCGTCCTGGAAATCAGGTCAGCATTGTCGCCGGTCGGGTCAATCGGATAGCAGAGGTAGTGAAAGCAGATAGAAGAAACATGAAGGAAAGAGCGAAGACTTGAACTTACTCCGCACTTCCACGGGGCATACCAAGTATCACGGCGACACTTGTTGAGAGGAATGAGGAGGTTGGCACAGCTGTCGCGGTAAGCAAGAGGGAGACGGGCCTCGCTCATCTCCTCGCGAGTAGCGGCTGCGCATGATTGATTGTTAGTATCTCTGTCACTCAATCGATTGAATAAACGTGAGGGGTGTAGAAGACGCACGCCGTGATGCTGCAGCAGTGTCGGAAGTCATGATTGTGGCTCGTCGTAGGGATGCTTGTTAAACGTACGAGTATATCATGATTGGCAATCTGGGGTCAAAGGTCGGGGAGAGTGGGTTATGGGGTTGATGCCTGCGTTATGAGGCAAATATGGGGAATCTGACGAATAGCGCCGGGGCTTTTAGCAATTCCTGGGGGTGGACCACTGTCACCATCGCAACAGCATCACCGGCATCATCACAGCCATTTGCTCTCTTTGCTAAAGCCAACTAGTAGTGATTCGCTTCTCTTTTCCACAGATCGTGGATAAATGCATACTGCCTGGCTGTCGTGGCAAAACAAGACAAAATGTACTCGTGGGTCGATGAAATCCCGACGGCAGGCTGTGGGCGATGATTCCTCCCCAAGGCTGACGACCCCCATTAACGATTGAAGCTATCGTAGCCAACAGACGAGATGACTCTGATTTGCAGAGGCGATAAAAACACGGTATCCAGCTAAACGCGACGCGTCTCATCATCCTCTTTCCGACGCTCTTTTCAAATGGTACACGACCACGTCGTATGAGGGACACGTGCCCCGCATCACTGCTCGTCGTCATCAGATCGATTGGCTGTGGTACTCTCGTCGGCCATGCACCTGTCTTCAGCTTCTTCCAATTTACGCAGTACCAGAAGGCGCCCATGGATACATTCAAGTCGTGCGGTGTGAAACGAGACGGTGTTACAACGTGAATGCATCCTCATGGATGGATATCGTTTCGAGTGGTTGTATTCTTTGTTCCCAACCCAGTGCCAATGTCATGATACTCTTAACTTTCAATCGGTATAAGATGGATAGTTTTTCCCATCCGCTCCTCAGGCTCATCATCATCAACATCTTTCTTTTCTTTTTCTTCATTACTCTTCTCTGTTTTGTTTAGCATTGTTAATCTGTCTTTATTCTTTTGTACACATTTGACACTCCTTCACTGTACAACTACACCACACTCTCTACACTACCAGCATTACTAGCATCTTGCTCAAACACGGCACAATGACGAGCCACCAAGACGTCATCGCCTGGCTGGTCCCTACGGCGCGAGGCACAAGCTCAGACAAGGCCACCCAAATGCCCGAAAATATGTCCCGGACCATCGACATATCCTCTTCTTCTACATCTCCCTACTTGACCTCTCACATCTCCAACCTGTCCACCGCCACCATCTGCCGTCCCGAGCGCGCTCTCCAGCTCACGTTTGACCAGCCTCTCAAGAGACGCGGCCGCATTGTCCTGGGCACCGACGCGCGTACATGCGACCTCAGCCTTCCGCGGGTCGCCGGCGTGGACGGCCAGCACTGCACAATCAGCTTCGACAGCCAATCCCGTCTCGTGCTGCAGGATACCTCAACGCGAGGCACGCAGGTATGGTACGGATCGGAGAGCAGCGGTGACAAGACAAATCACATTTGGGTCCTCTCGGGGTCGACGCAGCGCGTCACCATCGATATCCAAGGTCTGCGATTTCACATCGTCGTCAACGAGTACCCTGGAAAGGACCCTGTGGCATACCAGGCCAAAGTGGATGAGTTCAGCCTACAGCCGCCGTGGGCAGACCTGATCACCCCGGACTGGGACAGGGCGAGTGTTGACCCTGTTTTGCCACTCTTCACTTCCCAGCCACTTTTTCGGCACATCTTTGTCAAGGGCGTCGTGCACGACGAGGGCAGAGGGGAATTATACCTCTGGAACATGGCGAGGCCATGGGAACCAATGGTCAAGGCATAGGACGGGTGTAAATGGGAATGAAACGCGTGGGATGTAAGGCAGGGAAATACGGCACAGGAAATAAGGTATTATCATGGGATATAGTAAGGCCTAGAATATCTCATTATTAGCGCATGTGTTTTTTTATTCCTTGGCCCCTTGGGGCTTGGCGGAACTATCCGCTAAGATATATACAATTACTACTACAATAAACCAAGTTATCGTTGAAAGCCAATCTAATAGGTGTGATGACGCGCTGTGACTTATTATTGAGGGACGTGATACCAACGCATATTTCGAAGTCGCTTACATTTCACACACACGCACACATACACTAACCATAATAAGAACTCAACCTTTATCTTGAAAATGATTTTGCACATTATAGGCAAAGAAACCAGCGCCATGAAATTTGGTGAACAGATAGTGGCGAACATGAACTCTAGACAATGCCAACCTCTGCGGCCATGACCTCCTCGGAAACCTGCTGCAGCTGCGGCTCGGTAGCCTGCGGCTCCTCGTCCTCATCGGCCGTAGCAAAGCGTGTCATACTAAAGTCGGGAACGACTCTCCTTTCACGCCAACGCCCACCCTTCCTAGCCTTGCGCTCCTGTGCTTCACGAGCCTCGGTGGCGACCAGCTTCCCCTCGTCCAGCTTGTTGAGCATAGTGCCCTGGAGACTGAGGTAGGTCGAGTCGCCGCTGACGCCGACGTCGAAATTGCGGATGCGGAAGCGCACGCGTCCACGGGCCTTCTCGCCATCAGCATCGACCCAGTAGCCCGTGCTGTGGATCTGGCGAACAACACCGTGCTCGTCGGCACCGGTGAAGACGGAGGCCCCGTCGTCGGGGGCCGCAGCGCTGTCGTCGTCGTTGGGCACCCAGCGCCACGAGGCGGGGAGGCGACGCGCCTCGATGGAAGCGTTGAATTTGCCGAAACATACAACGCCAATGTGTCCCTCGGTCTGGAGGTTGATCACGCCCTCCATCCACGCGCCCCGCGACGGAACAAACAGCTTCACATCGGCCGTGATCCACCCGAATGCTCCGCCAAACTCGGCCCGACTGCGCACCATGGCGGGCGACTCATCGTCTGCGGCAGCCCCCGCACGTCCAGGCTTCTGCCCCAGCGTCACCTTTTCGTAGTCGAGGAGCACGCCGCGCATCGACGGCACGTATCGGTCCCGCAGGTGTCGGAGGTGCTGCGACTCGCATCCCGTGATGGGCTTGGCCCACCCATTAGGGTAGATGGGCTCGTAGAGGGAGATGGTCTGGTGGAAGAATGGGAACTGGGGAGTAGAGGGAGTGTCCGAGGGTTGGTGGATCTTGCCGGACGTCGTCTTGAATGTTGAGGTTGTCGTGTCGTCAATGTCCATGGCGTCGACGGCCTGTTCTTCCTCTGCTTTGGGATTGGGCTCGGCCTTGGCGGACTTTTTGCCGCTCTTGGACTTTTTTTGTGGACTCGACTCTTTCGCAGCATCTTGCTTCAGATTGGCAGTGGCATCCTCGATGTCTTCCTCTTTCTTGCTCTTCTTGCTCTTCTTCTTGTCCTTCTTCTCTGCAGCCTCTCCGTCAGAGCCGTTGTTGTCCCTGATCTTCTTGCTCTTCTTGCTCTTCCTCAGAGCTTTAGCCTCGTCTTGCTCACCCCCGGTGACAGTTCCTGCCTCGCTCTTGGACTTTTTGTGTTTGCGGTGTTCCACATCGGCAGCCGCCTCTTCGTCGCGAGCACGTTTCTTGTCCTTCTTCTCTTTCTTGCTGTGCTTTTCCCGCACCGGCTCCGTCGAGTTGATGGGCGCCATATTATATGTGTTCTTTTTCCCTCCGTATTCCCCGATGGTTCTTTTGTCGGCTTGAGCGAAATGGCAGGGCGCGATATGTTCGATGCTCAATCGTTGATGAGGTTTGGCAATTCAAAGTGGGAAATTTTTTTTCGGCTGCTTATCGATTGTCCACGACTTCACTCCTAGTTTAAATGTGGGGCATCTGGCTCAAAGTCATGGCAAGCAGCCGAGCAGTCCAACGACAGTTCATAACGTTAAGTATTGTTAAATGTTAAATTTTATCTCTTTATCTCATTTGTTACCTATTATTTATCTGTTGAGATTTTCTACATTGTTTTGGGTGGAAGGTAGTTATGATATCATATTCCTCTCGCATAGGAGTTCTCTTAATCAAACACTTCCAATTGAACATGGAGTGCCGCATGGCTTCAGCCGAAACCATGCGTGTTTGTGTATGACGAGAGGTTCTATCAWMAAAAAAAAAAAAAAAAAAAACTATACCTCAAGGCCGGGGACAGTCCCATCGCTCTTGGTCATGGCCGTCTGGTACGCCTCCCGAGCACGCACCCTCTTCAGGTAACCCAGAATAGCGGGGTAATTCTTGAGCTCATAGAACGGTAAGAACAACTTCAAAGGCGTCAGCGAAAAGACGAGAATGATGTCTGTGGTCGTAAAATCTTTTCCGAAGAGCCAATAATTACCCCCCAGTGACTTCTTGAGAATCCGCATGGCTCCCTTGATCCTTCCATCAATAATCTTGGCAGTCTTGGAAGCATCTGGGCCGTCGGCGCTAGCAGTCATGAAGGCGGCTAGGATGGTGCGCTGCAGGCTGCTATTGATGAAGTGCCAGTGATAGAGATGGTCTGCGTGGTTTACGGCCGTGAGAGGGATATTGAGACTATTGTTGCCGTGCTTGGCGAGAACGTACTCGACTATGGCACCCGTCCCGGCCAGTGTGATATCGCCATCTTGGATGACGGGGGCAATGAAGGAGATGGTGGACGGTGAGCATGTTGGTGGCATTGGTCTGTTGGATGACTGGCGAGGTTGAATCCACGCTCCTCGAATTAGATGCTTTGCTAGTGTGTAGATTCTTATGAATACGAGTAGCAATCATCAACCCTCAACAACCACTACTGTATGCGATGCCACGTACCGACCGTCTCAACCCTTCCAGTCGGGCTCATTTCTTCAAGAGTTCCAATAAACGACAGAAGTGAATTACCAACTTCGGTGAATGATTCATAACATATGAATTCACCAGCTCATCCGCAACTGCCTCAGTTCAGAGGGTGTAGGGACCAGAGTCGGCATCCCCACATGCCAAGGAGGCAGATTCACGAGATTCATCATTCTGCCGTCCCAACAAGACGTTGTCAAGTTATAATCGAAGACTTACAAAGCCATATCCTTTAGGTTTTCGATTGTTCCATACAGTTGCTTGCAGCATGCCTCAATAACCCTTGACCACTCTAAAAAATTAGATTTAGATCGAGGACGACAAAGCATTGACTCGGTCTACCCTGTGCAACTAACATGGTGAAGAAATCGCGGCCATTGACAAAGGGTATGAGGCACCGTAAAAAGCCTGCTGGCAGGTTGAGAAAAGAAGTTTGACTAAGTCCCGGGCAGTTGAACGGTGTTGGCGCTTTACCCATTCGACTTGGTAAAGTGCCTGCAGGTACACGTAAATAGAGTGACCAACAACTGCTTCAACGGCGCAGCTTAAAGCCAAGTACTATCTATCTCTAAAGTCTTCTTTTCCGTGCACCCATAAAAAAGGAGCGCACAAGTATATCATTCGATGCTTTCAATTCTTCTTGGTACTTGATCCTACCATGTACACGAGTAAACTTTGTGGGTCTCGTCGTTCAAGTCCCTCACGCCTATGGTGTAGTACTGACTCGCAAGGCTAGCATGGCCTCTTCTTGTTGCTTCTTTTGACTTTCTACTCCGTATTGTGTGTGGTATAGTATTGTGTGTGGTGTAATTTTATCCTATTCGCAACACGATATTACCCTTTTGCCTTTTTCTTTTCACCTTCATGCACTTTGAAGAGTAAAAGAGAGAAACAAAGACATGCATTCATGCCGTTGCTTTTGTCCAAGTTGGTGTGTTTCGTGTGTGTGTGTGTGTGTGTGTGTGTGTGTGTGTGCGTGTGGCAGGCAGTGTTGGTTGTGTGAACCATCGAACAACTTCCGAGTTTTCGTTACAGGTACACGCAGAGATACGTGTATGCAGGGCTATGCTATGTATCATGTATAGACACTGTCTCCCCCCCTCAAGATGATTCATGATTGAGAAGAGGGAGAAAATTCTATCCATCGTGCATCGTCCATCCCTCCTCGAGGGGAAGTTGGCTAACAAGCGGTCTGATGGGGTCTAGCGGCAGATGCTTTGCGTGCATGCACCTTGTTTGGAAATTTCGAGTGGCGCTTGGGTTTCTGCGGGTTGAGGGCATACAGGCACTGATCTAATGTGGGTGCGGCGTGTTCGCTGTCTCCTGCGATGGTCCCACGATGCTACCGCGGCTAATCCGTCGCCCCTAATTACTCGCAGTCTTCTCCCATCCAAAGCAGTCTCCCCTCCATAAATGCCGGCTATATACTCCGTGAAGGTCGGATCCGCAATGGTGTGCCCCGAGGGGACGAATCGGAGAGGATCCCTTTCTGTTATTATAGACTAGGGAAAAGTATATGTATCTTATCCTACTAGATGGGCAAAGACACAGCGTCGAGTAAACCAATGTACATTATACATGCGAGAATGAAAAGATTTGAGAACAGAAGGGGATAGGGCAACGAAAATCTCTTCAGTTTATATGACACTAGTTGCCAGAAGTGGAAGACTCCCCTGGGACCGGCGAAACTTTGCAGTCATGCACCCACACACACACACATAAAGGAAGAAGAGCAGGAAGAAAAAGAAAGGGGAAAAAGGAACAGGCAACTGGTATTAATACGAGTAAGGGGAGGGATTTTAAGTGGTCAGTAAAGTATTCTTGAAACGAGCGTGCTCGATACTATAGTCTCCGCCCTTACCGTGACATGGTCTCGGGACTACCATTGCATGGTGTTATACATAGCCACGGGCCTGCTAGTACTACCAAGTACTATTAGTAGTGACTTACAACTTTACTATGAGAGGTTCCATGAATCAAAGACTCTGGCGGCCCGTTTGACTTGACATTTTTGACTCAGATTGCTAGATGACAAGGCGGAGAAAAGTCCGCATGCATATTGCCCGTTTCTCAGCAAAGAGTACGAGTCCAACGTAGCGATGTAAGACGGATGGAAGAAAAGAGAGACGGAAGCAACCGGATGAAGCTGCGGGAAGAAAAAAGAAACAAAAACCAGACTGTTCTTAACCCCGCTTCTTCCAGTGCATGTACGATGTATCTCGCTCACGAGCGTACTGTATTATACTACGAGTACTATTACCATGTTCCTTGCCCCTTGTCCCTGGATGCATCGTGGCTCGGTACCTGACGGTTTTGAGTCCCAACCTTGCCCGATCGGTAACCCCCCCATGGACCCAATGTAATAAAGACACGATCCTCTATACGGATAGGGCAACTATTTTCCTTTGAATTATTATGGCAGGCATACATTCCGCGTAGTCCGTGCGACATTACTATAAGCCCTTTTGAATCATTGGCTTATACCATCTCGACTCAGGTACTGGTCCTCTTTTCTCTTCTTCCTCCTCTTCCTGTCAGACTCGTCTCCGCAATGAATGGAACGAGGCCCAGGCGGAAGGTACGTGTACCCACACAGTCAACACCATCTCACACCCTCGTGGATACCCTCCGAGAAGACTCCAGTCAACTCGCGCGGTGTACCTGATACTCCGGAATAGTCATGACTGGCCGGGTCTTAACTGTTGCTATCATGTGTAAGCCCTGTTTTTGTCCCCTTGACTAAGGGTGTACATGGGACATGGCAGAGAGAAAGAAGAGGAGGATGAAAAATCAGAAGGATAGTCTGGTCTAGTAGGAGTGGCCCTAACTCCACGTCCTCTGGCGGCCCGGCAGCTTGCCGCGGTGGCTTGGTTGGGTTGATAATCCGCCGTCCTCATCTTGCTCGAGGTAGATATAAAGGTGCCAGTCTCGTCCCATGGTGATTTCAAAAAAAAAAGAGAGAAGACAGCAGCACTCTCTCATCCATTCCCTTCAAGACTCTCCTTGAACATACACTCCTTCACTTCTTCTTGTCTCTCCTTTGAACAAGTTTCCTTCCCTTAACAGTCCTTTCCAACACCGCTTATACACCAAGCACACCTACTTCCAAGTACGGCACACTATCCCTTTCAAGATGTACACTGCCATCACCGCCGTCCTCGCCGCCTCGGCCACCATGGTCTCCGCCGGAGCCATCCCCCTCATGCGCCGTGACGCCGCCAGCGTCACTCCCCACGTTGAGTACTCTTCGTCCGTCGGTGTCGTCGGCTGCAAGATCAACACCAACCGTGTGGCCTACTGGCCCATGTCTGTCAACTGCAACGATATCTGCGTCAAGGTGTCCAACGGCGATAAGAGCCTGCACCTTCTCAAGATCGACACGTCTGGCGGTGCCTACGACATCTCGTACGACGCCTGGAACGAGCTCGGCTTCGGCTCCTCCGCCAGGGAGGACCCCCATATGGGTGGCGGCATCGATATGACGTACGAGTTCGTCGACAACTCTGAGTGCTCTCACCTGCTCGACGACGGCAAGCTGCCCCTCCTGGCTGCCAACAGCATGAACTATGTCTCTTCCTGCCTCGCCGAGCCCAGCAGCTGGGTCGCCAAGAACTACAAGCTGTACAACATCCTTGACTCCGTCTGCCACAGCGGTATCGATGAGGAGTGCAGTGTCGACCTGTCCGTCAGCAACCAGCCCACCTGCCCCTCGGGTCTCGGCAGCAACTCTCCGCTCGACAACCCTGTCTGGAACATCTCGTACGGTACCGGCAAACTCGTCAAGGCTTAAGCGTGGACGCTACCTTGACTTGCTCTCATGATCTATCTTCTCGTCACTCGTTCTCTTCTTCTTTTTCTTCTTCTTCTTCTCTGTATATATCCCCGAGAGCCCGTTATAGAACAACCACATAGGCCTCGCGTCAATCAAGGGTCAATTTTTTTAAGTCCGGAATCTGGATGAATCATTCTCTTCTTTGCTCAACCTCTTATGTTCATGGCTTGTTGTAATCCAACGTCAATATCCTTTTCCATTGTGCGAATTCACGTGCAAGTACGCGTACCCGACCAATTGATAGGCCATAAAACGTCTACCATGTGTGTCGGTACGTGGCCGTAGGATTCATCCTTGGGAAGACCCGTCTTCTTGGCTCAGGCTAAAATGCAGGGCCTTGTTAGCATGGGTTTCTATCCCAGAGGATTGGGGGTCGTGTGTCGTGGTCCATGGACGTTACATTGGATAAGATTGGCTGGCTGTCCGGCTCAAGGTATCCGACTCGTAATGTATGGATCATATTGTATCACTGATTCATTGTACAGGGTCTAGGATGCATGAGACTTGATAATTGACTGCTGGCAGGTCTGGGATGAGTGAGGGGAGGGGGAGAGTCAGTGAAAGAAAGGCCCCGCAGTTCCATGAAAATCTGAAGACCGTGGATGTCAGAGCCGAGGACAGCGATGTCGGGGCTGGGCACCGGGGGACCTCTAGGCCTTAGGTATCTTACGTCCATAGCGTTTTGTAGTAATATTATATCAGTATATGACCACTGTAAAGAGTCCGAAAGAGTCCCCATACAGCGCCCTCGGGCCAACCATAGGCCTATGGCGCAGCCACAGGGATTGCCACAGGACAGCCATAACATGATTACAGCGTCATTGCGCCTTATGCAGAATGGTAATGATGCATGACTAATGATGCGAACCGGCGACCCTCGGCATTAGCGTCGTCTCTATTAGCGTAGAAACTACTAGACTCGTTTCTTGCGAGACTTGAAACTATCTCATTTGCTCATACTAGTATTTGGTCGTTATTTTCCACGTTTTCCATGTATTCCATGTTCTCTCCTTCAATCCTTTTCTCTAATTTCTCTGTATGAGATATATCATTGTCAAACGGCAAATCCCTCCTTGGTCGTGTGCTATCCAGAGACATACCGTCGCCTTAAAGACCTTGAGCCGACCCCTCCCCCGCTTCACATTTGCCCACCATGGCAGCAACAGACAGCCCGGCATCGGGCAACGAGAAGCTCCCATCCTTCTACTCCCCCAAAGCTTCCACATCCGACGCCAATTCCCTCGGCGAACCGACATCTCAGCCGCTCTCGGAGGCACCAACAACGAACGATGAATCATCATCCACAGAGGGCCAGCTGCCCCTCCCATCTCTGCTCTCCCCCGCCGTGACTCCTCCGTTGACTCCCGGCGGTAGCATCCATGCATCGGCAGCAGCATCGTTGAACGAATCGGGGCCCCGCGGTATCCCCGTTGATAGCACCACATCCACGGGCGGGTGTGGTTCGAAGCGACCTAGACTTCTCGAGACGCTCCCCGAGGTGGAGTGCGCCGTCCGGGCCCGCATTCCTACCGTCAACGGCGGCGAAATGTTCCTCCACCTGTACACCAACAACGTCGACAACAAGGAGCACCTGGCCATTGTGTTTGGCGACCACATCCGCAGCAAGAGTCTTGACGCTCCGCGCGAGGGAGAGTCAGAAATGGACCGCATGATTCGCGGCGCATACACAGGTACCCTTTACCCCGGCCGCCTGGCCAGCCTTCCCGATGGACCTTCTACCCCGCAACCCAGAAACGAAGTGCCCCTCGTGCGCATACACTCCGAGTGCTACACCGGCGAGACGGCCTGGTCTGCCCGCTGCGACTGCGGAGAGCAGCTGGACGAGGCTGCACGCCTCATGAGCCTGCCTAACTCGGGCGGTGGCGCAATTGTGTACCTCCGCCAGGAGGGTCGTGGCATCGGTCTCTCGGAGAAGCTCAAGGCCTACAACCTGCAGGATCTGGGCAATGATACTGTACAGGCCAACTTGTACCTTAGACACCCTGCCGACGCTAGGAGCTACGGCCTCGCCACCGCTATCCTTCAGGATCTTGGTCTGTCCGAGATTCGGTTGCTCACCAACAACCCCGACAAAATTCGCGCCATTGAGGGACCCAACCGCGAGGTTGTCGTCAAGGAGCGTGTTGCCATGGTTCCTCTGTCTTGGCAGGGCTCGGGAGGCTTCAAGAGCCGCGAGGTCGAGGGATATCTCAAGACCAAGGTATGTTCCATCTATTATAGATCCCACTCCCCCCTTCAACTGCGGAATAATGACTGACAGAAGCAGATTGAAAAAATGGGACACTTGCTGCAAATGGGACCCTAGGCACCTCGCCCATCACGGATACACTTATCCCTAAAAAACAAACATATAGGAAAAGCATGGTTTTTCGAAGCATTCTTCTACACGGAGCTACTTTCTTCCTCCTCGCGCTCCGTTCTATCCCTATCTCTTCTCTGTCTCGCTTCACTGCTGCACTCGATGGCGTTTACAAATAATGGGAGTTTTATTTTTTGGCTGTGTTTGTCGGATACCTAATCTTTTCTTCATGTTCACAATAATTTCGAGCAACCAAGGTGAAAGGTCTGCAATCAAAATTTTTCTTTTCCATGGAATATATCTGCTTTGTAGTTACCCAACTGTATTCGTCTAAATATGATAGCAGGAGTAACTATATAAACGTGGCTATGGTAAATGTTTAGTGTCCATTGCTATGAGTATTACGACGTAAGGAGCACGAGACTGTCTCCACAAAATGTTTCCCTCAGGCGCGCCAGCAAACGCGTGCCACTTGCGACGAACTTCAGGAAAAAAAAAATAGCCTAAGATCCTAGGGTCATAATCACTTCATCTTATAAACCCACCCAACGGTCCTACGAATATTCGAATGAAGACCTCCGCATCTTCGTTATTACCCCTTCAAGACACCAAGGCATGATCTGACAGGACGCCGCCATGTCTTCCAACGGCATCCGCCTGCGTCTAACCATTCGCAGGCACGCCCTGCCTGACGTCAAGTTCGTCTGGCCCTGCGTTACTTCGCATGGCATGACCATCGCCAATCTCCTCTCCGAGGTCAACAATGTCGTCACCCTGGAGAGTGGCCAGTGGGGCCTTGAAGACTATGCCGTTGAGCTATCCGACGGCCAGGGAGGAAGCTTCGAGTGTCTGCACTTTCAACAGGTTGCCCAAGTCTTCAAGAATGATGATCAAGTCTTGTACGTCTACTCACCATGCCTCCCGGGCGAGTTCTCTTGGTTTTAACTATAAGCTCAGGATCCGCTCTCTTCTAGTCGAGGACCTACGCCGAAGACGCATCAGCGGCCGTCATCAAATCTCCAACGACGGCGTCCACCTCGTCGACGGCGTTCCCTTTGGACGCAATCGGATGCCTCGTAACAGACCAACCTTTAGCCTTCCCCCTCGCAAGCGCGCGCGCATCACGTACGACCCGACCGATGAAGACGATGACGGCGAAGACTATGACGAAGATGGTGACGACGAGATGGACGAGCCGGTCCAGCTTCTTCTGGATGACTCCCGCCGTCGTACGAGCAATACCGAACGCCCATCTACCACTAATTTTGGCACGCTGCACAACGACGACGACGACGAAGACTACGAATACGTTCCTGGTGATGCGCTCGATGATGATGCAGACAACGAAGGCGACTCCGGCCATGTTGAAGAAGGCGAAAAAGAGGAGCTCGATGAAGAAATCCGTCTTTTACAGGCGGACAGCGATATTGTCGGCGGCTCTGACTGGGAACGGGAGCACAGAGCAATTGATAAAAAAGAGGACCATGATGATTCCCCATCCCATGGTACCTCCCAGCCGCTGCTCCGCGAAATCCCCCCAGCAGCCATCTCCGCTCTCCAGGCTGCCTTTCCCCTGACATCTGCCACAATTATAGAGGCCACCCTTCAGCGACACAAGGCGAGCATCTACCAGTCGTACAGCGAGCTCGCCGCAACCAACGACCCCGTCTCGACCTTTGAGGAGGTCCTGGATGCCTTCTTTACCGCGAGGTTCCAACCCAACACCTCCGATGAAAACTCGGGTCTACTCCCCGAGATAGAACAGGTACCTTCTAGACCTCTTATACAGGAAGTGGAGAGTGACGAGCCGGAGGTGCAGGACACGGGCGGTGGAGTTGGGATTCAGGAAGTCACCGAGGTCAGTTCTACTAGTGACAGCGAGTCTGAGTCTAGCGATGCACACGACGAGTCCCATGACGACGATGGAGCGGCTCCGAAGCCAGACAATACCTCGAGCGCTTCGGACGAGTCAATGAGCGACTCGGATGATTCCGACAGCGACTTTTCTGAGTCCGACGCCTCTAAGTCGGCTCCCAAACAGGACCAGACTGAGCCCCCTCCGCAGCTAGATGAGCAGGCTACGAGCGAGTCTGACTCTGACTCTGACTCTGACTCTGAATTTGATTCCGATTCCAATGCTGGCTCGGGAGACAGTCCCAAGTCTAGCGACAGCGACAACAACTCGGACTCATCGAGTGACGATGACTCGAGTGATGATTCTGACTCCCAGTCTCAACCGGAAGTTGCATCATCAAAGTCAGCCGATAACACCAAGTCGAATTCCAAGCCAGCGGAGAAGAGCACCAAGATATCCCAAGAACAACCCGCTCAATCGAAAGGGGACGTCCAAGCGCAACAGAAGACGGTTGCGCCTGGCCAGGGACTCTCTAGAACACAGAAACGGAATGCCAGGCGCAAGATCGCCAAACGCCTCAGGGGTGCCCAAACGGCAGGCGGGATTAATGCCCCAGCCCAGCCCCAGAAACTTCAGTCCCAACTGGACCTAGAAACACTGCAACAAGACCTGTTGGCGCGAAAGCAAGCACTACTAGATGCCATGGTCGACACATCCTCGAATGACCAATACGAGAGTGCTAACGAGGAAAAGACAAGTGACGAGCCAGCAGTTGAAGAGCAGTCAACTCCACGCTTGCGTGTCGACATGGATGCAGGCCGGAGACTCCTCCTTGGGGCCCTGGGCTTCAGTAATCCCAAGAAGAAGGCTGATGAGGAGAAGATAAAGAAGGACTTGATCAAAGATGTCCGCCCCGTCAAAAATCACAGACAGGAGGAGACGTCGGCCCCGGAACCCTTAGTAAATGGGCAAGATGATGAGAGCTGGCGTAGCAAGATCACATACCGGGCGGTAGAGTGCTGTCGTGACGGCATGTGCCTGAGCGAGCCGCCCTTCCCATTTGTCCAGAGGTGGGACCCGCAACAGCAGTACAACGCTATGCGGAAGAGGACGCGCGGATCGCAAAACCACCATCGAGATACGTCTCACTACGAGGACGAGTCGTACATGGAGGTGGAGGTGTCCAAGAACAACAAAAAGAAGAATAAGGCCCGTCACCAGGATGTGCCTCCGAAAAAGTCGATTGACAACATGGAGCTCAACTACGAGGATGTCCCGATGAGTGCCCAAGAAGGCGATAAGGGGGAATCATCAGACTCGGAAGATGACCTGCCGCCGCTGCCGTCTGATATATCGACTCTGCCTCTCTTAGAGGAGAGCCAGGTCCAGCCCGGAATGGTGGTTACATGGAAAACTTTTCGATTGTCCAAGGCGACCAACTGGCAGCCACAGGTTCTTTCTATAACAGGCCTCGTCGTGGCCATGAATGACAACAAGGAATTGCACCTTGTTCTAGCAAAGCGCGACCGCGAGGAGGACCAAAAGGTGTACGACGAGCAGACTGGCCAGAGAATCTACGACAAGTTCGAGGTGCCGGATGATTCTGACGAGGAAGGAGAAGATGACGAGGAGACCCGTAACGGACACATCTATGTTCCTTGGGCTGAGATGATGGATGCACGTATCCTTGCCCCCGCTGCCCGGCTGCCCGAGAATATCGGCGCTGAACGGGTGCCTGAAGAGGAAACCCCAGAGGACATGGAGACAAACGAAAATTCGCCCGCTCAAAGCCACAACGATGGGGCTTCCGGGTCGTCTTTGATACCATCAGGGCAGCAGGTGGCCCACCTGGACATGTCAGAGGTGTCAGTGGGGAAGCCCTCAGATAGCCAAACCAGTAGAGCTGTGACATCCCAGGTGCAGTCGGCCAACAGCAGCGAGGTGGTTATAAAGGATTCGCAGCCGCAGTCAGCCGGGGGGGTCGATGAAGCTACTGATGGCGCCATGGTTCAGGATTCAGTTTCAGAAGCCGACGGGCCTGGCGAAAATACCGCCATCCAGGACTCGGCTCCAGCGCCAACTGCTGCGAATGCGGCCATGGAGGTGGAGGATGAGGTCATTCCCGACGGTGGCAACACCGCAGAAAACCAAGATGCCCAAATGCCCACCGATATATCCCTCTACGCCAAGAGCACAGACGACAGCGTCGAGCTAGGCAACGAAACCGTCATCCGCAACACGCACAGATCCAGACCACAGGCAACACCCCGAGAAGCATTAGATGACGAGGAGGGAGTCCTCCAACTAAGCAGCTCTCCATTCCCGCCCCTCGACAAGATATGGCAGAAGGCCCATACACAGAGGCAGATCAAGAGCCCGCTCAGGTCTTCGCAGACATCTGATCTGCAAGAAAAGCCAAAGAAGGCTGCAGTCAAGAGTGAGAAGGGAGGAGCGGCGCGCAACCTGTTCCCCAACGCGACACAGCCACCCGTTTCTTCGGGGAACTTGGAGAGCAACAGCAACAAGGGCCGCTCCGTCTCTACTCCATTTCACATCCCCCAGGGAAGCCAGGTCATAGCCGTCAACACATCGGACGATGACGACGGTTCATCGTCAGGGTCGGATTCGGATCCAGACTCTGATAAGGAGGACGGTACGCCTCTCCCTGGCGGGCCAGGCTGGGTACATAAGACGCGGAGCAGCGGAGCAGCCGCGGCGGGGGTCAGGAGAAGCAGTATACCCGCGACGTGGACACCGACGACAAAGAAAGACGAGGGATCGCGGCCGTCGTTGCTGTCGTCGGGGATATCATCGAGTGTTGGCAAGACGGGAGTGGATGGTCGTAAGAGGATTAGCAAAAAGTTTTGAGGTAGAGGCATAAGTGTGGCGTTTAGCAATGTGTACTTTCATTGTATTTAACTTTAGATGCGTACAATTAACTTTACTTATTATCATGAATGTCAGTCGAGCTTTGAATCTAGTGCTTTACGGATAGGAAGGCACAGTGGTAAGTAGGCCTGGTGCATCACGAGAAAGAAATAATAACTTTTATAACAGTTTTTTTTATGTGAACTGGTCCGTAACCCGAAACACCGTTAGATTCATGCTTTGTTTTTTTGTTCTAGTTGTCAAAGGCCATATTTCCCCTGACAGGAGAAAAAAGCCAAACCCCCTTCCTAGGAAGAGATTGTTTTCCTAACCGCGGCGCCAGAATCCCAACAAGACCTTTTTCTTTTCGAAATCTCGTCACTTCAACCAAGAAGAAGAAGGGAGGGGGGAAGAAACGGGAAGAGAGCAGGAAGGAAAATCATGAGAAGCATTGAAGAGGAAAGAAAAGAGATGGTACCTCTCCCCTCCTTTGGTAAGCCTCCTCCCATGGTATGAACGAGAGAAAGAAGAAGAAAAAGGAGCTCAACAAGAACAAGAGGAGTTGGTGCTGCCAACCAATCAAGAATTACCGGAGTGCCTGCATCACAGAATGAAACGAATGATGCTGGGCACGGCGGTCGTAAAAGAAGCGAGTCCACGTGGAAAGATGTAAGAAAATTTCATAGACTGCCACACCCTCCATAACTCCTTGCCCTTTATGACAACCCTGGCATGCGTTGGTGATTCGTCTATTTCTCCTTCTTCGCCTTGGCACCCTTGACCTTCGCCGTACCGCGCAGCGTCTTCTGGCGGTTCTTGCGCTGCTTGCCTGTGAGGAGGTTAGCATCATGTTTTCTCTTCTAGAGGGCCCCTCTTTCGGTCGATACCGAGGGGCTTTGATAATGAGAGGGAATATGAGAGGAGAGGAAACGTACGCTGCTGCCTGCTGGCGCGCTCGGGCTTGGTACCAAGGCCAACGCGGACAAGGCGGTACAGGGGCTCAAACTTCTTCATAGCCTCGGGCGAGTCGTAGACGAGAGCGAAGCCAGTGGTCTTGCCACCACCGAACTGGGTGCGGAGACCGAAAACAGAGATCTGATCCTTCTGGGCCTTGTACAGGCTGCCGACCTTCTCGCGGAGCTCATCCTTGGAGATGTTGGCACGGTTGGGGTGCAGGATGTCACTATAAATTACCCAAAAAAAAGGCCACAGGTCAGTCAACGCTCTTCGCGTGTGCATGAGTACGTGTTGGCTCTGTATCGTCCTTTTCCAGGCACAGATGATCGGTACAATAAAGACATGTTGTTTGAGGATCGTGTCCCTTCCCTCTTCTCCCCATCAGCGTAGAAAACTTTTCGCGCGTCGTTCACCCTGCGATAAGGGTGGAACATTCTCGATTCGGCGTAGACTTTGTCGATGGAGAGAGGGTAAAGGAAAAAGACCGATTCTCAGTTGTATTCTCTTCTTTTTTTTTTTCTTTCTATTCTCCGTCTCTTCCACCATGTCCCAATATCGACAACAGGGCAAGGGTGGATGAATGGATTGATTTGCGGTAGGGGAATTGGCACAAAAAGAGGACTACTCACACAACCATCTGCTTGCGACCCAGGAGAGGGTTGCGGATGAACTTGCGAGTTCGCAGGGTAACGGGGCTGTCGTTGTCCGCCATGATGTGCTTGTCGGGGTTGGTGGTCTCTGCTGGGAGGTTGGCTATGAGAGACGTGGGTTGGGTCGTCAACTTTTGATGGATGAAGGTGCTCGCAGAGCAAAAAATCCGCCCGGCTTCAGATTAATTGGGTCCAACCCTAAGAAATTCGCGTGTGCGCTGGTGGGGGCCCTCAACTTGGGGCTATGGCAGGAAATTTTCGTGCGGACTCTCACGTGACGTTACACACACCTCGCTTAAAGGCTGATTACTAAAGTAAGCCAGCGGGCGATCTTCGGGGTATTCAGCCACACACATACACACCAAGCAACGCCACATACAAGGTAACGCCACATCCATACCACCCACAGGCTGCCACACCATCGCATCTCTCGACCAGTCGCGTGCAGCACATATTACTGGCCCTGAACATGCACATAATACTCGTACGAGTGCGTTGTAATCAAGGAAAGAACCAAGAGCTGTGACGTATATAATTGCGGGGAAAGATTGACTATTCCAGGGCCATCCCTTGTATCCAATGTATTGAAAGTTCGAATATCGAAGACAAAACTTGCGAGGATAAAATCGAGACGGGAATGTCACAGCCCTGGACAAGAGAGGTTGACAGATACTGCCATCAATACCTACAGCTGGAAGCCAAGCTAGACATCCCACGACGCGAGATCCTCAGGCTTCCCGAGGTACAGGATGCCATCTTTGCCAAAATATTCGCCGACGGGGCCATCCGTTACGAGCCACCGGTGCGCTTCAAGTTCAAGACGCTGAAAGACCTCGTCTCACATATCGAAGAGAGTATAGATGACTGGGATCGACATGTGAGCTAGCCAGATTAAAAGAAAACCAAGAGGACGAAAGAGAAAAGAGATGTGTATGTCTGACGCCGAAAGGTAGGAAGTATCGGGCGATATCCTAGACGCCATGGGAGTCCTTCTCTCAACACCCCTCCCACCAGAGATTTTGTCGTCGCAAAAGAAGTTTTACGTTACGTATCATGTCTCTGGTATGCCACCTGATCATAGCAGCAGCAGTAGCAGCGGCCGCAAGACCGGGAGCGAGAGCAGTAACTGGAAAGACGACCGATACATCACCCTCCTCGAGAACCGTAGTCTCATCGCCGGATCAGGCACAACCGGTCTACGCACGTGGGAGGCGGGTCTACACCTGGGCCAGTTTCTCTGCCAGAGTCCAGAAATCATCCGAGGCAAAGAAATTCTCGAACTCGGTGCGGGCACGGGATATCTCTCGGTCCTATGCGCCCGACACCTAGGCGCAGCGCGTGTCATTGCCTCTGACGGGTCCGACGACGTTATCAACAACCTCCCCGAGAACCTGTTCCTCAACGACCTGCAGGATTCTAGACACCAGGTAATACCCATGGACGTTAAATGGGGACACGCGCTCGTGGGGACTGAGGAGACGGACTGGAACGGCGGCAGACCCGTAGATGTGGTTCTGGGCGCCGACGTGACGTACGATGACAGGGTGGTGCCGGCGCTGGTTGCTACGCTGGGGGAACTCTTTGTGCTTTATCCCGATGTGAATGTGTACATTTCGGCGGCAGAGAGAAACGAGAAGACTTTCCATGTGTTTCTGGATTCTTGCCGAGAACAAGGGTTAATGGTCGACATATTGGACTTTCCTGTTCCGCCGCCCGAGGAGCAGACGGGACCGTTTTATAGCGTTGATGTTGCTATGAGTATATGCAGAGTATCAAGGTAGTTTTCAGCAAGAGAACCTAGTGGGTTATAGAATGAGATGAACACCTTTGCTTCCGTCAGCGAGAATCATGTATGACATTCATTGTTCTCTCCGACCAAAAGAAGGAGAAAGAAGAGAGGAAAAAACCTCAGACACTAGTTTCCTTGTGATAGCGTCGTTCCAAGTTGGCCATTTGTGCTTCCTGCTAGCGACAACAAACGATGTAGGTAGACATGAATAGAGTGGTCTCTGCCTACTGGTACGTCCTGTGTCGATGAGTGTGTGTCCTGGTACGTACTTGATTGAATTGAAAGGAAGGAAATCTATCTATGAGGCTATCTACAGGTATGAGTGTGGCAGCAGCCTCTAGCTGCTTCGTCATACAATCTTGGATGCCACATGTTTCAGGACATAGGGTAGATAACGTACAGGGGCAGGGGCGGGTCATGACATTACTCGTACAGAGCACGGATAATCCCATACGGTATTGATATTCACTCCGTCCTCTAGTATTTATTACTCGGTCAGCGTCAAGGCTCAAGGTCATCGGCGAACGCCGTCGTGAGCCACCCGTGCGCCGATCGTTCTGCAATGGGATCGGACGAGAGCTGGAGTGCTAGAGACTAGAGGCTAATACAGCAGAACCCCGAAAAAAAACTTACAAGTAAATATTCTGGTGTAATTACGAGGCTAATATTTAGCGCACATGGGTGGAGATTTTGCGCCATCTTGAAAAAAACGAGCATCAGTACATCTGTATCCTTGGTTAGAACTGTACACCATGTCCGCACTCCATGTCCGCACTCGTACTTGATATAATAATACTGCCTCTTTACTACCCCTAATATGGCAGAGGTTCCAGCTACTCGAGAAAAAAGATACATGTGTGTTGTAGTGCTGTGCGCGTTGTGGTGCGGAGCACCCCCTAACAGGAGGAGTGTTGCGCGAGCAGTATTCATAAGTTGGCAGTCTGTGTGGGCTGTAGTTGCTTTGTTGGGATATACTACGATAGTAGCGATGTAAAGAAAATGACATGCGTTCCAACCGAGTCCAAGCAATATTCCTGATCAAGTCACGGGTGTTTAAGGATGTCGAGGGGCGGGGAAAGTCGGGCTGGCCACTTGGGGACACTCGTACTCGTATGACTGGTTGTACGGGCATGGTGCACTCCGTAGCAGCAGTGTACGAGTATTTGTCAGTGCTGTCTCGTATGCTTGTCGACTTCTACTAGGCAGCCAGTACGGAGATCGGAAGATTATACAAATGTCTTTACCACGATGCTGGTGCAGTCAAGTGAGACGGGATGGTGCTCCCGCTTTAGTGTAGTGCTGTTGATCACTGGCTGCAAGGCAAGGAATTTCTAAACTTCAAAAACAGGGCTGTCAAGGCAGTTGGTCAGCCAATGCTGCGCAGTAAAACTTACTCCGTGTTACAACGCCGGCTATCATAAAACGGGTGTAATACTAGCCCGTGGAATTTTAAGGGCTCGAGTGAAGTGGGGGAGAAGAATAAGGAAAAAGGAGGGGTCATTGCGCTTGAGTGGCTTTGAGGTGTGGTTGACGATGCCGTGAGCCGATGATAATAGGTTTGTTTGCTTTTATCCGTCTCTGTGGTATTATTGTTTAATTGTTTTACCGTCAGATTCTAGGGTTGTAATATTCTATTTCAGGGCTGCAATGGTCTCCTCGTGTACGTTCTATACTCACCGCCAGACCTCGAAGTCTTGAGAGCAATCACGATCGCAGACATTCGGTCCACTGTCTTTCCAGGGTCTGAAGAAGCGAGAGACGTCATGGCGACATGAGAGTCATCGTTTCTCGTTTCCCTTGCGTCGGTGGGCATGACGTATGATGTAGAGGTGAGACAGATGGATTATTGTCAAACACAAGGTCGTCAGCGGCGTTGATTACCGATCAGCCTGTCGTTCGGTGCCGGTGAAACTAACAAGAGATATTGAGGGAGCTATAATATCTAACAACGAGGTCGGGAGTTGTTGTCGCACAAGGTGTGGAGAGAGTGGCGGAGGGTGACGGCGCCTGATGTATTTCCATTCATGTACTGGTTGTCGCTCGTCCGCCTTGTCTGCTTGTTAACATCTCCTGTATTCATGCTTGCCATTGTGGCACAGCAAACGCATAATGGGATGACTCCCGTCTCCCATGACGGACACGTAGTTTGTGGCATTGCAGCTGATGAATGGTCTACTCCGTAGACCTGCGCGGGTTCGCTTCTCTTCTTAATTGGGCTCTGTTACTCCTGGTGGTGGTCAAGTTCGAACAAAAATAGAAGTCCTCGTAGTTCGTGTGTTTGTCGCAGTCGCGGATCCCACTTTCTGGTTCCCCGAATTCCCGATCATGTGCAACTTTTTTGACCAAGATACGAGTACTCAACTTTCTTGCTTTGAGTATTCTTCTTCGCGAAGATGTCCACGGCTCTCTCACGGCCGTGCTATACACATCACTGAGCCCACAGCACACCACACGCATAACATGTACAGCCATCCTTCTCCACGGCCGCGGCAGATACATCAAAGCGCGACAGGAATTGCAGATCTCAGGACTCAAGCAGTCCGTCACGGAACTAAATGATCAGATAGATTCTGAGACGAAGACACTGGGCGGCAAGGCGGCCACATCGTTCTCGGTGGCACTGGCCAAGGCGCTGCTATAGGTATGTCGACGTGGCTGTGTCTCCGGCGCGGCTTAATTCATACACCGAGGTTGGGCGCCTTTATCAGCACAAGTGCTTGGTTTCCATTTGCCGACGATATTGCCCGCCTGGTCTCCCACAAGGATGCGATGGTGCCGAAAAACAAGGCCGCCGATTTGTGGGGAACATGACGGTAGGACTGTATCGTGCAGTAATACATGTAGGAGGCACTGGAAAACGAGGACTCCCTTCTGCACGCGCCCACATTTCTTGGTGATGACCTGGACGGACATCACCTCGGACGACGGGCGAAGGATGTCCTGGAGAATGTAGACCTGATCGAGGGCCACTGGCTCAAGGTTCCTAATGAGGTCGATGGCATATCGTCCTTCTAGCCGAGTGGGTTGTTACTACATCATATACGCGTAGAAGCATGAAGAACCAACCATATTGTTAGACAGCTCACAAGCGGTGGCGGGCCACTAGACTCTTTCTGCTCCCCTCGTTATGAGTAGCACAGGCGCTCTCTCGACCTAGATAGCCCAGTGCTTTGGGGCATAAACATGTACTGAACTTCCGTCCTCCTAGTGTCAGTTCGCTTGTGAAGACGTGCATGGCCTTCTCACGATATACGCTCCTTAACTCTTGCGTCACCCGCCCACCAATTATAGAGCCACACCAATGGTAGGCGGGGAAACGGCACGGCCCTCATACTTGGCGTAGTCGTCACGCAAAGCTTCCGAAAAGAGGCAATTGCTGTAACCGACGGAATTGCCATTTTGCATTTTCTTTTATCTGCTATTCGGACATATAAATGGTGGGCGAAAGCGAAGTGCATCGAATGGCCCCCATTGGAGATTATGTAGCGATGGTTACCTGCTCAATGACTTGATGCCGGTCACAACCCGCTGGCCATGATACAAGCGGCAAATATTGATGTTACGCGACCAGGATCGTGATTCATGCATTCGTTTGCACGGAGTGGCGGTTGGTTAAGGCACTGAGACCGTTGGCTTTCAGGCTTCCCTAGCTGGGCGGGGTGGAATCGAGAGAGTGCAGCTACAGATGAATTGTTTCCGTCGTATTGTTTGACGGTGGCAACACGCGCGATTTGTACGTTAGGTGATCTAACATGCCAATTTTAGGAAGGGCGTTGAGCACAATCTATCCGTCTTGCTCGCGGCACTGTGGATCTGACCTACGAGTCCGGCGGAACAATGCGCCGGGTATACACATTCCCACAAGAGCTAGATAGTAGCTTCCTGCTACAACATCAATCAAGTTATCCTCCCGCTTTCGGATCAAACGTAGCCTCACATCATCTGGTGTGAGTTACGAGGTGATCCTACGAGGAAGAGCCCGCAGATGCACAGCGCCGAGCGCTATCCAGCACCAATAGTCATCTGTCGTGAATCACGTGTACTGATGCGGACAGCCAACGAAGTGCAGCTACGGACGAACAGCTCTTTGTTCACCAGTGGACGGCAGAGACTACCGATCGTTTCTCAAACGTATGCCTCAATTTCGACCGCCGAACGCAACTTGCGCGTCGCGTGGTGGCACCGAGCGCGGGAGTGTAGAACAGCGCACGGTTGGCTCTGAACAGCTAACCCGGATAGGATCGATGTCTCATACATTGTGTTCAATGAAGCTTGTGCGCGAACACAGCAATCTCAAGTACCGCGGTCGAAAAGGCAGATCACGATGGTAGGTCTGCGAAGAGTCTCGGATGTAAATAAGAGGATTCTCTTTACTCGTACCTCAGATACCAGGGGAGGTCCCTCCACTTGTCACATTACGGATGCACCAATGCTCGTAGAAAAAAGGTTCCTTAGAGGAGGATACGTCGTCTTTGCTTGCAATGCCCTTGGCCTTTATGAGAAGAGCTTTGCTTGTCACGAGGAAAGTCGCACCTGCTTGCGTTGGTACACAGGAAGTACCCGATTTACTCATAGTGAGTGAGTGTTAGTGGTGTTAGTAGAACGAGTGGGACACGATATCTGTCTCTTATACGTTCTACGAGGGCGTATGCTTTCTACATAGGAAGTGGATAAAATGGATATATAAAATCCGTTTGTGCAGGCTATCATCTAATTACCTATTTCAATCGAGGTGTTTTGTGGTTTGCCGTGATATAAACATATGCCTATTCTATGACTCCTTGTCGCACATTGGTACAATGCTGTTCTAACCATGAATAATATAAAAACAGAATGACGGCTGAAGGCGCCAATCTGGTTGCCGAGCGTTACAGCTCAAGCTTCTTATTTTATCATGGTAGAGGTTGTAGTTGATCGGGGTGAAAGTTCTTGATTAATTCTATGAAACTGGACTTGACGTGCTTTTTTTAAAAAAAACCAAGTCCTGGACTACCTGACCTGCTTTGGGATGTGGAGTTGGACCCGACATCTCAGGATCCCAGCTTGCCTAGGCTGGGCTCCATTCTCCTTAGCAAGAATTCCCTACTTATTCCTCCTTTCCCTTGAACCTGTTTCCCCTTATATCGGTTGCGTATAGCTTCCGGTGTCAGCACAGTTAACTTTACATATGAGTCTAGAAGGTAGTATATGACCACAACCCTGGCCGGCACATAGAATGGTGCTGGGAGATGGTGGAAAACTGGTGCTTGGGGCACCCATTTTCGTGACCCAGGACTGCGATACACGCACTTAATTACTCTGTAATCCTGGCACAATCAAAATGTCGTAGTGAGGGGGTGAATGTGGCGGTATCAGCATCAAGGAAGGAGCCACTGGTTGTTATTAATAAATACGAGTGAGTCCGTGGCTCCTTCTCATTCATTCTTCTTGACAAAAAAAAAACCTTTTCCGTGGCTTTGTCTCATTCCAGCACCATCACCGTCATATCTTCGTCTCCTCATCCCCTTCACCTCAACATAAGACTCGATAGCATGTTCATGTTACTTCATTCACTACGAGTACAGATCTGTACAGTTACAACACTCTCCCACATCCTGTCGGCATTCAAGATTATTACTCCGTGCTGCATTACTCCATTGACTCCCTGCACATACATGCATGTATATATATGTACTGCGATAACATCCTGCGGCTGGCCCTCAAGTCGGGCACCACTAAACAAGGACTCAAAGACCCAGGGACCCAAAAGCCGCTCTCAAAGGCTCGTATCCCTACGGAGTGATACATACCACTACATGTACTCCGTACTTCGTACGAGTACAACGAGTATCATTATTATGCTGCAACATATCGTACCCACCCTCTACTTGTCTGAGAGGCGCCGCCTTCCATAACCCCATTTAGTACCAACAACCCATTCCGCATTTGGCACGGGTACGGGTACGACTACCACCAAGTACGAGAACCGCTCGGCATAAGCCTTCGCCTCGGGGTTTCGGTCGGTCGTTGCATGCTATTACAACTGAGCAACACCAGCCTATGTGCTATATTACGCCATACTACGACGGGACACCAAACTCCTCATCGTCATACCGTGCACTCCAGTACGCAAAGGGGGGCCAGAAACGACATTCTGAATTGAAACCAGTCTGAGCTTGAGCTTGTTTGCTCTGTCCTACGACATAATAGCTGGAGAGTTGTTTGCTGCCCATCTTACCTTATCTTTCGGGAATCACCAGCACCGGCCACCATCCAGCCACGCTACTGTACGAGTATTTCCCTTTGGCGGTTGGCCTGTGTTCGTGCTCAGCCTGTGGACCCGAACTTGCAAAAAGACTAAAAGAGCGCCAATTTGCTGCAGCCAACTTCCATCTTTGGGTGGAGCTGGACCGTGCTTTGCCCACTTGCTTTCTTAAATTCTCGCTGGTGCAGCAGCCCGGGGTCCCATTTATCGCCATATAAACCATTAAACCGCGACGATTTCCGCTAGCCCACCCGATCCCTGCCTGGTCTTCAATCTCGTCACCCGCAAGCCGGTAATATCATCCCTCTCATTTCCTTTCTCTGCCTCATACACACCTTACACCTTTCTCTCTCTCACCTCGCCGTCTCCTCACCCTTTTTCACCACCTCACACCCTTTCCCGGCAGACTCCTGCTCTTACTCGTTACTGCCAAGGGGAAAGAAGAAAGAAAGGCGGCGACGAAAAGACAGTCGACTTCTGCTTTCATCCCGCGACCAGTCTAGACCTCAGACCTCAACCCACCTCTTTTACCGTCTCCCTGCGCGCCAAGCCTGGGGAACCCGGGTCATAATTGTAACTCGGTCTTTTCAGGCGGGTAATACGAGTACTATTTTCATCTCATGGACAACTGTTAGCCGTGATTCTACGCCAATACATCTCTTCGCCTTGCCGCTCGCTGCTCGTTCTCTTACATCTACCATCCAACCGGCCGATACACACAACATCGGCCCGGCCCAATGGTTTCGTCATTACGGGCCTTAGAGTCAAACTCACTGCCCACAGCCTACGCCTTCAGCACGAAACGCATCAAAATGGCGACCTTGATGCACAATTACGATCAGGCCATGCAGGAATACGTGGATCTGCAGACTGTTCGCGACCATCTTTGCAGCCATCTCCGCCAGCTGCGACCAGCCTCGCTGTCCACCGTCACCAGCGCCTCTTCCAACCTCTCCTCGCCTGATACATCTCCGAATCGGGAGCGCCGCCACCACCGTGCCCACGCCCGTTGCAGCGGCTATGACGAGATGTCCGAGACCCTCGACACGATACCCGACGAGGAGACGCTTGAGGAGATTACGATCGAGGAGCGCCGCCTGTTCGACATCGACGAGAGCATCAAGCGTGCTCTAACAGAGCTTCTCAACTGCGAATCTGTCCGCAGCAACCAGTCTGCCCGCCTCTGGGTGCAGTCCCGCTTGATGGAGACGGAAAAGGAGCTACGCTCCGGACGCCGGAGACGTAGCTCTACTACCGACTGATGTCCATGGTCAATGCCACTGACAAACTTTTATTTCCTTCTCATCCATTCTTTATAATACCACATGTACTTGGGACGCCTAGGCATGTTGACAGCGCCGGGCGTTGATATCTTACCCTTTCCTACTGCATTGGATACGGCGTTTCACGGATACCTGCTAGCTACGCAGTCACGGCGTTTGACGGCTCTTCCCTCCCTTTTTTTTTCTTGCTTTAGTTTCATTTTTATCTTTGTTTCATATACTCTAGGAATATTTCGGAAAACATGGGACATGGGAACATCGGGATATGGTAATTGATTACTTGCTTCGTCTCATGGGTTTAGGGGGTGCGAGGCTAATGCATCCGTTCTGTTTTTTTGGGCTTTTACCGGTGAACATCATATGGCGTGATTCTTGTTTCTCCTTACGGAGAGGACATTGACATGTCTATTGCAGTCTTCAATGAACTTACAACTTACATCATGCATCGGATGGTATACACGGACACATACACATACGCACACGTACACGCATATTCTTGATTCATACTTTGAAAACACAAATCATACGTGAACTGGCCTGCTTAGGAGGCGGGGAAGTTTGGGAATCTGGAACTGGCTCAAACAATAATTTGTTTTTTTGCCTTCTATCCTTGACACGTTGATCTACTCGCTGATGCGCAACGATAATCAAGGGCGATGGCGAACTATGCAATAGTAACAGCGCGTGGTCAAACTGACGTCTGGAGTTTGAGCCCGCGTAAAGTCTAATGATGATGGTGTCCTGGCAGGTGTCTCAGCTGTTGACGAGGTAATGGAAGCGTCAGACACATACCACTTGATTACTTATAGTATACACTACTAATGAAGAGTGGTCTTGTAGTAAGTAGTCCTACTCAGTCAAAATAGTCCTCGATGCGGGGGAATACGTAGGGAGCGCGAGTCTATGAGATCATTGACACTGGTTCTTTTCTTCTCCTTTGTCTGAATGGAAAAATCAACAAGGATATGTGCACAACAATGCGAACAATAATTCCCGAGTAACTAGAGGAGAAAATTCCGAGAGTGAGAGAGGGAGAGAGGGTCGCTTGCCATTTCGGAGGGAAAAGAGACAAGCGTTGCCAAGACGCTTTGCTAGACTGTTATTAGGGACCTTGAGCGTGAGTCTCTTTTTCTCTCCTTTTATTTTCTCCTTTTATCCTCCCTCCCCTGAGGAGAACTGGGGCTTCGAAATTGGGGGTAATTGTATCGTAATTGAACAGTTCAGTTTCATGGCAACATCTGAGGCCAGCTTATTTGGATTGGCTCTACCGTTTTACTTCAGAGAAGGATCTACGTTGTATCTGGTAATAACGACGTTGAGTGTAAATGCTATCGATAAATCGTCGTTGATGAAGTATATCGATAAGAGCCAGAAATCACGTGCCAGGTACCATGACGGCAGATTGTCGGCTGGTGCCGGATGCAGCAAGCCTTTGATCAGGTTGGACATCTTGAGCTCCCGCCATCCATCATTCTGTTCTACAATAAGAAGTAAACCATGTCGGTTCTTTTGGAAACAAGCGAGGGTGACATTGTCATCGACCTTCTCGTCGACCATGCGCCGAAGCTATGTGAAAAGTGAGTCAAAAGAGAAAAAAAGCAGAGGAAGATGGGAACCGACAAGAGACGAAGAGCAAGGAACAAGGAAAACAATGGGAAGGAACAAGAGCGCTAACACGCCACGATAGCTTCCTGAAGCTCTGCAAGGTCAAATACTATAATTTCTCCCCCGTACACTCGGTACAAAAGGACTTTTCCTTTCAGACGGGCGATCCTCTCGGGCCCCTGGCGAAAGAATCCGATGGCGGTAGTTCGATATGGGGTCTCACATCGGGTGACCCTTCACAACGGACGTTTCCGGCCTTGTTCCATCCGAAGCTGAAGCACCTCGAACGCGGGACCGTCAGCATGGCGACAGTGCCTCTTCTATCGGACCCTGATACACGCATGGCCGGATCACAATTTATAATAACGCTGGGCGAGGAGACAGACTACCTTGACGGCAAGGCAGCCATCTTCGGCAAGGTGGTGGAAGGTTTCGACGTGCTGGAGAAGATCAACGTTGCGGTGGTGGACGACAAGGGATACCCGCTCATCGACATTCGAATAAAGCATACTGTCGTGTTGGATGACCCATACCCGGACCCCAGCGGACTGCGCGAACCCAGTGCTTCCCCGGCCCCGACGGAACAGCAGCTCAAGACGGTGCGCATAGCCGACGAGGCGGCGCTGCACGCCGATGATGCCGTGCCAGAGGAGGAACTAGAGAAGCGCAGGCGCGACAGGGAGGCCAAGGCGCAGGCTTTGACGCTCGAGATGATGGGCGACCTTCCCTTTGCTGAGGTGAAGCCGCCGGAGAACGTGCTCTTCGTATGCAAGCTCAACCCGGTTACGGGTGACGAGGACTTGGAGCTCATCTTTGGCCGGTTCGGCAAGATCCTTAGCTGCGAGGTTATCCGTGACCACAAGACGGGCGACAGTCTGCAATACGCCTTCATCGAGTACGAGGATAAGGCGTCTTGCGAGGCCGCCTACTTCAAGATGCAGGATGTGCTTATCGATGACCGGCGTATCCACGTTGACTTCTCGCAGAGTGTGAGCAAGCTGAGCGACGTGTGGAGGAACGATACGAATGCTAAGCGCAAGAACAATGCGCGCGGTGGAGGATGGGGCGGTGTCAAGGAGCTCGAAAAGCGGAGGCAGTACAGGGATGAGGGGGAGAGGACGTCGGGTAAGTCGTATGGTATGATCTACGGTGATGAGGAGATGAAGGGGAGGCACGACAAGAGGAGGGCTGGGCAGCCGCGCGGGGAGGGAGAAGACAAGATACCCCGTACTGAGGAGCGTCGTCCCTCTGAACGTCATACCTCTGAGCGCCGTAACTACAACAATGACAGGCGAGGAGGAAGAGGGAGTGACACAAGACGTCGCAGTCGCAGCCCGCACCATCGCAGACAAGATGGGGGTGACAACCGCTTAGACTGGCGTGACGACAGGGGTGTCAGCGGCGGCAGCAATCGTCATCGAGACGATGGACGCCTCAACCGAGACCGCCACCGACGCGGCGATGGCTACAGATCGAGCCGGTGAGCGTTGCAGAAAGTCGTCCTCTGCAACAAGACTTTGTAAACGGCCACTTCATCTTCTGAGCAGTCTACGTTTATGTGATACCCCTTTTCCAATTTCAAAAACGCAAGTTAAAACATATATACACACGCACACATGGTACTGCCAGCAATCTATTTGCCTTGCAGGTTCAGCCGCACGGGACAATACAATCGCACGCCCCCTCCCTTCCCGGCGCTAACATGATGCGCATTGGGGAGGAACTTGTCGAGGCTGGAAATGGGGGGCAGACAAAAAAGCACCTGATGTATGGACCGAGGAGTCAGCCAGAACGGAGCGTGCCTTCGCTTCTCCGCAGTCTGGCAGCCTTCTCACGTCACCTCGGGGAAGCAGCCATTAGCATCCGATGATGGTCATGGCGTGTGTTACTCTCTCTCTCTCTCTCTCTCTCTCTCTCTCTCGCGTTTAGAACATCGAGATGGTGGGTACCATGGACCCAGGCGGTACACCCATCCTTGACGAGAGACAGAAGGAGAAAGAAACTTGGCACCAATGAGGAATTCTACGTTATTACCTCTTATATACCAACCAAGACGACGCAGCCCTCTTTCTTCGTCGGCTTATACATGCCTTGGTCCCCATCCTCAGGTAGATTCTCCTCATGAGACCCGCGTGACGAGACATGGCGCTGCTGTTGTATCTTCTTCTGGTTTCTCCTTCCATACACACACCTTCTTCTCCCGCGACAACGTGCACAACAGCCACGAGACTGCTCTCTTCTCTCGCCATTATGCCCCCCCCCCCCTCGGTGTAACCACCACAAGGACGGAGCCGAGTCCGTATCCGATAAGTTACGATACCTCAGCCCAGATTACTGTCAGGGGTGTAGCTGTGGTGGTGGTGGTGGTGGTGGTGGTGGTGGTGGTGTTGAGAACTCAGCCCAACCAACCCATTGCATCCTGAACCGTTGAAGGGCCGGTCATGTAGGCGATTTGCATTTCTCTCTGGCAGGTCGAACTACATCCCGCACACCCCCGGCGCAAAACGACGGGCGTCCGATGGAAGTTCCTCCGTCCAGCGTGTCATCAAGGCGAAGGCGGCACTCGTTGCACAATCATCATGCTGGCATCCGCTGTATCCTTCATATGGTGCTACCACACTAGGTGGATACCTATGGTACCTTGGTTTCTTTCTTCTCTCTCGAGGCTGAAAATTTGCTGTCATGCCTTTTTTTCCTGATTGGCCGTCGTCGTTGGAGATTCGCATACCGCTCTTTAGCCTTGCACACACACACACACACGCATCCAAGGGAGTGGTAACACACAACAAGCGTGGGGATCCTATCCGGCGATGATCAAAAGGACACGCTATAGATCCAGTGTATGGTCTTACAGACACAAGATGACACCGCTCATCCTAAAGTCTTCCAATTGGATGTTATGTATCGACCAAGTCGACCTCTGTCTTTACTTTCTTTTCGGTTAAAGCCTTGCTTTGATGCTGTGCAAGCTACGGGTAAGACATCCAGGTAGTGTTGTGTGTGTCTTGTGTGATCAATGTAAGGGGAAACACTATACGTTTCCTCTCTTCTATACATTTCGATAGAAATAGAAATAAAAGAAACAAGAAAATATAGTTGCACATGCCATCTTTGCCACGGAACAGAGTGCTGATCATCATCGTGCGAGGCCCAGACTACAAGAGATTTCCGCGCCAACTACGACGTACTGATTCGTTTCAGATAAATTGGACCTGGGATATAAGACGGATACGTTTAGCGATTTGTACTCGTTGTACCTTTTTGTTGGGTATCACTATATCTCCTCGTACACTCTCTCATGAGTGCTTTGTATGGTGATTTCATACTGAGCCCTCCCCCTCTATGTAACAACCATGGCCCTGGTGGCGGCCACAAAGTATAGTCACCATATACGATCTAGATCTCAGTTACGAGGGCAAATATCTCAAGCGGGTGACAACGACGGGAACAGTACCGCGCCGCGCATCCAGGAACACTCTTCGGGAACAAAAATATGGGCCGGCTTCTCACAGTTGATCCCACCCTTCTTTCTCCTGCTTCTTCGGACCTGACATACATGCGCTCCGGGCCGTCATGTCTGCGTATTGGAGGGTTGCTTACTCTCCTGTCAATATGTACTTTTGGGCGAAACGTTCCATGCAATTTTCCAGATGACGGGACAATGGGGGGTTGTTTAGCCTTACGCGCGCGCGCGGGGGGTGGGTTATGCCATGCTCCGTTGATCCTGTTGCCCCCCACCAACGCTTTGACGGCAGTCTCCATTCGGTCGAAAACAGACACTTGAATCTCTCCATTGTGGCGGTCAAGACGTGGGTGTCTCAGGTACCGATGGATGATGATGATGGGTGGCCTAAACACGGCTCAACTTGAACATTTTCACTACCTGGCGTTTGTACCTGATGATTCGACCAACGCCAATGAATCCTTTCTTTTTCTTTCTCTTTCTGACACCCCTCCTCGTCTACTGACTGATTACCGTTGCACAATTAAGCCGTCTTATAAGAAAGGGCCATGACTTGTTTTTGTTTCTTATCTAATGTATCTAGGTATAGTATTCCTAGTTGGGTGCTGGGAGTTCACCGTGTAAGTCGTCGGCAGCAGAATGAAAACCAAGTGGGAATAAAAAGAGATTGGAAACGAAAGAGATGTAGAGAAGGAAAGAAAAGAAGTCTCTTGTAGACTCTCTCTCTCTTTCTTATTACCGCCATACAGAAGTTTGCCATAGAAAATGTAAGTATTTTGGGACACCAACAGCACTCATATGGCAGCGATCGAGGCTTGGTATGTATGTACATGGATATTTGTTTGCCCCGTGCAAATACAACTGGCCTGTATTACCGCCCAGAAATGAAGGGTGTGCAACGGGTCTAATCAAGTACCATATGTGCACTTTGACTGATTTGACGGCCTCAGGTGTACAGCTGTATCGTGTCTACAGATCGAAAGAGTACCACCACTGCTGCTGCTATCGTTACTATTATTGACTACGACGATATATGCCAGCTCGTTTCTCCGAGCCTGTCTGCCATAACCTTCTCTCTCAAAAAAAACCAGTTACACTACCGCGGCGTTGGGGTTCGTCCCTACAATGGACTTGCAAAAGCATGCCAAGAGAGATGATTATCGTATTCAGCTTGTCTACTAGTAGCGTATATCGACCATGGCTTGGGCGGGCATGCGGCTTATATACGGCAGGTGAAGTAGCATGGCGTAATTTGATATCAAAGGGGCCATGTTGTTTGATTTGGGGAAAAGGGGGGGCTGTTTGGAGTTTGGAGCGGCAACAGCGACTCTGAATACAAGTTGAACCAGGGAACGACTAATCATTTCTAGTAACTATGGCCTTACATCATGAAAATCATGGGGTTGTCACCTCTATCCCCCTATCTCTTTATTTCAACAGTTACACATGGACGAGAAGGGGAGACGTGGTATATGCGTTGCGCTGCGTCGTGCGCGTATGTATGTGCGGGACGTGCACTGGCCAGAGTCTCGTATAACCTGATGTCAATCAAACTCGACAGTCAGCGATGTATTGATGAGAGAAGGTTCCAATTCGTTCAGGGCCGCGTTCCTATTTTGGCATCATGGATACACGCGGCGGCACAAACAGAAGACTTGGTTTGGGGGGAACAGACTTGAACATACATGCAGACAGCACGAATGGGTATACATGTATACAGGCCACGTCTGAGGGAAGGGGACACAAATGGTGACCCTATCTTGATGTGGTTGAGGATGTTGATGATCCGCCCATGTCCAGATCGACGTTGACGCTCAAGACCGCCCAAGATCCGAGGGAAGGCAACAGCAGCAGCAACCCAAAGGGCCAGGGCTCACATTATGACCTGACACTCCTTACAGAGAATGGACTGGAAAACAGTCCGTTTCGAATAATATGAGCTTGCCAAAGAGGTGGTAGAACAAATTGACTGAACAAGCCTCGTCCGGTGAGGTGCTGCATTTCCCCTCCATACAGCCACTCCCTTTTGATGGTCAAGTTGCACGACCTGGTGTACAACAACATACATGGCTAGCAGGAATACTCCGTACTTCTACAGAGTCCGGACCCCTGCCACTTCATTATCCGTCTCGTTCCCATCTACGTAGGCCTTTTCTGTTTGTCTCTCTCTATGTATGTATGTACCTTGCACCCCCCCTCCCTTCCCTTTGACTTTGTCATAGCATCATGGTGTTGTTAGACATCTCTCGTCTCTCTTACGCTCTCACACTAACATCCCCCGAGTGTACTATTATATATGTGACCTCAATCACTCAACCCTGGACATAGATATATTTCACTCGAACATCCCTTTCATTTCCTCTTCCCTTCCTTCTTTTATCAAACACAAACACTTCCCTCTTTGATAGGCGAGTAACATTGAAATCACCGACACACTACCCTGGCCCGACTGATGAGGGGCCAGCAGTAGAACCTTGTTGCTGCTGCTGCTACTGTTGTTGCTGTTATCGTTGCTGTCTTGGTACTCGTGTGCTGAAGCGATAAATTCCATGGACCATCTCGAACTGCAGAGGGAACCTCAAGTATAAGAACATGGTCAACCCTGTCTTTCTCCCGACTCAGGCAGCCCATCACTACAGTCACCACCGCTTTACTAGCAGAAAAAGGGACCGTTGTCGACAAGCGCAGACACTGAGCGCTCTGGACCGCAGAAAGCGACAGTACAACATGTCTTCGACATCTGCCCATCACCAACATCACTCTGAAAGAAACAGTGAAGGGAGCAGTAGTTCCCAGAGGAAGAGAATACCTGTTGCCGTGAGTCTTCTCTGCCAAGCCGACACAACCCCTCCCCTCCCTTTCTGCACCTGTGCTCACACCGTATCAGTGCGGCCGCTGCAGGAAGAGAAAGATCCGTTGCAGTGGTGATAATGGAAATGGTGATCCGTGCATAAATTGCTTAAACGCCGGGATCAACGTCTGCCAGTTTCTTCGTGTAAGTCCCCGAATTTTCATCCAAGGGGGCCAGGGCGGACCGGGAAAGTTGCTAAACCATTTCAATGTCATGACTAGATGTCCTCTCATGACGCAGACCACTTCAAGTCCGAGAGTCTCTACACAAGGAGCATCCTGGAAGACAATCGAGGCCATCAGCAGCTGCGAGGAGGCGTCCTTGAAGCGCTGCCAACACATATTCCTTCCACCACCATGACCTACGATGGCAGCTCGACCGGTGGCGACGTCTACAGAAACATGTCGAGATACGGCTACCTGCCCAGCCAGGCGAGCAGAGGGTACGTTCCATGGGGGCCGGCATCCCACGATTACTACGGAGACCACAGCATCCAGGGTGTAGTCGGGTATGCCCACAACGGACTCTATACCGCGGGAGCCTGTATGCTGCAACACCAGCAACAGCCTACGGTCCAGATGAAGGGTCTTCCGGGGATGGCAGGCGACTACGGAAGCAGCGTCGCCATGCAGACTACGGCCTGGGGGAGGAGGGGCTCTGGCGAGACAGCGTCCGAAGCACACTCCCCTTCCAGTGGGAGCAGTGACAGGACCTCCGTCTCGGGAATGTCCGTCTACGCGCCACCTTCGTCCGGCGGCGACAGCGCCTACGCCCATCGAGGTCATGATGAGGGAGCGCAGTTCGCGAGTGCCGACTACATGACTGCCACCGCGTTGTATCAGCACACCACCTCGCCTCTCGCCACGGCTCGTCCGGCCGGCAGCAGTGACGGGGTTTATCCCGGTGCTACCACTGTAGCAACTATGGCGGCGTCCATGACGTCCCCCACTGACAAGAACTCGCCGTTTTCTGTCCTGAGCCCGTATGTTGACTCCAACATGGCGACGTCGTCTTCGTTGCATGCGTACAACGTGCCTGGGGAGATAGGCAATTAAACCTTTGAGAGCCCGCCTCAGGGGTTTTTTTTCCCCTTCTTTTACTTCCTTTACTTCTTTGTGGTTCTTGGTTCTTATTTCTGTATCCGACTTGCGCATCATCTACTTCGGTTTTTTTTTTTGGGGGGGGGGGTGACTGTTAGTACAGAAGAGACCCAGATATGTTATGGACCTATGGAAGGAAAGGTACGAACATTGCTATTTCCATGGAAGATCTACAAAAAATCCGTATTATTACCAGGCAAAGAAGGTGGTACGGAAACAAATGACATGGCATCCGTCGGCCATTGACCACCGATGTGACCTCGAAGGAAGAGAGAGGCGACCTCTAAGAGGTACCGGGTAGACGGGTTTTCTTGGTGATGGGAGAAGTACGGAGTAGAGGAGGAGTGATTGATGAGAAGAGGAATCTTGTATAATAATATCATATGTGACTACACACAACAACATGAAACTAGCAGTGGAGAAAACTCTGCTGATCATACGGAGTAGGCAGTGTAACATTGCTTTGTTTTTCTAGATGGAAAATACGTAGAATATCCCGTTTCATCACACGCATACATTACCCGTATTAGTCTACAGATTATGTACCGAGTAATATTATTACAGAGTAATAGCTACAATAGTACTACTGAGTATTGACAGCCAATTGGACACAGTACTGATATGACAAAGTGAGTACATATATTATGCGTACAACTACGAGTAATCATTCCAATACGAGGAATACATGTATAGGTACACCGTACAGATTACTGCTGGTATTGCTACTACGTACCTCGTAGTAGTGATGGACTACGTTCCGCCTCTTTTGGCTTTACGCTTTTCTACTCTCGTAGTAGAGGAACCTAGTAATAGCAGGGAAGGAAGGATGATGAGGGGCAAGTGGAAATACCGTCCTCTCGACGACTTGTCATTAATATCCCCAGACTTCCCTCCCCTCTGGCCTGGCCCCTCCTCCCTCTCTTGCTTTCCTGGACTCTTCTCTTTCTCCCTTGTCGCATCAACCCTCGTATTCTCCACTATTTGCCGTCCTGTACGCGCAGCGAGGAGAAGAGAAGAACGAAGGAGAAACATTGTTTCTGTCTCACCTGCGCGGTCTGTGACACCTGCGCGGTCTGTGACGTGACAGCAACAGACATACAGACATGGTCCTTTCCGTGCCCCTCCTCCGCCTGCAGTGCGGCGTCAACTCGTACGCATGGGGGAAAAAGGGCAACGACTCGGCTGCTGCGCGCTTCGCAGCCGCCACGCCCACGCCCGATCTTACGATCGAAGCCGACAGGCCATACGCAGAGGTAAGAGAACGAAAGGAAACCGACTCTCCTCCCACCCGGTGTTCCTCCCACAGAGTATGCCCTCGACTGAACATCGTGACGCGTGACGCAGCTCTGGATGGGTAGCCACCCCTCCAACCCGTCGAAACACCTCGCCACGGGCCTGACGCTCAACGACCTCTTCGCACGGAACAAGGCCCTCCTGTCGCCGCAGGTTGCCTCTCGCTACGCCGACCGACTACCCTTCCTGTTCAAGGTGCTCTCGGTCAACAAGGCCCTGTCCATCCAAGCCCACCCCAACAAGGCCCTGGCCGAGAAGCTGCACGCGCGTGACCCGAAGAATTACCCGGACGACAACCACAAGCCCGAGATGGCCATTGCCATCACCCCCTTTGAGGGGCTGTGCGGCTTCCGCCCGCCCACCGAGGTGGTGCACTTCCTCGACACGCTGCCGCCGCTGAGGGCTCTGGTGGGCGACGAGGCGGCCGTGGAGCTGGGGCGCGCGGCCGCCGACGGCGACGACGAGGGGGAGGGCGACGTCGAGGCTACGAAGAAGGCGCTCAAGCAGGCGTTTGCCAACCTCATGGGATCGGCGCAGGCCGACGTTGACCGCGAGATTGCCAACCTGGTGGGGCTCGCCTCGTCCCAGGGAGAGGGCTTCGTGGGCGGCGGCGTGTCGTCGACGTCGGGCGCGGATCTCGCGCGGGTGGTGACGCGTCTGCATGGCGAGTTCGGCAGCGACGTCGGGCTGTTTGTCCTCTTCTTCCTCAACCTGGTCAAGCTGCAGCCGGGCGAGGCCCTGTTCCTGGTGGCCGACGACATCCACGCCTACATCTCGGGCGACATCATCGAGTGCATGGCCGCGTCGGACAATGTCGTCCGTGCCGGCCTGACGCCCAAGTTCAAGGACACGGACACGCTCGTGTCCATGCTGACGTACAACTTCGCCCCGATAGAGCAGCAGAAGATGGAGCCCTCCGAGTACCCCTACGCCACGCTCAACCGTGCGGCCTACAGCGGCGGGTCGTCCATAGACCTGTACGACCCGCCCATTGACGAGTTCAGCGTCGTGCGCTCCGTTATCCGTGGCGACGCCGGTGCGAAGGCCACCTTCGAGCCCCTCGCCGGCCCTAGCATCATCATCTGCACGCAGGGGAGCGGCACCATATCCGTGGGCCCTACCAAGGAGGAAATCAAGGGAGGCTACGTCTTCTTCGTGGGGGCCACGGCAGAGTGCGTCCTGGAGTCTACGTCTGGTCCCGACGACGAGTTTGTCACCTACAAAGCCTTTTGCGAGATTGCAGAGGAAGGGAAGCTATGATTTGCTCCTAACTACTGTGCTTTATTCTTTCCCCCCACCCCCCCCTTCTCTTTTGCTTTTTGCTCGCCTGTTGTTTCTGTTTCTACTTTGTATATTTGGGGAGAAAGCAATGAATGTAATGTATAAGGGGGTTTGTTGAGGGTTGGGAGATATACCCGGAGGAATGGATACAAAAAAGAAGATGAATTGAAGCTAAGACAATTGATTGAAAGAAGCTGTCTGCGTAATAGCATTTGCCCGTAATCGCGTTTGTATTGTGTCTGTCAAGATTTCTTCTGAATGCTAGTCGTCAATGGCGTCGAGGTGCCCAGCGCACTCACCGCCCAAATTCTGCCGCGCCAATCGCTACTTGCCGGCTGTCGCATCTACGTGCGTCATGCTTCCCCAGTCTCATCACCATACAATGCCATCTTCTTCTCCCCATCATTCTACACGAGTACCACGACTAGGAGCTTAGGGACAGCTCTCATGGAAAGAGGAAATTCTCAAGGACGAAAAGCCATAGGACCCTCCGCAACTCGCAATCTGCTCGATCTCGTCGCATCGACTACTAGTGCCAATTGATTATACTGCTGTACGCGGCCCCGCAACGCGTCGCATCCTTTTCGACCAGATCCTGACGGTGTCGTACGAATTACGAATTACACAGCATCACCAGTCGAACCACCCAGCAGGCGTACGGGCGAATAAAGACGTACACGCACGAAAAGAAAAACGGGAGACTGCCGGGGGCCGCAGAAGGACGACGAAAGAGACAAGATGTCTCAGCGCAACCGGAGCGGGCGCGGGTCAGCGCGCAACAACGGCAACAATGCGAGCAACGACCACGGCGAGGAAGTCCAGATCTGGGAGTCAACGCGCAACGACATTCGCGAATTCGTGACCAGCTTCAACGCGGAGAGCGCGGACCTGGACAAGCTGGTTGGTATGGACAAGGAGCTGGGGGCCATGGACCCGGACAAGATCGGCAACGGACCGCTCAAGGACATGGAGCAGCTGTGCCGGGGCGGGGTGCGGCAGTCGGACGCCAACATCCAAAAGGCCAACGCGCTGATCGAGAAGCTCAAGATCCTCCGAGCGGTGGCGGTGGCTAAGGAGAAGGACGAGGCGGCGACGGCGGGGCCGCCGGGCAAGAGGGCGAGTGCCCGGGACAGCACGCGCGACAACACGGCGGCGGCGGCGGCGGCGGCGGCGGCCATCTACGACTTTGACGCTGTGGGAGAGTCACCCACGGCCAGCCCCCTCGGCAGCGGCGGGGGCAGAGGCAAGCTGGGGGAGCGGGCGAGCACGCGCGGGGCGGCGGGGAGCGGCAGCAGCATAGGCGGGGCAGACAAGGACAAGGACAAGGACAAGGACAAGGACAAGGGGAAGGAGAAGGAAAAGGAAAAGGAAAAGGAGCGCGAGGGTAGCAAGGATCGAGAGCGGGAGCGGGAGCGGGATCATAGCCTCGGACCGTCAAAGGCGGGCAGCGTGGAACCGGGTGGTGGCGGGGTGGGCACTCCGGGCGGGCCCGGGTCGGCGCTGGGACGGTCCAAGGTGGTCTTCACCAAGGGCGAGTCCGTGGCGTTCCGGCCCAAGATGACGAGCGGCGAGGCGGCGTCGGACTGGATACTGGGCGAGGTGGCGCAGGTGGTGGGTGAGGGGAAGTCGCGGCGGTACAAGGTGCTCGACATCGAACCCGACGACCATAGCAAGCAGAAGGAGTACAAGACGAGCGCCAGCAGCATGATACCCATCACGCCGGAGTCGCAGGCGGCATCGCTGCCCGACTGGGACCCGAGGACTACGGTGCTGGCGCTGTACCCCAACACCACGACCTTTTACAAGGCAGAGGTGCACAGCATGGACGGCGACGGCAAGGTCAACCTCAAGTTTGAGGGGGAGAATGATTCGTCTACGCTGCAGCAGGTGGAGAGGAGATTCGTCATAGAGTTCAGGGTGTAGACGTCCACCTATACGGAATCGGGACTGTAGGTATGTGGGATGAGCGGGAGCAATTGGACTGGACCTTGTGCCACTGCTGAGGAGCAAGTGGTAGGAGTATGGGAGTACATGGGAGCATGGGAGTACGTGATGGAGTATGGCCTTTTTTCCCCCCTCTATTTACACTCTTGTTTTTTTCTTAATCCTTATCCGATTGGAACTACCGTTTCATCATGTACATGTACAGCGACTGTCTCGTATGCGACGAATGGTGGGATGCGAAAGAGTGAAGTGACCGAGGTGAAAATGGCACGTGTTGCGACGATGACGACAGTGGGGACGGCACTCGAACGGATGGACTGATGGTACTCGACCGGTATATTAGTGAATAGATAGGTATGATGTAGCGTATAATTTAAAAGGTATTGGCGTCCAATGAAATATAAATAGAGGAATATTGCTACATTAGAAATAACAAAAAAAAAAGGAAATAAGAAATAAGAAATAAGAAGAAAGAGAAAAAGAAAAAGAAAAAAAAGTGTGTGAACAGAAGAGATGAACGGGAGAGGCAGGGCTGGAATTACTCCGTACAGCCCAGATAGATAGATGGTGCTGTGGACTGGTAGTGGTTGACCCTTAATCAGAGAGGTAGAGACAGCTACAGGTACATGCATAATAGTGGACATGTATAGTGGACATTTCCCTCATCAGAGCGCGTCCCTAGGTAGGCAGGAATCTGGGACTCTATCACAATTTACAGTGGCTGCAGTGCACAGCAATACCTGAGAGCTAGTATGGACAGGGATGGTGTAAATTGTAATAAAGGACCCGCCTGTCACTGTAGTTACCCCTGAAAATGAACGGTCAGGTAGCCCCACAGGTCGAACCTCACGGGCTCTCAGCCTCTATTACCTCGTACGAGTAAGTACCAGGTACTCGTACGCCGGCCTGGTCATCTACTTTCGTGCCTGCCTGTGTGTGACGGGAGACTGGGAAGTCTGCGAGAAGTCTGTACATATACAGATTGCAGCGTCCCAGGGTATCATCCTCTAGGCTCTAGGTCTTTTTATCGTAGTTATTAGCACTAGCAGAAATCCAAGTCAAAAACATCCTCTCCTGTCTCTCTTCATCCCACTATTCTCCTCTCACGATTTCTTCTTACTCTAAACATAAACAAGAACTCTCCTTCCCCCCCCCCCCCCCCCCCCCCCCCCCTTCGTCCTCTTACTCCTCCTCCTCCTCCTCCCCTATCTTGACGCGACTTTCCCAACTGACACCACCCTCATCACCAGTCTACTTCCTCCTTGTGTGTAAACAAATTTTGGGGACAAAAAGAAGAAGAAGAAACGCACGAATCAATCGGACCCCTCCCCCTCCTCCTCCCACCCCTCTTCCGAAACAGACACGAACAAAACACAGCATATTCGACAGAAAGACAGGTCAAGATGGGCGGCCAACTCTCCAAAATGATGGGCAAAATCTTTGGCTCCAAAGAGATGCGACTGCTCATGCTCGGACTCGACGCCGCAGGAAAGACCACCATCCTCTACAAGCTCAAGCTCGGCCAGGACGTCACCACCATCCCTACCGTCGGCTTCAACGTCGAGACCGTCACCTACAAGAACGTCAAGTTCAACGTCTGGGACGTCGGTGGTCAGGATAAGATTCGTCCGCTGTGGCGTCACTACTTTAGCGGTAGGTCCCGTCACCTCTTTCCCTCTCTCCCCCGACTACATCTTCCTATCACCTTTTCTCTCTTCTTCTTTCTGCTGCTGTTGCTGCCAGTACATGTACAAGTATACACATGCTAATCCCCATTGACAGGCACCCAAGGTCTCATCTTCGTCGTCGACTCGTGCGATCAAGCCCGTATGCGCGAAGCCAGAGACGAACTCCACCGCATCATCAACGATCGCGAAATGAAGGACTCTCTCCTCCTCGTCTTTGCCAACAAGCAGGATCTTAAAGAGGGTATGCCATTCTTTCTATCCCCCCCCCCCTTTTCTTCCTTTCCTTTTGTTTCTTTTGTTCTGCTCTCCACTCCCTACTCCCTTACTGCCCCCCCCTTTACTCTCTTGACTCAAACAATTGCTAATCTCCCTCCCACCCAACAGCCATGAAACCCCAAGAAGTCACTGACGCTCTCGAACTCTCCAAGCTCAAGGACAAGGTCTGGTACGTGGTTCCCAGCTGTGCCACCACCGGAGAAGGCCTCGTCGAGGGACTCTCCTGGCTCTCCAACAATGTCAAGGCTCCTGTCCCTCCTGTCAAGAAATAAAACCAAAACAGACCCATTGTACCCAGACCTTAGCGCTATAACAAACCCTCGGTCTTGTTAAAAATCGCCATTCATATAAAAGCGACAACAACAACAACTCCTCCTCAGCCGAACCAGCCATCTTCCTCCCCCAAGACCAGGCCTCACGGAAACACATCATGAATGACGAGCTTGGAATTCCTTTTTTTTTCATCTGCTTTCTTCGATTCCTGATCTTTGTTCTTCGCTCTTCTTTTTATTCCTTTTCCATATACACAAATTCCCCCTTGTGTTTTGTCTTTTTGCTTCCAAGTCTTCTTTGTTCTTCTCCCGCAAGGGGTCATCCCTCTCTCATACACACACACACACACATACACACACACACACCCCTTTTCTCTTTATTGGACATGTTGGCTGTACATTTCTGTTGTAGGAGAAGAAGAGAGCGAAGATTATCTTTTTTGTTTGTTTGTTTCCTGTGTCACGTTCTTCGTGGGCTCGTCTTAATTATAATTATACTCAGCTACTTACTTTTTCTTCCAATCTGGTTTCTAACATCGGCGTGCAAGAGGCGGGAAAGAGTCATATTTAGAGAAAGGATTCCCCTGTCTTGAACATTTGTCTCCCCTTACATGTACTTTGCTCTCATCCCCCCTTTCCCCTATACTTCTCGTTTAGACATCCGAGAAATTAATCACCACTAGGCTTCTCACATCTCTAGTATCTTGTAATACGTAGTCTTGCCACAGTTGATCGAGGAAAAGTCCAGTCGAAGGAAAAAAGGCGTCAAATTACCATTCTGTCTACTTGAAACATGTAGAACGAAGTCCCTGTGACAGCCCATTGCTATGCGTGAATGCCTAAGATGCCCAACTGAGTAATACGACAAATAACATGTAATGATATGCCCAAGTCCCAAACAAAACAACGCCTCTAGACAATAATGGTGGTATATACTACTGCAAGGAAAACGGGAAAAAAAACAAACACGGGAAAACATCAAGCACGGAGCCATTCCTATACGTCCTTGACGCGCTTGTGTGGCCGTAGAAGCGGGTCATCGAAAGCGGCGCTACGCTTCGTTCCCGACAGGTTGCCCGTACGAATGTCGTTATCATCCTGGCTCACTCGGCGGTGAGGGTACTCAACCTTGAGGCCCTCAAAAGCGTTGGTGAGCACGCGATCGCCTGTAGAGAAGAATGGGTGCTGCAGTGCCTGCTCAGCTGTGAGGCGCTTGACTGGGTCGTACTCGAGGAGACCGGCGAGGAGCTTGTAGCCCTCCGGTCCCAGCGACGCCAGGGGGGATTGGCTCGTCTGGGACCCTGCGGCCGACGCTGCGGCTGCTGTGGACGACGGCGTGGTGACACCGGCATTATTGATCGTCTGGTAGTACCACCTCTCTAGGTTCGACACGACTGGATAGCTCCGGCTTGACGAGTGGTGGGAGTGATAGTCGGGCGGTGGGCGTACTGAGTTCAGTTGCGGATAATCAGGCATGGACGTGATGAGAGGCCAGCGCTCTTTAGTCGGCATGCCCATGATTTCGACAATCTTCTGCATCTGGTTGCGCTGAAAAGGGACAGACTTCTTGCTGTCCATCTTGGCCTCTTCGCCCTTGAAAATGGGACGCAGAGAGAGAAGCTCCGCAAATATGCAGCCAATGGCCCAGAGGTCGATGGCAGGTGTGTAGTGATAGGAGCCAAGGATGAGCTCGGGAGCGCGATACCATATAGTCACCACTACCTTATCACCGCCAAACAAGGATGCTAGGGGCTTGTCGAAGCGGCGTGCCAGCCCAAGATCGCCGATCTTGATACGGCCACTATCTGTCACCATAATGTTTGCGGGCTTGAGATCGCGGTGTAGCACCCATGACGAATGGAGATAGTGACAGCCGTTGAGGAGCTGGAAGAGCAAGCTCTTGACCACAGTAGGCGGTATTGGTCTTCTAGGCCCCACGGGTTGCGTCGTGTGGTGGTGGATAATCTGGAGCAGGTCGTGCTCGGCGTACTCAAAGACCATGAAGATGCACTTGTCCTCTAGGAGAGTCTCGACCAGGCGGATGACGTTGGCGTGGCGTAGTTCGGCGCAGAGGCTCATCTCACGAATGGCAGACTGCGAAATGCCCGTGTAGCTAATCTGTTCGCCCTCTTTATCCGGCTTGAACTTCTTGATTGCCATCTGCGTCACGCCCGACCGAGCTGCCGCGTCCCTGCCTGCGCTGTTGCCATCTTGCGAGGCAGCCGAGCCATTGCTGTTCCGGGGAGTGGCTTTGTAGACGCGGCCATAGGTACCACTGCTGATGAATCCAACGATACGGTAGCGCTCAGACACACGAGTCTTAGGTTGATATCCGCTGCCGCCACGATCATGAGAATCTGTGAGGCGATGGTGAGCAGGTGAAGAATTGCCCGATGATGAGAAGGGGTAATAGGAGCCGCCGGGGCGGAAGCGCAGGCTCATGGCCGCTCAGAGTCTATGGGCCGTTCAAAGACGCCCATGTGCTTATAAAGTGGAGGAATAAAGGAAGAAGATGATGGCAAGATGGAAATGACAAAGCGAAGACCAGAAATGATGGTGGCGATGAGTGAAGCAATTGGCTGGGTCATGACATGGGGTCGGAATTTCAGTTGACCCTATTCCGAAAGCGGAGAGGGTGTTTTGACACGAAGGGGAGGGAGGAACAAAGACACTTGCGAAAAGGAACCGTTCGATGCTAAAAAAAAAGGACGGGTATTGAAACGTACCAACTGAGGTTGACTGAACGGTATGAGCACTCCGTCTCGTCGATGACTGGTTTCGGGTATTGTTGGAAATGCCGCCTGCTGTTCCACCACCACCGCCCACGGAGCCCGCGGCCGAGGTGCCAGCAGATAGATTGGTGAGGCTCATCCACGTCAAGTAAACGCGGCTGCTCGCAGTGTGTCTCTGTGCGCACGTGTATGTGATCAGCGGTCAGACCAGACAGAGAAGCTAGCTCTCTCAATCACGGGCCACGCCGGATTGTGATATTAGGCAGTCGCCCCTCTTGTCCAAGCGTTTCCCTCTCGAAGAATGAATGATGACAACAAGTCGTACTCCCCCCAGCGTGCGATGAGTGAGCGCGCGTGTGGGGTTTCAAAGGGTGCGTGCGTTGGTGGATCAATGAACGGGCGGAGAGATTGCTTTAATATGGGGCATCAGGAAGTAACATGCAGCATCTCGCTGACAGCCGACAACGTGATACAACGCGGATTGTTACTGCCAAGGGGGGACGAAGGTGTGATGCATGGGGGAGCTTGTGTGTTGTTGTCATGGGGGTGTCCTCTCTCTATTTAGGGAGGGCATTTTGGTGGGTGGGTGGCATCGTGTTTGGCATGCCTGCCGTTGGTACAGGCAGGAACCACCCCGGGGGGTGCGGCAGGGACGACCAATACGAGAATGACTAATCCAAGGACTATCACCAAGAGCGCCAACGACATGGCACATGGCCCGTACGTATTGTCATCGCGTTGAGTTTTAAGTTCTGCTCTTCTTGTGATAGATTCCCCCCTTTCGGCTAAGTAGTCAATATAAATGAATTTTTTTTTGCACCAAAGAAGAGGAGAAGGAAAACTCCTTTTGGTCTTCTCTAATCTCAGCATCACACGCCACGTTTCTCTTTCCTCCCATAGTCACTTTGAACAGGCATGTTTTGATGGCAACGGCGAGAAGGGAGTAAGACGGCTTGAGTCCTATCGCGGGCCCAGCTTCTCCAGGACCCTCGAGCCTTGCTCTTCCCACTCGGACTTGGTCACCCACATGCTCTCCTTGTCGGCCATGATGTTGGCCAGGACGGCACCGCCCAGGAACACCATGTGCCTCCTCCTCGGAGGGTCCTCGATGCGGACCTTGAACTTGGACAGGCGCTCCGGGTTGCCCTGCAGGGCGCGCGTCAGCCACAGCTGCTTCAGTTCCTTCTCTAGGCGCGACGGGAGGCCCGGGTACATGCTGCTGCCGCCTGACAGCACAATGGCCTTGAAGAGCGACGAGCGGATGTCGACGTCGGCCGACTGAATCGTGTTGAAGAGGAACTCGCCCAGACCCGGCGACTCACTGTCAACCAAATGAGGCTGGAACAGACACTCAGGGGCCTCAAAACGCTCGCTGCCCACGCGAATCACACGACCATCGGGTAGGGTGTAGTCCTCAACCAGGACCGTCGTGTCCTCGCTCAGGTGCTTGTCCAGCTCAAGGTCGTAGGAGACGTAGCACAGCTTCTCTTTGATCTGGCGAACTGTCTCGAAGTCGGCCGTTCGGTTGAGCGCGTAGCCGCGACGCAGGAGCAGCTTGATGAGGTTGCGCGTCACGTCACGGCCGGCAACGTCCAGACGCTTGGTCAGATGGTTGAGGACGACCGACTCGTACACGGGGACAATGTGCGTCACACCGTCTCCGGAGTCGACGACGACACCGGAACTGAGACCTGTTACGGATTAAAATCATGTCAGCCGGTCTACTTACTTTCGTCCTTTGCCGCCCCCCTTCTTCTTTTTACTAGCGCACCAGTCACGCAGGCGCAGCTTCAGCTTAGCTTACCTTGGGCGTAGAGGGCTAGGACAGCCTGGATGGCGACGTAGACACCGCCAAACTCGTAGCGTTCAAACATGACCTCACACATTTGCTCACGGTTCTTGAGCGGGTTCATGGGCGGCTCGGTGAGGAGGATCTTCTGGCCGCGCGTGTCTACCTTGAGCTTCTCGAAGAAGGTGTAGTCCCAGAGGTGCTGCATGTCGTCCCACTTCTTGACGATACCGTTCTCCATGGGGTAGCTGATCTGGAGCATGGTGCGGGCGGCGGCGGCGTCGTCACCACACATGATGTCCTTGATGGTCACATTGCTATCCGTCTGCTCCTCGGTTCGGAGAATTGGTCGACCGACAATGGAGGGGAACTGGTGCTCGGGGAAGTTTTGTCCTGCGTATCCGACCTTGAGGAAGCCGGTACCACCGTCGAGGACTTGATGTTGGCCGTAAATGTCAGCATGTGTCCGCTCCTTTCCCTGCTCCTGCTCAACCTCCTGCTCCGTATCTTCCATGTCCTCCCCTCCCTCGGAGCTAGCTATATTGAAGAGGGAGGTCCATACCGATGGGTTGTTGGCTCGCCATGGTTGCGGCAAAAGACAGCAGCTCACGACTCGCCGAGGGAATTCGCAGAAAGAGTGGTTATTTTGGACGGGGAAGGGTGAGTTTGTTGGCGGTGATGCCTCGAAAGCTCGTTGCGTGGCTGGGGGGACGGCAGTGTGTGGATGGGAGAGGCGGAGGCTTGTCGTTACGTGGATTGAAGAAGGTACCTAGTTGGCTGGTGGTGGGGTCACGCTTGTCGTCAGAGGCGGACGAGAGAGCTTCCAGCTTAAGGAGGCGAGGAGAGGTCCCAGGCTAGCGTTCACGTGATACCCCGCGTCGCCCACGGCAACTACCCGATGAAGATAAATGTTCCATGTTAATCACGATCAATGTTACATGTGCGACCTCGGAAAAGGGATGAGAAGAATTATACGAAGACCCATCTCTCGAAAGTATTATTCATGCTATTCCGATTCGATAGGGATCCCCCTGACCGCTGATACATCATGGCTAGCGACAATGATACCCGCATCCTCGTCATCAACCCCAACTCATCAGGGGACATGACACTGGGGATGAAGACTGCCGTGGACAAGATCGTTGCTAACAGGGTATGAAGCACCCCAATCAATAATCTGTATGAAGAAGGATACCGCCTAACATCTCCCCAGAATATCCACGTGACATACTATACGACCCCCAACTCCTCGCCAGCAAGCATCAACAACGACGAGGATATCAAGGCCAGTGATGTAGCTGTATACAACGCCGTGTCAGCCGGTAACCCCAAACTAGGCGAGTATGACGGTATCTTAATCGCATGCTTCAGCGTGCACACCCTGGTTACGCGCCTGCACGATATCAGTACCTGTCATTCCATTACAGGTATCTTCGAGGCTAGCATCTCGACTGCCCAGCTTCTCCTACGCCCTCACAGCTCTGAGGCGTGGGGGATCGTGACAACCGGAAAGTTCTGGGAGAAACACCTGGAAGATGGTGTCAGATCGTTCCTAGGACAGCAAGACGGCAGCACGAGTCGCAATTTTGCCGGTGTCTTCTCCACGGGTCTCAACGCCGGTGACTTCCACGTCGTACCGGCAGCTGAGGTGGAGAAGCGGTTGCGCGATGCGGCAACACGCCTATTTAGGAGTGGAAATATCAAGTGTGTTGTCATGGGATGTGCGGGTATGGCTGGTCTGGAGAAGATCATCCGGTCTACTGCGGTCGAGGTACTGGGTGCTGAGGCGGCCGAGGGCGTGTACGTTGTGGACGGGGTGGTAGCGGGTGTCCTACAGTTGGAGGAGATGGTGCAGTGCAGGCGGGTGTTTAGATGAAGATATGAATTGGTCAGTTCAACGAAAGGTATGCTAGCCAGACTCTTCTCGACCCCATACGTCATCCACGCTCCCCTTGCCCTTGGTCTCCGGCACTGCGGAAAGGACAAAGATGGCTGAGATAGCAGCCATGATGGCGAACAAAAAATACACCCATCCCTGTCCACCCAGGGTGTTGTTAAGCTCCGTATTGATGATGGGGAAAAACTGCGCGACAATGAAAGTAGCCACGTAGTTTGCACCCAGACACCAGCTCTGCGTTGCGCCCACCGCCTCTTGGGGTACGAGTTCCGAAGCGAGGATAAAGGGCACGGGTCCTAGGCCGACGGCGAAGAAGCCGACAAAGAAGAGCACCGATATAGCAGAGAGAACTTTGATGCCGGAGACAATGGACAGGGCGAGGATGAAGGAGCTGAACCCTTGTCCAATAATGGACAGCATGAGGCACGTCTTGCGGCCTAGGCGGTCGGGCAGAGGGGAGCAGGCGAGCGTCGTCGCCAGGTTGACGGCTGAGATGATGATCGTCAGCAGGGCTGACGAGATGGGCAGCAGATTCGCTAGCAGCGACACTGAGTACATGATGATGGAGTTGATGCCGCAAAACTGCTGAGCAAACATGACGCCCACGACGGCCACAATGGCAGGCCGGCACCTAGGATCCCGGACTACGTCAATGAATCCCATGTGGATAGTCCGCTGGTGAGCTATCTCTTCCTCTGGTGGCGATAGGAGACCCTGTTCCTCCCCAGATTCCTCCGGAGAGGGGGACCAGTCCCGAACCTCATCTTTGATATCAACGCTACCGCCACGGATTCTCTGTAGCACCTTCTTGGCTGCAGTCACGCTTCCATTTGCCGCAAGCCAAGCAGGACTCTCGGGGATGACCAGTGTACCGAGCGACTGAGCAGACGCAAGGCACGCGCCTATACCCAGTATCCACCTCCAGGAGCTGCCGTGGCTGAGAAAGTATCCGAGCGACTGGGCAATCAGAATACCAACATTGATGGAAACCTGCGTCATGAAACCAAATAGACCCCTCATATCTGGCGGGGCAATCTCGCTAATGTAAAGTGGCACAATGACGGTCGACGCACCGGCTGCAGCACCAGCGGCGAAACGCCCAACGGCCATGGGTGTAGCCGACGGCGAGAACGTCTCGACGGCAGACCCCATGATGTAGAAGAGTGAGGCTAAGCGCATAGACGCTAGACGGCCATTCCGGGATGAGAACGGACCGGCACCCAGGGCGCCCAGCAGACCTCCCAGAGTGAACATGGATGAGACGGTGGCAAAGGCGGCCTCATCCATGGGAATGCACTGCGGTAGGGTGCCAAAACCCGTGGACCAGATGGACTTTTTGCGACAGGTGATGACATCTTGGGGGGCGTTGAGCTCGGCCTGATGGGGTTGGTCAGTTGGGAAACGGGTTATTATACCAAGGACAGGTAGGGAAGGGGTAAGGTGACGAACCATGTGAAAGCCATATTGCAAGGAACCGGCTGTAGATATAGAGACTATGATGACCAGGTAGGCGGTTATGTCGCGCAGACTTCGCGCGAAACCTTGTTCGGACATTCTGGTGATGAAGCTCCAGTTGGGTGTTGATGTTGGTTGATGATCGTTGGGGAGGATGACGGTGTGGGGAGGTAGTATTGATGTTGACAGCAATGTTGGTAGTGTGTGGCTGGGCTGCGGGGACAACGTCATATTACCAGCACAGGCCGTGTACATACATGTATATGGATGATAGCAATTAGTCCTAGATAACTATTGCGTAGAGTAATAATACCTGGACTCTGCATACGAGGACTCTTCTCTCTCTTTAGAACTTCCCCATTATCCATATTTACAGTCATATAATTAATGACTCATTTTAGTATACGAACTTACGAAGTAATAATTACTTGCCCTAGAGTCTTGCCAGAAACGTGATATTTCATTCTACTGATCAGTCATCTCACGCAGGATTATATACCATAGATTATTGGCATGCCAACGAGTATCATATGTGTTTTGCCTACGTCTTTCGGCGCATGCTATGTTCTCAGCAGATCTACGTACGGGTATGTTGTTTAGAAGGACTCTCCATAACAGTGCGTCCCTTCCTGCAGTTCCCTTCGTGGGATGGGACTTCCGACGGACACCATCCTCCACCCAAGCCCGAACAGTAGAGTAATGAAGCCGATGATCCATGTACTCGGTGGCGGAACCCTCGAGCTCGATGCCGTACGTCTTAATACAGTAAGCAGCAGGTGCAAAAAAGGCGTCTAAGAAGGTGAAGTGGGCACCGGCGAGCCAGGGACCACCGAAGCTGTCAATAGCCTGGGCGAAAAGCACGTCAAGGCGTCTAGTTTCTCTCCGGAAGACGTCGCTGAGCTGAGGTCCCGGGCCGATGCGGAGGGCGACGTTCATGGACCACTCCTCGCGGATGGCGCTGAGACCAGGGCGCATCTCTGAGGCTGCGCAGCGAGCGAAAGTCTTCGGCCTCGGGATGGTTTTCGACGACGCGCCGAATTGGGGTTGAGCGAGGTTGGATATGAAGAGGTGGAGCTGCTCGCTGAAGTGAATATCCGGGGCTTTGAGGAGTACCCAGGGTCGCATGGACCACGATGAATGGCGCTTATTGCCGATGTGGAGAGTACATGTATACATGGTGACTGCTTTCTACGAGAATGGCCAGTGATTGACGGCATGACGATGCTATTGTTAATTACCGAGGCCAAGTGTCACACGACAATACCTATATCAACATGCTGCGTTCCTCGGTGTCCCTAGTGAAGATGTTGGTGATGCTTCTATAAGTGATGTAATGTATTGCTTATAGTGTTGCACCTTTTCAATATGACTAGAGACTTTCTTTCCCCTGGACTTCTTGGACCGGCAGCCCTTTCCTCCCGTATGACCGTTGGGCGCAAGTATTGCAACATGAATATCGTATCGTAATATATGTAGATATTCAGTGTAATATTTCGTAAAACTCGGCGGCCGTAGAATTGAGTCGAGCATCGATAGGCCATGGCCCCGTAGTAGATCCAGAAATGCATCCGTATTTCTGGCAGAGTAGCATTTGCGCATTGCGCATTTACGCATAAAGAATATACGAAGTATTAATGACCATTTTATCGTGGGATGCAGAGCTCAGTTGGATTCCTACTCGTACTCGTACTCCTACGCAGACCGGGCCTAAACAACTGCCGCTCACTGGGCAGAGCCCCTGGGTGCCCTCTGGTCGGCGATATTCGGCAGTTGGTTCAGTGGACCGCTGTGAGATCCCCTGCTTCAGGCTCTATAGCTCCTATAACCTCCCCTATCAGAGTGCCGAAGATGTCCCTCCTCTCCCCCCTGAGGCCCCTGGGAGAGACCCTCCAGCTCAAAGGACCTCCCATCACACCAGGCCTTGGCCAAAATGCTGGTGGACAACACCTGCGACTCATCATACCAATCCTTCACGACCGTTAAACGCCTCCCACCCTGGGAGAGAGACCCCGTGCGGCCGCAATCCCATCATCCCTTGCTGTCTCAGCGGTGCCGCACGTCAATATCATGCATCGGTCACCGCTCGTCGCCGCCGACGTATTCGCCAGCGCCTATTCACGCCCAGCGACGCGCGAGGGGCTCGAGTCTCCTCCCGCTCACGATCCCCCTCCACCACCTCTTCACTCGCCTCCCTCCATCACCTCGTCCAACTCTGCCCCTCATTTGGCTCAGTCGCATTCGGCCAACAGCATCGCCACCGTCACGGAGAGCAGCAGCAGCAGCAGCCTCAGCAACAGCAACGCCAACGCCAACCAACAGCAACAGCAGCAATCGACCCCACGCAGACCCGTCTTCGGCCGTAAGCCCGCCTCCTTTACGGGATCTCGTCGTCGCTCCAGCTCTGGCGCGCCTTCAATCGTCGCCACAAATGCCGTCGTGACCGATACCGCTGCCCCGCCTGCCTTGCCCGACTACGCACTCTCCGCCGCTGCAAAGATCGCCGCCAGAGATCCTGACGCTGTTCTCCCGAGCCCTAGTATCGGTCCCGAAGGTGGACACCCCGGAAGGAGTATGCTCGCCAGGTCAGGAACCTCGACTACCCTCAACATGATGCCGCCGCCTCCCACCTCCGTGGGAGGCGGCTCCAGCGCCAATGGCACTAGTTTTTGGCAGCCTACCGACGCGAGCGTTGTCCACCAGCAAATCACAGATCTAGCCAACAAGCGTATCGCTACTCTAGACTACCTACGAAGAGCGTATGTTCGCCCTGAAGCCCTCTCCACTTGCTTGTCTCACTCGGGATCCCTGGTACTGACTCCTTCACAGTCACGGTGGTCGTGTCTACTGGTTCAACGCCTACCTGATCGACAGGTCTGACATTGGCCGCATGCCATCGTTTGACTCACGTAGACTAGCTCGCAAAGCAACCAACTACCTCCTCCTTGGCCTGTCACTACCCGTCATCATCGATCTCTACTCCACAACGCCCCTCGAATTCCTCCGCTGCCTAGGAAGCCTCCTATCCGAATTCGACTCGTTCCAGCAGCTGCGTAACGACTCATCCTCTGCCGCCCTGGCCCGCGCCCGCATCCCCAACATGTTCCGACGCCCAGGCGGAAAGACGCGCCGCTCGACATCCGCTGCCGACACTGCTGAGGAGGCAGCCGCCGCCGCCGCCGCGTCTGTAGGCCCCTTGGATGGTGGTGCCGGAATATCAGGCATGAGCCCCGGCTCCAGCGCCCCTTCGTTCATGAATTTCGCCGCTGGCGAGTCTGATCTTGTGCCCGGAGAAGAGTACACGTACCTCCTCACTCCGTCGCTGCCGTTCGACCCCGACTACTTCGAGACGTTTGAGACGCTGTGCGACACACTCATCGACTGCTACGCGCGGTTCCTGGCCCTTGTGCCTACGCCGCGGGAGTGCTCCGCGTCCGTGGCAGAGCTGTTCACAAAGGCGGATGTGCGCGTGCGAAAAATCATTGTCCAAGGTGTCGTGAAGGAGTTTGAAGATTGTAGCCGCGCCAATGTCCGCTCTGAAATCGCTAATGTCGGCAAGGTGGTCTTGGGCGGTCTGGTATAGGCAGGCATCCCGGAGTTTTTACGTCATTTTCTTCTCTTTTCACGGGGCGTTTTGGATTACTTTCTTTTCTTCGCGTTGGATGGATTTGTTTTTATTGGGATGACATACGTTACGACTGAGATATGATATCACATGGGATTGGGCTTAGTAAAAGGGAAGAGACGGAAGAGCAGTTGCCTCCCTCTATAATACAAATGTCTATGCATATTACAGATGGTTTATGTTACATGGTGAGGTAGCCAAGTTTGTGTACAGATCACTTTTTGTTCTGAGCAATGGCCTTTCTGGCCTTGGCCTCCTCCTCGAGAGTGACGAGTTCAATGTCCCTGGTGACGAGCCAGTCCTTGGCCGCCTGCATGACCCGGTCGAGCGTCTCCCCTCCCTCCAGAACGTCGGGGAGGTTATGCACGTCGAAATTGGCGCGGTGGTCTGTACATCTATCCTGGTTGTAATTGTACGTGCGGATCTTTTCGCCACGATGTATCTGCTTGGAGGCCAGGACCGAGTTGCGCAGCTGGGCAGCTTCCGCCTCACGCTGCTCCCGGCGCCGGTCAGCGATGCGAGATCGCAGTATCTTCCATGCCTCCTGGCGGTTGCGCTGCTGCGACCGGTGATCCTGCATCGACACAGTCTCGCCCGTGGGCATGTGGGTGAGCCGGATGGCCGACTCGGTCTTGTTGACGTGCTGGCCGCCGGCGCCGCGGGCGCGCATCGTCTCGACGCGCACCTCCTGCGGGTTTACGTAGAAATCACTGTCTGGGTCGTCCGGGTTGATGTTGAGATCACCCAAGTTGCCGTTCTCGGGGAACAGTGGGAGAACCCACACCGCTGCTACACTCGTGTGGACGCGCCCCTTGCTCTCTGTGCTGGGGATGCGTTGGACGCGGTGCATGCCTGCCTCGCTGCGGAACATGTCGTACATTGCTGGATCGGAAATTTCGAGAACCGCTTCTTGTAGTGGCGCTTCACCGGCAGCAGAGGACCTGTCGCCGTCGCCGTCAGCAACATCGTACTTGACCACGTTGGTGCGTAGTCCGTGCCGCTGACATAGCCGCTGGTACATCTGGAAGAGGGTGTCGGTGAAGAAGCGGCTCTCCGTCCCTCCTGGACCCGGACGGAACTCGAGCATGCATGGGAGGTCAGCGAAGGCGTCGCGCGGGGCGAGACTCGCACCGAGGGAACGTTCAAGAGATGCGAGCTTCTCCTTTTCTATGTTGAGCTCGTCGCGCGCGATGGCTGCTAGCTCCGCGTCGTCGGCCGATGCAGGTTCTGTCTCGAGCATGGACGACAGCTCCTGCACAGACGAGTACGTTGCCTTATATGCCCGCAGCGCAGAGGCTATGCGGGACAGTTCCCCCGATCTTTTGGCCTTCGCTTGGTCGAACGATGTGTTGAGAGATTCTCGAAGGGCGTCGTGTTCGGCCGTCAGGGCCTCGGCGCGCGCTAGGAGACCCGGTGCTAAGGTCGCGAGACCCCGCGCAGGGCGGAAGGGGTCTAATCCATTCCGAAAGTGCCCAATGTCAGCTCTCATGCGGTCTGTCGTAGTGCCGAGGGATCAAGGTGGTGACGCACTGCTTCTGCTATGGGGGAAGTATGATCGTAGTGGTAGCGATGCAGCGGCGCAGTTTGTTGGGACCGTCCTCGGGACGGCTCGCATGCAGCACCTCCTGCACACCTGCGGGAGCATAGAGTACATGCTAGTTTGCCTTCAGATATTTTTCAGGCATTCATGCGTTTATATAAGGTGCTTGTACGTCGGATTGGATCTTGCGTGGTTCGTAGTCTTGGCGCAATGTTGAATATAAAAGCCGAGAAGAGTTTGGTTGTGGACGATGGAGATGCTTTCCATGATTCCATGGATGCTAACGCAACGGCTTCCCATGTGGACTTGGTGGAGTTATAGTGCTCTCTAGTGGAGATAGTACTGTATTCCAGGAGGAGTGGTCGCCATAAGCCTCTAAGTGCTCCTCTGGAGGCCCCTATAACTCTAGACATGGGCCACATATGAGCAGGTCCCGCCAAGAGGTGGAGAGCACCTGCCTCCCCTTTGCACCAGATCTTCCATTTCAAGGAAACATTTCCATTGAAACCACAAACATGGGTCGATTCTTCGTGCACCAACATCGGTAATCCAATTCGTCATGTGTCTACTCACATCCCGTTCGACTATCTTGCAGCACAATATCATTAGGGCCATGCTCTTTCACCGGTAGGTACCGTGTTTGACGCAGATGGACACTCGAGGGGCAACAAGGTTAAACGATTGAGGCTCGAGATTAGAAGTCCGAGAGGGACATTCGAGGCCGAAAGCGACTTGAATGGCAAAGAGTTTTCCTTGGAATCTCAGCTTGGCCAACCGTCTGTGATTTCCTAACTTGGCTTTGGATTTGCCGCACCGATACGAACTGAATAGTCGAGTATGACTCTTATTACTACTAGGCAGTATTGCCGCAATCTTGCCACGCACGTAATGGATGAAAAACCTGGTTATCAAACTTATCAACAGGCACCGTTGGGGACAGCCGATTTTACCAAACCGTTCAAATCAAACAGCTGCCTGATTCGCCCAGATGTGGCCCGTGGGAAGGCTCACGGGAGCCCTCGCAACGACGCCGGGGCCCCCGAGCCAAGTTGTGGCCCGTACGTGCATGTTCGCTGCATGTCAATGGATTCGCAGAATTGGCGTGGTGGGACGACGTTGCGTTTTCTCTCTGCCTTCGTCTACATCTCCAAAAGGCCCTTGTTTTTGGCAGGGAATCAGCTCCGCTAGAGCTAATAATGCACAATCGCATAGAGATGGCGCAACCGTCCTCGGCTGATATAACTAGGCGCCGATTGCCGCCCGCCTGATGTTTTTGTTATCTAGTGCTCCCCTCTCACGCCCTCCTCTCTCTTTTCCCATTCGACGACTTGGTCTTGTCCATTGAGCCAATTCCAAATTGCCCTTATCCCCGCCCTCACCCTCACCCCTCTCCAACCACGATGGGTATCAGTCTGCTTATGCCGGCTCTTCTGGCAGCTACCCTTCCCTGGGCAGCTGCAGCTCCTACTACGGCGGCTGGTGATCGCCTCGGTGCTGTGGCCAGCGAGAACAAGGTCTGCTCCGAGGTTGGTGCTCAGCTGCTCAAGGATGGAGGCAATGCTGCTGATGCCATGATTGGCACTGTTCTGTGCGTTGGCGTCACCAACATGTACCATAGCGGCATTGGTGGGGGAGGTTTTGGCATTCTGAGGACGAGCAATGGCTCCTACGAGGCCATTGATTTTCGTGAGACGGCGCCTGCAGCCGCATACGAGAACATGTTTGCCAACAACACCGATGCCAGTCTTTATGGCGGACTGGCTAGGTAAGCCGAGTGCTTCTCATTCATGCAATTGAGCCAAACCGATTACTAACATACAATTTTGAAGTGGTATTCCCGGTGAACTGAGGGGTCTCGAGCGCATCCACAAGCATGCTGTCCTGCCGTGGGCGCACGATGTCGCTCCCGCCATCAAGCTGGCTCGATACGGCTTCGAGGTCAACGCTGACCTAGTTCGGTACATTGCCAGCGTGGATGACAGCTCGTTCTTGGTTGAGGACCCATCTTGGGCCATTGACTTTGCGCCCAACGGCACACTCGTGGGTTTGGGCGACACCCTGACGCGCAAGCGGTACGCCGACACGCTCGAGACGATTGCCAAGGAGGGCGTCGACGCCTTTTACACGGGTCCCATTGCCAACGCCACCATCACGGCCCTGCGCCAGCACAAGGGAAACATGGTCCTGGAGGACCTGGCCAACTACACTGTCGCCCTGCGTAAGCCTGCCCAGATCAAGTACCACGACCACCTGGCCACGGCCACGAATGCACCCTCTGGTGGTGTCGTCGCCCTGAGTGCTCTCAACATTCTCAGCGGCTACGACAACCTGGGTGACCCTGCCGCAGTCAACATCTCGACCCACTATCTCGACGAGGCCCTGCGCTTCGCCTACGGTCAGAGGGCTAACCTTGGCGACCCGTCGTTTGTCGATGGCCTGGACGAGTACCTCGCCGAGATGCTGGATCCCAAGACGGGTGCTGAGATCCGCTCCAAGATCTCGGATGACCACACGTACCCCGTGGCATACTACGACCCCGAGGGTCTCGAATCGATTGAGACGCCCGGAACATCGCATATTGTCACTGCCGACGCCAGTGGCATGTCTCTGTCGCTTACCACGACCGTCAACCTCCTGTTTGGATCACGCGTCGTCGTCCCCGAGACGGGTGTCATCATGAACGATGAGATGAACGACTTCAGCATTCCCGGCGTGTCCAATGCCTTTGGCTACATCCCCAGTGAGGCTAATTTCATCCGCCCCGGCAAGCGCCCCCTCTCATCCATCTCCCCCGTCATACTCGAGTCTCCCGAGGGCGAACTGTACTTCAGCATCGGTGCCGCCGGAGGTAGCCGCATCACCACGGCCACGGTCCAGAACATCCTCCATGTCATTGATGGCGATCTTACCGTTGCCGAGGCGCTCGCAAAGCCCCGCCTGCACGACCAGCTCTCGCCAAGCCAGGTGGAGTTTGAGTACAGCTACGACAACAGCACTGTCGCCTTTCTCAAGAGCCTGGGTGCCAATGTCACTTGGACGGCGCCGGGAAAGAGTACCGCCCAGGGTCTGCGCAGGCTCAAGGGTGGTGTGTTTGAGGCGGCCGGGGAGCCTAGGCAGTTGAATTCGGGGGGTGTTACTGTTTAGTGTAGATGAGGAGATAGCAGTAATTTGCAATTTGTATAATGAAATTGTTACCGGCCAATTCTTGATTATCGACCACCGCGATATGAAAAGGACAGGGGATTGCCGTTTGACGAACGCGAGTATAGCATAATAACAGACAATTGAAAGCCTGGCATAGTTACACTTGCTCTAATCCCGCCACCACTAATGATAAAACGTTGAACAAAAGCTCCTTTCCCCACCCCCGCCATCGATCTGCGCGTCCTTTACAAATGCTAAAACCCCCTCGACACCGCCATCGCCAGACGAAAGAGAGACCCTACAACTATCCTCCCACGGTTACGACCTGTACAACATCTCGCATAATTATCATAAAAAGAAACACTCACCAACATGGCTAGCGACAGTGCTGCGGCGACCGTCGCACAGGGGCAGACGCCGTACTACCCTGAGCTTCATGGGAGCCCCGCGCCAGATCTCCTCGAGGGACGCGTCTGGGTAGACGGGTGCTTTGACTTTTTCCACCACGGTGAGTATCTCGTCTTCTGACTGAGATAAGCTCTATTTCAAAGGGAAGAGGAAGAAGAAGAAGAGAATTGGAATTAACTCCCCTGGCAGGCCATGCCGGTGCCGTCGTTCAGGCCCGTCAGCTGGGTGATGAGCTCTACGCCGGTGTGCACACAGATGAAGACATTCTGGCCAACAAGGGGCCTACGGTCATGACTCTAGCAGAGCGGTACGTTTATGGCGAAAGAGGGAAAACTGGGCTGTGTAGGCGATCGGGAGACATTCGGAGCTGACGAAGATTATAGACTGGCCGCCGCCGAAGCCTGCCGCTGGGTGACGCGCACGGTTTCGCACGCGCCCTACGTTACGGACCTCGACTACATCACCGCCTTTGGGTGCAAGTACGTCGTGCACGGCGACGACATCACTTCCGACAGCGACGGCAACGACTGCTACCGCTTCGTCAAGGCGGCCGGCCGCTTCAAGGTGGTCAAACGGTCCCCTGGGATCTCGACGACAGACCTGGTGGGCCGAATGCTGCTGTGCACCAAAACGCATTTCATCCGATCGCTGCAAAATACGGTGGAGGGTGAGGAGGGACCCGGAGATGAGGAGGAGCGTCGCGCTCAGGCTGCTGCCATGCTTGAGCGTATGAAGCTGTATGCCACGGACGAGACGGCCAAGGCTCCTGGGGCGGATGTGTGGTTCTGGTCCGAGGCGAACGCTACATCTTTCACCAAATCGATTGAGGGTAAAGGGTTGCGGCCCGGCCAGCGCGTGGCGTATGTCGATGGCGGATTTGACCTGTTCTCCAGCGGACACATTGAGTTCTTGCGTCAAGTTGTTCTGCGCGAGGAAGAGCTGGCCCGTCAGAGTGGGTGGTACAACAGTTCTGCTGTGGCAGAGCGCAAGGCGGCCAACAGCGGAAAGGACTACCCTCCTGCCTACGTCATCGTTGGCGTCCATGAGGACGGCGTGATCAACCAGTGGAAGGGGGTCAACTACCCCATTATGAACAGCTTTGAGAGAGGATTGTGTGTATTGCAGTGCAAGGTAAGGAACCGTCTGTCCCCCTGGATTACCTGACACTTAACTGACGGTGAAAATTTAAAAAAAAAAAAAAAAAAAAAACCCTGAAACAGTATATAAGCGGCGTCGTCTTTGGCGCACCCTTCTCCCCGAACAAGATATACCTCGAGTCCCTCCCGACGGGCGGCACCCCCTCGGTCGTGTACCACGGCCCCACGTCTTTCATGCCCCTCACCTACGACCCTTACACGGATGCCAAGACCATGGGCATCTACAGCGAGATTGGCGAGCATGCTTTTGCCGACGTCAATGCCGGTCAGATTGTCCAGCGTATCTTGAACAGTCGCGACAGGTATGAGGCCAGGCAGAGGAAGAAGGGCGTCAAGGCTGGACTGGAACAGGCTAGTAGGCAGAGGGAGATACTCGAGGAGGAGCAGAGGAAGAGGGAGGCCCAAAGGGCTGGTTGACCCGATGTCTCTAGTCTGCTTCTCCTTCTTCCCTTCTTCGTCCTGTTTCTGCAAAAGTGAAAATGGGAGCGATCTTTGATAAGCTTTGGTATATTTGCTTTCTTTTGTTCCTTCTCTCGTCTCTTTTTCTTTGATATCGATAGACACGACAGCATCGTTTATGATTAGTCATTAATCATTACTATAGTACTACTACTTGGTAGTACTACTATTCTTTCAAGAATCAAAAAGGATACATTTTTCATTTCTTTCCAGCTCTTTTGTAGTGACCTGTGACTCTGTATTCTGTTCTATGCCGTATGATCCAGTGCTATATATCATCTCTTTTACATCCTGTACCCGGTGGTCAGGGCATACGTACGATGAAGCCTATATCGTGTACCTCATCGTGATGCTGTAATACGCGCATCGCCCTCGCCCTCGCTCTCGCTTTCGTGCCAACGGCCTCGCCCCTCAATCTGCATGCTCGAGTGACGGTACATTGTGCGTCGCGCGTGGGCACACCGGACTTGACTTGACTTGCCGCGCCACAGTTCCGAGAGTCAGCCTGTTGGTAAGTACTGCCTTGGCACTGTGCAGTACGGTGATTGTCGTCCATTGAGAATGTCGCCACTAAGGTTGCACGTGCGTTGGCGGGGGTCATGGGATGGTGTATCGGTTCATGGGTTGATGTAGATATCGTGATGATGCTGGCGGTATTCAGATATGGGTTCAATTCCATTTGAAAAACGTCACTTGATAGCGCAGACCAGTACGATAATTAAAATGATGATACGAGTTATCAGTATTACTAGCAGTCGAGTCGAGAGAAAGAGAGGCAAAAGAGAAAGACGAAGAGTTCCAGCATGTTCTCAATGTGTCATCATCACTTTTGCCCCACCTTCCTCGTTGGACGCACCACCCGTCCGCTGCGCCTTCCCCAGCCCTATCTATGTAGTAGTACCTTTTCTGGGTTGGCTTGATGAATTCCTATTTCTATTTCTTCTCGTTCATTCCGTTTTTTTCCCTTTTCTCCCTGCTTCACCTCATACACAGCGAATACAACTCCTTGAGTTCCAGATAAGCGCCGTTATATAACCCGACCGAAACTGAGAACAATAATATATCTCCGACGCCGCGTCGACCTTATTTTTTTTTTGCCTTTTTGGCTGGCCCTTTCTCCTTCCCCACTTTTGCCGCTCGAGCCGTCCCGCCATTGTCGTCATCGCCCGTCTGGGCCGCATGCTTGGCCCTCGAGAGACGAAGCACTCAGAGAGAGAGAACGGAAGATAGACTCGAGTCTATTTGAACCTAACTTCTAATACACGTTATACACACACATCAGATTCAGATACTTGAGGAAATCGTCATGGGCGACGTTCACCACGGCTCCCGTTATAAGGAGTACGATGACCAGTCCGACGACGACGGGTATTCGCGCACTACCGTCCGTCGCTACAAGGTCAAGCCTGGTCGCAACGGTAACCAGCACCAAGAGGTTGTCGAGGTTGGCGAGGATTACCGCCCCCAACACTCCGAGAAAGAACACCGCTCCCACGACGACTACCAGCTGCAAGATGGCTACGAATATGATAGCCAAAGTCGCCAACCAGACGGTGTAAAGGTTCAGCGCCAATATGCCGACCACTGGGACCATGACCGAGGTTACGACGTGGAGCGCTACCGTAAGGAGACAGAGTATTATACCCCCCGTCCCGAACTCAGTTCCGAGCACCACCATCGCCGCGACCGCGACCACGGCCACGACCATTACGTCCCGGAGAGTCCTAGGACCGCTGTCGATGACCACTACCGCCACGACTATGACCCCAACTTCATGGTGCTAAGGAACAAAGACCACAGACATGGTCGCGAACTTGCACCGAGGGACCGTTTTAACGATGACTACTACTATCACCGCGAATCACGCCGCCTTGACCCTGACCGTGAGAGGACACATGCTCTGGCTCGCTACGATCGCTATCGCCGTGATCAGGGATACTCGAGTGACGAGGGGGATCATCGTACCCGTCGTCGCCTCGCTCGGAGGGAGCGCAGTGAGAGCCCTCCGCACCACAAGCGAGAGTTGGCTATTGGTGCCCTAGCTGGTGCCGGTCTCACCGCCCTGATCAACAGCCGACTGGGCGAGGATGGCGAGCTTCCCGAGCACCGTGGCCAAAAGGTACTGGCGGGAGGCACTCTGGGCCTCTTGGGCACCGAAGCACTCCGTCGTGCGCACTCTGCCTATGGCGATCGCTTCCACGACCACTCCCCCGATAGCCATTCTTCCTTAAAGAAGGGCCTAAGTGTCGCCGCTGTTGCCCTGGCCGCTGCCGGTGCCGCCAAGTACTATAAGTCTGGCAAGGTAGAGAAGGAGGAGGCTCATCGTGGCCGTAGCAGGAGACGTCATCGCTCCCACTCCCGTGCCCGCAGCGCCCCCTACTCAAGGTCGGCGAGCCGCGGACGTAGCTTGTCTACCGCAGCTAAAGCCGCATTCGGCGCTGCAGCTACCGCAGGAATTGCCAACCATATTCGCAGCAAGTCCCGCGGCGGATCGCGGAGCAAGTCAAGGCTCCGCCGTGTTGCTGAAATGGGTGGCGCCGCGGCTCTAGCTGGTGTGGCTGGAAAAGCCTATCAGCATCACCAGAAAAAGAAGAGCCGCTCCGCCGAACGGTCCCGGGATTTGGGTGGTGATGATGAGGAGAGCGACCATGGCCATAACCACCGTCGCTCGAGCCATGCTCGGAGCAGTCGTACACGAAGCAGGTCGACGGCAAGGTCCCTTCATCGCTCGGATGCTGGTTCCGAGCCCCAGCTGGGTCTTGTCGAGTACGGCCATGGTCCACTGAGCCCAAGTCAGCGCTCAGAGCAGCAGACGTACGAGGATGAGGAGCGACGCCACAGGAGACGCAAGAGACGTGGATCTCCTGGCCAGTCGGATTATGAGTCGACCGACGCGAGCTCGTGGAGAAGTAGGAGCAGGAGCCGTATCCGCGATATGGCCGCGGCCGGTGCGACAGCCCTCGGAATTAAAGAGTACAAGGACAAGAAGGACCAGGAGAAGAGGGAGTGGAGGGAACAGAGAGATGAAAGGACTTTTGATCCCGACCAAGACTCACGGCCGCCCCGCCAGCGCTCTAGGAGGCGTAAGCCACGGCCCTTGTCCGTTCCACAAGGTACGAATCTAGCATGCTAACATTCTTTCGCAGGCCACAATGAAGAACCTGACGACTACTTTGATGATCCCCCTCCTCGACACGGCTCACCTCCCGTCGCATCCGGTGGAGGCGCCTATTACCCTCCCTACCCGGCCACTCCCGGTTCCGGAGCCACGAGCGGGGGTTACACGCAATTCCCAACCGCCGACCCCCAGCAAACGTACATTCCCCAAGACTACACGGGGTACCCGCCACCGCCGGCACCTGTCCCCCCCCCAGCGGGCCAACCCCCGTCTGCGAGCGGATACGTCCCGCCTCCACCTCCGCAGGGAACTCCTCGCCACGATGCCACGCTAGACAATGTGAGTCCTGATGCCACCGTGACCAGGGGACAAGGCACAGAGGGTGCGTGAGAAATCGGGATTGCTTCTGCTGTACCAAGAAAATTCCTCAATCACGTCTCGAAGTGATCGACTAACAAGGTGTGTCAGTAGTCGAAGATGTAACCCCATCACGCCCTTCTCTCCACCAACCAAGTAGAGCTCTGTCTCGCCGTCATACCTCATACCAACCGCCGATGACGGACTCGGATGGTGACACTGTGATTCTGCCCGACCGCTTTGACAGTCACGGCCAACTGCTGGATGGAAATGGTGGCGGCAGACAGAGTGGGAGGTGGACCACGCGTCAAGGCGAATTTCAACGCCGTCCACAGCACCCTGGTGACTGGGACGTTAGAGGCGCTTGGCATATAGGTGGTACTGACCCGACTTATGTGGAGGGTATGGCCAGGGGAGTGACAGATATCCTGGATGGGCGTGTTGGCTTGATGAGGTTCCTGGGTGACTTTCTCGGTCAGGGATTGTTGGAAGATGAAGGACACGGTAGAAGAAGACGGCGTAGTAGATGATTTTTCTCTTGTCTCTTCTTTTTGTCTCTTTTACTTTCTTTTCCTATTTGCAAAGTAGCTAATTGTTTTGGCTATATATGTTGCGTATTTCGGACACTATTTGTTTCTGCCGTTTTTGCTTGACGAATTCTAAGAATGAGATATCTGTTTCCAGTAACAAGTTGAATTTTCTAGCTATATTTGCAAGTTTCTTCCACGAACCCTAGTCCATTCCCATGTTGAAATGAGCTCTATGGCCAGTAACGGCCCTGCTCTTTATCGGTTTTATATTTCCTTTTGGTTCTTATTGCAGCAACACAAAGCCCATTACACATTCTTGTGTGTCAGTCCAAGTACAAAGGCATGGTATTCCGCGGCCAAAACAAACACAAAAAAAAAGACAAGTGCAAAGGGTGAAAAACAATGACAACGGCATCTGGTATCTCAAAAAAAGACGTGGTGACGCTACATTAAGGTTTGATTTGGCAAAAAAAGGGAGGTTGTGTATGGAAAGGGAACCTCAATTCTTGAGGAGATATTCCTTGTTACCCACGAGCTTGTCGTACATGGTCTCGAGGATGCCCCTGACAGGCCTGCGCTTGCCAGCACTAGTGGACATGTCGGCCTTGAGCTTCTCGTAGATGGTGGGGAGGCTCTCGGCCTTGTACTTGGCACGCATCTTGTTGTAGATGTCGTGATCGTAGATTGTCCAGAATTCTTCCTCGGTGTAGTAGGTGCGCGCGTAGAGGAGCTTGGCCCCCAGAAGCTCTGCGCTGCGCAGCTCGAGCTTGCGGTTCAGGTCGTAGAAGGCCTGGGGGTCGCGGGGGCCGCGGCCGTAGACTCCGACGGCGAACAGGCGCTGGTCGGCAATCTCGGAGACGCGAGGGTGGAAGCGGGATATCAGCCCGATGTCGCGTGGCTTCATGCAGGGAGCCAGGAAGATCTGCAGCTCGGGAAGCGTCTCGTTGACGAAGGCGATGAAGGTGGCCACATTGTTAGCGGGGATACCAAAATCTTGGACGACGTATTCGCTTGCTAGACCTGACTTGTGAAGAGCGTGGTAGCAAGTACGGCTGTCGAGGAAGGGGTCGGCCAGACGGCGTGTGATCCAGTTCTGCGGCACGTGGAAATGCATGAAGGCGAGCTTGCCGCCCCAGAAAGCGCCATGGTCGTAGCGGAACAGGTAGTCGGTCACATTCATGTAGACTGAGTGGGGGGACTCCGGAGTGGGCTTCTCGCGCGTGAGGATGTCCTCGATCGTGTCGGCGAACCAATGGACTTGCATCTTCTTAAGGGCAGAGTTCCCGGCCGGCAGCTCGTCGACAAAACTGCCGTACATGACGACAATCGTGTTCTTGCGGAAGTAGACGCCGTCAATGAAGTGAATGTCCGGGTCCGCAGCGGCCTCCTCGAACATTTCATGCGCGCGTACCACTTCTTCCACCCGCTGGAGGTCGACGCGCACGTAGGGCTTGGCGGGGATGAGCTCGACAGTGAGCAGGGTGACGATGCCAAAGGTTCCGAGGCTCCCGGCCGAGTGCTCTAGAAGGTCCGAGTTGTGCGTACGGCTGGCCGTCTCCAGGGTGCCGTCACCAAGAACAATCTCAATGTCGGATACGGTGTTGCTGAAAAGGCCATAGCGATACATGCTGCTCTCGCCAGAGAATCCCGAGAAACCACCGCCCACGGTGATTCCCTTGAACTCCATGACAATTTTGGGGACGACGCCCTCCTTGAGGCAGTGCGCCGCCAGCTCGTCCATGGGCACCTTGGGCTCACAGCGCACCGTCATGGTCTCCTTGTCCACAGGGAACAAACGGCCCATGTCGCTCGTGTCGACAATGGAATCGCGCTTGAAGGATACCGGGCGTGTGGAGCTCGTGGACCCATGGTAGACGCGAAAGTGCTTCTTTTCGTCGTGGAAGTACTTGACCTGGGACTGGATGCGCTTGACGGCTTCCTGGTGCTCCTCCAGGAGCTTGGCGGTGTTATCTTGCGTCATCGTGGTGGTATTCGTGTTTTTGATAGTCAATTGCCGTTGTTGGTTCGATGGCAACCTCTCAATTGCCTATGGGTAGTGAACGGGAAGTAAGAGAAGGAAAGGGGCTTTCAAATGGAAGAGAAAGAGGAGTATATTAGAGAGAAACAGATCCAGGCTGTGATGAGCCCACAAGCTCAATCTCGGGGAGGCGGGGGAGCTTGATCAGTGTCTCACGGTGTGGCAGGGGTGCGTGCGCGTAAGCCACGAGTCCCGTAACTTGGAGTACGTAGTAAAAATAATATTAACGAGAGCGAGAACGAGTGTACAAAGTACAAGAGAATGTGGAGAACTCTACCTGCTGCGCCGCCCTTGTACTTCCTTGTGTGCCGCTCTGTTCTGCCTATCAAGGAGAAAAAAGGGCGAAGGGAAAGTCGAAGAGGAAAAAGGAAAATACTCGTACGAGCCTGGGAGACAAGTAAATTGGTCGTGACGTGTGTTGTTTCTCCGTGAAAATAGGGAAGGAACGATCCCGGTCAATCCGGCAGGAGCTACCGTCGTCACTCGAATTGTGCGGAAGGTGCGACCGATCAACATTTCATTCCTTCCATGAATTTTTCTTTTTTCTTTTCACATTTCCACATTTCCACATTTCACGTTGCATTTGATCTCGTACGAGTGATGCAGAAATCCCTCTTTTTCTCTTCTTCTTTTTTTCTTTTCTTTTAAATTCTGGACTACGCGTAGATCTTTGTTGCATCTCGGTTGCATCTTCATAGCTCGCTTCAGCCATGTTCCTTCAGTATTTATCAATCAGCCCTCATTTGGGTTTGAGCCTGCCAATTTAAATGCGCCGAGCCGCATCAGTCTACCTTGACAGCAACCTTCTCCCCAAACACCCTCATGGTACCAGTCGATGGCACCCTGCGCCTTGTCCAGCCCCTTACCGTATACCAAAGGAGCCGGTGCGATATTGATGAAGTTTGTTGCTTATCACATATGGGAGCCAATCGTTCCAGATGAACGGACCGTGTCCTTGCCGAAGATGCACCCACCATTGGCTATATTCCAGTTGCTAGCCCACATGCACGAATAAGGAGAAAATCGGTTGCAACTTGCCTCCTTTCAGTGTCGCACCTTCAGGAACCTCGACGGGTGGAGGGAAGGTAATTGGCTGAAGAGAGCCTAGCTGGCCCTCGGACCCGAGCTTCAAGAATATTTCGAACGACCTTTCCAGAACTGGCTCGGACACAATAGCAGCGAGGACACCAACAATGTCAACCCGGGAAAGCTCTTTGGAAATGTCCTCAATGGCACATGGGGATGTGTGGTCGAAGACGTGAGTGATACCGACGGAGCGACCGAGGTCCTGGTTGCGAGTACCAACAACAGTGGTAACCATGTATCCGGCCGAGACGAGAAGCTACGTGGTCGATGTGCCGATGCTGGAGCTGCCACCCCAGATAACAACGATCTTGCCGTTGGGCTTGGGCGTCGCCGTGAGCTAGGGTAAGGACAATTCGATGCCCGTCTCTGGGAAAAGCGCATCGGCCGCCGAGCTTATAGCCAGCGGCAACACCACGGTGTCTTTATAGGCCATGGAGTCTGGGATCTTGCACACAAGGCGCGCTTTTGTTGCGGCGTAGCGCTGAAACGTCACCTGCGAGTAGTCAGCTGTCATGGCCCCAGCAAAGACACCCATGACACGGTCCCCTGGGGCGAAATTGTCGACGTTGGACCCGAACGAGTGCACCTTACCGGCGCTGTCAGAACTTATGACAGCAGGGTACTTCCTTCTTCACTGTTATGTCTCCCTTCTGGACGATTACCTCGGCCGGGTTGATGGCCACGGCGTGGATCCTGAGCAAGACGTCGTCCGGTCCACAAGTGGGGAAGAGGCTAGGGCCGACTCTTCCTTGGGCCTTGGGTTCCTTCAACCAAACGGCTTAGTTCTGTGGCGGCATGCTGACGGTTGTATGAAGATGTAAAAGGTAAGTGTGCTGGTGGTTGTAGCTTGATGCTCAGAGTTGATTGACCATCCACCTACCAGCGGGAACATGCTCACCTTATACATATCGGCAACAAAGTGCATCTCAGATTTTGCAACTTTATTCCGCGCCTTAGATCCGTCTTGCACGAGCATTCAAATGAACTCACATTTATACAATTCTAACCCCCCAGAAGCACTTTGGCGAAACTCATCATGATACCTTTTCCCGCCCAAAAGCTCCACCGGCCTACGGAGTCCCACTCCCGGCGCAACGGTTTCCGAATCGGGAAATACGTGCAACGCTAAACGATCATTGGCTACACAAGGGGGTAGACGAACTCTGAGCGGCAGCTTTTAATGCCACAAGGCCCAAATGAGCGGCGGAAAGGGATGACTATTACGGTCTCAAGGTGATGGATAAGATTGATTACTATGCAGATGATGCGTGGGATGGATTCTAAGCTGGCCAGGTCTACGATATATGCACTTGACTGACCGCATATGTCATAGACCCATTCATGTCGGCAGTTACCCGGTGCCAGAACACCAAGTTTCATTCACACCGTAGCTGAAAGTTTAGAATCTATAATTTGGTGGTTCTGATTATTGGTTTGAATCTACTCATATCACGGAGATGGCGCTCAATGTCGGCCGTGTTGAGCATGTCTGGGCCTAGTTGGTCAAGGCCCGTGGCTCCCAAAAGGCGCATGGAGTTTTCAATTTCATCTTTGAGGACTGCGGCGGGAGTTAGTGAATACTCACAATCATAGAAAATGGCGCAAACGATATGAGGCGCGCGAGGAACAATTGAGGAGAGAGGGCATGGAGAAAAAAAAGGAAAGAAGACTGTCAACTCACTTTGTGTCAAGTGCTGTGCACCCTCTTGTCCATACACGAGCGAGTATAGATACGGCCGTCCGATCCCAACGGCAGTAGCCCCCAGAGCAACAGCCTTGAGGATATCGACACCACGCTCAAATCCTCCGTCGACATAGACCTCTAGCTTGGAAAAGACATCAGGACAGCGCAGCCGCAGCTCTAGCAGGTTGAGAATAGCCGGCTGCGCTGTGTCGAGCGACCGACCACCGTGATTAGACAGCATGATACCATCGACGCCCACATCTGTAGCGCGCTGGGCATCTTCGATGGACTGTACGCCCTTGAGAACAAGGGGGACAGACGACTCTCGTCGTATCCACGCTAGGTCATCCCATGTGAGGGCCTTGTCGATATACTGGGCCATCAGACGGCCCAAGCCACCGCCCTTTTCATCCTGTGTAGCAGTTGCACCGCTGATGGCAGCAGCCTGCACTGGTGCGTTCGCAACGGAAACACGCTCGTCTGCCTCGCGTTTGCCGGGTACAGGGGCATCGACCGTGACAAAGACAGCACGGATACCTAGGTCGCGCGCCTGGTGGAGCAGGGTCGTTGTCTGTGCCCGGTCGCGGTTGACGTACAGCTGGAAAAAGAATGGGTGCCCTGGTGGCGCGGCTTGCACGATACTAGATAGAGGGAACGAAGCATTGTTGGAAATGCACTGAATAAGCCCCTCTGATGCGGCGGCACGGGCGAGGGCAAGTTCACCGTCTGGGTGGGCAAGACGAGCCATGGCGGCGGGGCTGATGAAGAAGGGAGCATCGGAGGCGCAGCCTAGGATGGTGCGCCGCGTATCCACAGCGCTTACATTGCGCAAGATGCGTGGCTGGACCATGATGCGCCGGAGAAACGACTTGTTTTGCTGATGGGTCACCAGATCTGTTGCTGCGGACGAGTAGAATGCCCATGTCTTGGGGGTGAGATGCTGTCGCGCGGCGTCTTCAAAGTCGGCAGCGTTGATGAGCGCTTGAAGGTTCGCCATTGCGACATCATCGGAGTCGACTCTGGGCCCTTCCTTTCTATCGACCTCCTCCTCTTCCGCCTCGTCCAAGATACCACGACATTTTTCGGTGGGGAGGTTAGCCTCTAGAAGACCCGGTGCATGGATCTTGTCAAACTCGGCCGTTGCGTCGCGACCTGCACAGTTAAGAAGGACTGTCCATCAATCAGAAAGCTGTCGGTGAGTGTTGCTTTATGTGTGGGTTGCTCACCCTGTGCACCACCAGGATGCTCATCGATGAACGAAGTCAGATCCCATACTTTGGTGTGCACCGCCATCCAGCAGTCATCGCGCGAGTTGTGCGCAGCAAGGTCAGCACGACTGAGAAGATTCATGACTGACAGTGTTTGAGAGTTTCCTTCGTCAATGAAGGACTTCTGCAAGCTGATAATTTTCAACACTCAGTTGATCAATTGGTTGCAGCGTCGCGTCGTAAACATTGACTTGAACCTCGGACTTCTTGCCGAGGGGTCCACAATCAACTCCGATCGGGAACTTGAACGGGATGCATTCAAGTGAGAAGTGGAATCTTACCCCTCGAATGAGTCAATTCTTGTCGTCCTTGATTTTCAATATCATCACTTCAAGGAAGAAGAGGAAGGAGAAGGAATACAAAAAAAAGAAGAAAAAAATACCAAAAAAAAAAGACTTCTCTTCAACATGGCCAAACCCATCGTCCTCCACCTCGGCGAGCCGATCAAGTACAACCATCAAGAATACGCCACCTTCTCAGAACGCTTCACAGTAGTGCACAATGACTGTTTGGATCGTGAGTCATTCATCCAAGCACTCCAGGACAAGTGCTTCGGCGACTTCTCCGCCTTGTTCCGTCCACACTTCCAAACAGGCGGCGAAATGGGCCAGTGGGACGACGAGCTCATCTCCCTTCTCCCCAGTTCCGTGCGCATCTTTGCCTCAGCCGGTGCCGGTTTCAACTGGGCTGACGTGGAGTCCCTGGGTCGCAGGGGGATATGGTACGCCAACGGGGCGGGAGCGAGCGACGAGGCCGTCTCTGACTCGGCGCTGTACATGATTCTCTCCGTGTTTCGCAACTTTACGCGCGGACAGTTGGCGGCGCGGACGTGCGATCCCGAGGCTTTCACAGCAGCGCATAAGCTCCTGGCCACTATATCCGCCAACCCGCGGGGACACGTGCTTGGTATCGTCGGGCTGGGGTCCATCAGCAGGAAACTGGCGCGGAAGGCTGGTCCCAACGGTCTGGGGATGAAGATCCATTACTACGATATTGTTCGTGCACCAGTCGACGTCGAAGAGGCACTGCAGGCTACGTTTCATCCTACGTTGCACGGCCTGCTCTCCGTTTCGGACTGCGTGAGTCTGCACATCCCGCTGAACCCACACACGCGGGGACTCATGGACGCTTCTGCATTCGCTGCTATGAAAAATGGTGCCAGATTGGTCAACACGGCTCGTGGTGAGGTGGTAGACGAGGAAGTCCTCATTTCGGCCCTGCAGAGCGGTCGTCTTTCCGCCGCGGGACTGGATGTTCACGCGAACGAGCCACATATCAACCCCATTCTCGCAGCCATGGAGAACGTCACGCTTACTCCACATATCGGTGGTGGTGCTCTTGACACGCGCATCAACTTTGAGCTTTTTGCCATGCGAAATATCGAGGCTGTAGTGGGGGATGGTGGTGAACCTCTGACGCCTGTGAACCGCAGGGCCGTGGAGGAGGCGAACGTCGCTGCTACGAAGTGAGAGGGCCACGACGTGATGAGCATCATGCGGGAATAGCCAAGATGCCAGCTGCGTGGATGGGGCAGTAACACCATCTGGGGTATGCGGGGGAAATCTGGGGTTCGGGATACCGATAGCCGGTGTAAGTTGAACCGGACTTGTGGCCGAGACGCCCCCCTCATCAGATGGTGTGGTACGGGATCGTGCAATGGTATAAATAAAAGCCGTGAATCTCCTGAAAGACGGAAGTTCAGCTCTACTTGAGGCCCATATTGTAGCCTGCTTTACGCAATGGACATCAAGTCTGCCGAGCACTGCGAGAAGCCCGACGTGGCTGTCCTGCAGCCCGATGAGCTCCCTCTCCCAGAAGAGCTGGGTGAGCTCAACGATGACGATAGGGAGATGATGGAGAAGAGGCTTGTGCATCGACTGGATGTGACGCTTATGCCTGCCGTCTTCCTGCTCTTCCTGCTCAACATTCTGGACCGCAACAACATTGCCAGCTCTAAGATTGTCGGCATCACAGACTCTCTCAACCTGTCCAATGCGCAGTACAACACGTGCCTCCTCCTCTTCTACGTCGGCTATATCATCACCCAGGTGCCGTCCAACATGATTATCGGAAAGGTGCGCCCGTCGTACTACATCTGCCTCATCACTGCGCTGTGGGGAATCCTGTCCATGTGTCAGGGCTTCACCCGCGACTTCGCCGAACTGGCTTCTGTGCGGTTCCTACTGGGCCTTGTGGAAGCACCCTTCCTGCCTGCCGTCTTCGTCCTCATGAGCTGCTGGTATAATCGGCGCGAGCTGCCGCCGCGCGTCGCAATACTGTATGGAGGAAACATGCTCGCCACTGCCTTTTCGGGCCTCATTGCCGCAGGGAGTAGGTATTTGCGTCCGGATCCCTGCCATCTGCCTGTCTAACTCGTCTCAGTCACCGACCGTATGCAAGACGTTGCCGGTCGGCCCTCGTGGTCGTGGCTCTTCATCATCGAGGGCTCCATGACGGTCGGCATCGCCATCCTCCTTGTCCCCGTCCTGACTGACTACCCACTGCAGAGCCGCCATGTCTTCATCGGCCGGGACCTGCAGCTCTATGCCGAGTGGCGCATCCGCAAGGAGAATGCCGGCCTGGCAGACGAGGATGCCGACTCCGTGTACCGCGGGCTGCTGCGGGCCCTGGCAGACCCGAAGCTGTACCTTTTCGTCGCGATGCAGATGGCGCTCATAACGGCACAGTCGTTCAACAACTTCTTCCCCTCTATTGTCGGTACACTGGGGTACGACAGCACGAAAACGCTCCTGCTCACGTCGCCGCCCTATTTCTTCGCCTTCTTCGTCTCGCTTGCCGTATCGTTCCACGCGTCCGCCAGCAAAGAGAGGGGGTACCACACTGCTCTGCCGATGGCCGCTGGCCTCCTAGGGAACATGCTGGCCATGTTTGTCCCCTCCACGGCGGGCCGCTACGTCTCCATGTTCCTCATGACGGCTGGGACGTACGCCCCGTATAACCTATGCGTCAGCTGGGTGAGCGCTTCGCTGCCGCGACCCCGTGCAAAACGTGCTGCCGCGCTGGCCATTGTCAACTTCATGTCTGCCGGTGTTGCGCACTTTTACACGTCGTACATGTTTCCCGATTCGCAGAAGCCGCGATACTATGCTGGTGGGGGCGTCATGAGCGGCGCTTGCGTCGTCTGTGGTCTCATGGCGCTGTTCATAAAGTCTCGTCTTAAGAGGGAGAATGCGAGATTGGAGGAAGCTGAGAACCGCGGGGAGGTCACGGGTGTTTCTTTTAGATATGTACACTGATTTACGCACGCTTCGTAACGTATTCAAACACGTTCGTGTAATACTCCGTCTTAATACATGAATGCAAAATTCCTTGTAGCTGCCCCGCTCGGAGACAACTCCGAACTCTTACTCTAGATACAAATGACCGATGTTCCAACCTCTAATGTGAACCATCAGACCAATGTAAACATCGAGTATGAACTGGGAAGTAGCTATCATAGTTCCAGAATCATCACCATGTCCAAGATTGGCTCTCCCAAGGCCCGGCCCCTCCCGGCCGGCGTCTACACTCCCGTCATCACCCTCTACAACACCACGCCCAGCCAAACCGTTGACCTGCCTGCCATGTACCGCCACTGCCAGCACCTCGCCAGCAGTGGCATGCACGGCCTCGTCTATCTCGGCACCAACGGCGAGCTGGCCCTTCTGACGCGCGATGAGCGCAGGCAGATAATCGCCAATGCCAAGCGAGCCCTCGTCGACATGGGCCTCTCAGAGTACCCCCTCGTCGCAGGGATCTCAGCCCAAAGTACAGCCGAGACTGCCCTGTGCGCCCAGGAGGCTGCCGAGGCTGGCGCCCTCTGGGGCCTGCTCCTACCCCCCAGTTACTGGGCCAAGGCGCTGTCGTCGGACGCTCTGGTGGGATACTACCGTGACGTCGCTGATACAAGTCCAATCCCTATCATCATATACAATGTATGTATTTGGTCATCGCCTCCAAGTTCCCTCAGGTTTCTAGTGTGAATACCGCTTACTTACATGAAATAGTTTCCCGGGGTCACGGCCGGCGTCGATCTCGACTCGGACCAGATTGCAACTCTGGCTGCCCATCCTAACATCGTGGCGACAAAGCTTACATGCGGCAACTTAGGAAAGCTTACACGGCTGACATCGCGGTTTCTGCCGTCGCACTTTGGCGTCTACGGTGGCAGCAGCGACTACCTGCTCCCGACACTTCATGCGGGCGGCAACGGGTGCGTTACGGGAATGGGCAATGTGTTTCCCCGATCGACTGCGCGCGTCTTCGACCTGTGGAAGGAAGGCCGGCTCGAGGAGGCTGCTGCTCTGCAGGATCTCGTGGCCAATGCGGAGTGGGCCTGCAAGAAGGGCCTCGGGTGCACAAAATACGGTGCCTGGTGGTACCTTGGTAAGGACATCGGGATTGTGGACGAGGCTGCTTTCCATATGCGCAAGCCGTATCAGGATATTCCGGAGGCAATGAAGAAGTGGTCCGTTGACACGCTTGGCGTACTGGCCGACACGGAGAAGAAGCTGGCAGCTGAAGGGAGATAGTAGATGGTAGTGTATACCGATAAAGCTAGTTCGGATTTTAAAGGCTGGGAGTGCCAGAAACCTGAAGAATCATGTTGCATGTGCAGAACACACACACTGCAGGGCAGGAAGAAAGTGTTGGATATATGTGCCGTCTATTTCAGGGCAGGCCGAGACCGTCCGTGATAAGATGCACCGCATTCAAATGCCTCTCTTACTACTCTTAGGACAGTATCCCTTCTCCGAAAGAGCATAATATTCACCCGTCAATTGAACATCTAGCGAGCTTACAGCTTGCTAAATGCATTCGACAGTGTTGAGCCTACGAATATGACAGCAACCCTTGCGTAGGACTCAATCCGTAGCAACCTGGGGCATGCTGACGCCCTTAGACTAGGCAACCTGCTGAACGGCATCCACAATACCCAGACTGGAATCAGCAAACCACTCCTCTGTCTTGATATCCGAGGCGCTGCCAAGACTCTGAGAGGAGGTGGCCACACTACGCGGCTTCGACAGTATTCCGCGGCCGAGGGGGCTCCGAGAAATGACACCGACGCCGGTGGCCTCACAAAATGATGGCATCTCACGCTCCTCCTCGTGGTAGAGCAGTAGAGTAGATTGTAAAATGGCTGCATGTCGATGAACTGCGTTTAGTCGTGCATCTGCGTCGTGTACAGCAGACGTGCAAGCTCCCAGGCGTGCATGCTTGAGGCACCAAGGCACCGCACTTCACCAGAGACGACGAGCTCGTGCAGGGCACGCATGACTTCTTCGGAAGGCGTGTCACGGTCTATACGGTGGATCTGCAGCACGTCAATGTAGTTCTGTGGCCAGACGCTCGAGGCGCCCGTCCACAGACTGCAAGATGTGCCGTAGTCCAAGGAACAAGATGTGCTTCCAGATATTTCTTATGATCTTCTTTCCCTTCTTATTCGGAAACTTCTCAATCGGTTCTTCTTCATTTGTTCTTGCACACCAGATCTCGGTTTTGATTCATTCTCTGTACTTGGTTGTGTGAATCGGACTTCTAGACGAGTGGCCCGCAGCCTACACGGACTTCTTACCGGGAGTGTAGATCGGCCATATGTGAAGCACATGAAGCGCCGTCAACACCGAAACGAATAATAGCTCGATGTTAACTCCTGGAAACTTCTATAGACCACTTGATTTCTAAGATGCTTTGTTACACCCGAGCCCCCCCCCCCCCCCCCCCCCCCCCCAACACCTTAATCATTGCTGCCGTCAGGTTTACTCCGTATTTCTACGTAGTGGCAAGTCCCATAACGTCACAAACCGAACCATGTTTTCCTATGACAAGGTGTCCTTGACTTGGGAGAGTATTCTGTTGGAATATGCAATTTACAGTAAAACAGATTAAGCAAAGGATCGCTAGAATAAACCCGAGATATTGGCGTCATCATCAAAGGAATAAAACAGAGCATCACTCTCCAATGCTGCGTCAAACCCCGCGAGGTCCATCTTGGTAAAATCGATACCTGCGTTGCCTAGAGTTTCAGCCGTGACATTGCTATTGTCCGCAGTATCCTGCAATTTGGCAATAATTTTATCTAGACCGTCCCCCATGAGCTTGACGAGGTGCCAGCGACCCACGGGAGCAGATCTGTACAACGCAATCAGCCGTTTTACCAAGCCGACAACAACAGATGTCTGTACCACATCGTCTAGATGAGGCTGCGTGGCCAGGCGTGCCAGGAACATACAGGCGTAGCCCGTCATTGCATGCATGTAGGATGGCATGCCGACGAGGGCGGGTCGCATCTCAGGGTTGGTAATAAGCATCTCGACGATGGCCGTCGCGGCCGTGACTGCTGCTACAGCCGAATCACGTACCGGTCCGGCGATTGTTGTCGCCGCCACCGCCTTGGCATCAGCTCCCTGGAACACCTGCGCGTGCAGATGCAGCGTGGCGAAATGGTAATGCAGCAGGACGCCGTTACGCGGAAACCCGCCTATATGATTATGCCGTGCGGGCACGACGACGGACCAGTGGGCCAACCAACGGTCAAGTTGTCGTCCAAACCCGGTCGTATGTACGGCCAGGACGGTTGCGGGAGTGTCGTCTACCGCGCGCATACGCTGCATTATGTTCAGCAGAGCTACTTGGCTGGCCAAGCGCTGGTCTTCGTCCGTAGCCGATTCCGCTTGACGGAAGGCCTCCCACCCGCTCAGGGCAGCATCATCATCGTATCGGATCATGGCATGCCGCCCGTACAGCGTCGACAAGTGCTGATCGCAGATGTACAGTACGTACCATAGACGCACGGCGTCGACGGCATCAGGCGCGCCCGTCTGAACGGCACGTACATGCTGACCCGCTAGGTTGAGACCCGCCGCTCGTCGGATGGCATACCCGGAGAGGTTCCAGCTCACGTCAGACAGCCAGTACGAGGCGATACACATTGCCCGCACATCATCGTGGTCCATTCGGCGCTGGAACAGTGTCGCGGCCATTAGATGGCGTAGTTCGCCCATGCAAGTTCCGTACAAGCCTGGTGGTGCTGATGTTGGCGACTCTCCCGTGTCCGTCATGTGGAGTGCCGCCACAGTGAATATGCTCACTGCCAATAATCGACTCCCGCGACGTAGTGCGTCCAGCGTAGCGTATGCACCACCGATACCGTACATGAAGTGGTCTAGATGATCCATGTACATACGGAACAGACGCTCTGCATCATCTAGGGCGAGCTGCCCGCGAGATACCAGGTCGTCCACTGCGTCGTTTGAAGAGTCTGTGTGACCTGTGATACTACCGTTTGAAATACCTGCCCCTCCACCGGCTCTGTCATCTGGTCGACCCGGGTCCGCCTGGGGTGACCGCAGTGCCCTCAGCTTGGTCAACCGGTACAGCGAGTGGATGGGTACATGAGGGAGACCGGTGTCATCTTCGGGGAGTAGGACAGGTGAGTTGTCGCACGAAGGACCAATGTCACTGGTAGCGTGGGTACCCCGGTGGCTACTGTCGCTTGACTCTCCAGAGATGGGCGCGGGAAGGTCAGATGTCTTGATGCTCTGTAGACGTGGAGGCGGCGACAGGCCAAGCTTCTCAGTGATACGGTATAGCTGTGCATGTAACATTTCCATATCGACAGCCATGGCTTGGGAGAACCTAGATTTGAAGACAAGAGTGTTAGGAGATCATATGATTCCTGTTCTCAGCTGGACGCCGTACTCATTTCCTTCACTCAGCAACGTTTGAAGGTTCTTGTTCAGAGTGCAGCCGAGATCTCTCTCCGCGCAGCGCTTGCATGGCGGTCCCGACCCGTCCATAACACATTTTATCTGACAAGGTACATTTAGAAACAGCCAACTGATACGTTTCCTCGAGAATAAGGCTCACTTTGTGCTTCCGACAGGCCGTGCAGGCCTTAATCTTCCGAGAGATCTGGGGAATGGCCGAGCCTAAGGTCGGCCCTGGCGCGGAGTTGCTCCATGAGCCGGCCGGGCCCCACACGGTATCACTTTCGGCGTCGGCCTCATCCCAGCTTCGTTTGTTGCTCATTATCGAGTATAAGAATATCTTCTTTTCGTGTAATCAGGTTCGACGGCGTAGAAGGGACTCTGACATATTGCGTTGAACATGATCTCAATGTACCGCACTTCCCCGGATGCTTGTATATCCAGGAAGGGGGTGCAGATGCGGGGAAGATGGGGAACACACGCGGATATGAGAGGGGCATAATGGGGTATCAGTCACAGCTTTAGCTCGATGGATACGCCTCATTCATGGAGACAAAATCGTTTCCTTCGGTTCCGTGCTATACTCTATCATGTACCCAGGGGAGCCTTATAGTGAGCTTGATGGGTATGAGGTGGAGCGACTATTTAGAGAAATAGCCTCTCCGAGGGTTGTTGGCGTGGTCAGTTTGACGATACGGGACAAGTCATTCATGCTTTGCAGGACATTGAACAAGCAATGCGGAGTTGGAGGAAGATATTAAGACGCCCACTTACACCGAGTGTCGTGGGGCTTCATATGCTCTTTCAACAGTTTCTATAACCCTACAGCCCTAACCCCTAATCAGGTTCAGCTGCCTCCAATTCGTACAATACAAGATCGAAACAGTGTTCGAAGTGCCCTGGTGAGAACACCTGTCAATACAAGTCCAACGGAAGCTGACGTGGTGAAATCTTACGCCACCATGTTTGAATACTACCTGGATACATAAGTCATACAAGATGCTGCGGGGTCCTGTTAATGGATCTTAAATCCGGCTTCGTCCGGCGCCGACGGACTTTATCTGCCGCAACAATGGCTTCTTCCCCAGCCATACGCCGAAGAAGACATCATTTCTTCTGCCCATTTCACAGCCACGTTGCGTATTGTTATTATGGCGTATCTAGGGATTGTAGTACATGCAAACTTCGCAGAAAACAAGGCGAGTCGGCTTGTATCCAGCGTTCAAGCACTCTTCGTTCTGACCTGCATGTGCCAGTGCGACGAGACAAGGCCAGCAAGTGCTATCAGTACAACGTTCCGACTTCACTTTTACGTGCACTGGTACTAACGAACATCCCTTTGTCAAGTTGTGCAGCGCAAGTGTTCGTATAGGACGGCACTGTCTGGGCTACAAGTCTCATACAGACTCGACATTTCGACACTATCACACAACCGAGCTACCGGAAGCCCCCGTAAGCAGATATCGCGATGCATTCTTTGTAAGATCGACGACAGCATTGATTCGTATGCCAATTAATTCTTCACTTGCGATTATTGCGTGCGTCCGGCCCACCCAGACCTCTCGAGAGGCTGCCACAGAGCGCTATGAACCTGCTCCGACGGCAAGCACATTCATGTACTGTCTTCGCCATTCTGGTCATGTACCCGCTGCGTCTGATAGCAACGCAGGAGGCTGCCATTCCTGATTATGTGGCTCACCACATATGTATGTGTTTGCAGTGGATAGGCCATTGGCAGGACATTGGCCAAGCAAAATACGTGGCCCAGGATGGTAGGAGTACGCCCGATTCGTCTATTGCAAATGCCAATACCATCATTACTTGGGCCGACATAGCAGGGTGAGATTCAGTCACGTCCGAAGGGGATCGAAAAATAAAGCCCCATTCATACACTCACATTTAGGTGGGGGAATCGGACTATTTCAGTTTCCTGTCTCCTTCGGCCCGCGAACCCCAGACCTGCCACTCCTCTACATCATCATGGGACAGTTACGTGCTTCTCTCTGGACCCTGCCAGAATATCGAAGCCTCGCTAGCATGGCGGTGCACAGGTCTCAGACGGTCTACTGGAAAGACAGGACAAGATACATAACTCGTTCAGAGATCATGGTGATAAAAGGTGGCTCAACATCTCAATCAAGACAGATAAACATGTGTCTTATAGAGATCGGCAGACAGACTCATCACGGCACTCGAAGAGCAAAGGCCACGAGATAGGTATTCCAAAGTGCACTGCCTTATTATCCAGTCAAATACAAAACCAGAAACTACAGCAATGATTGTATACATATGTCTCTCGTCAGAGGACCGGAATTCCCAGTCAGCGAACTCCGTGCCCTCTGATACTAGTGTTCCAACTGACGTCGACGTTGAGAGGCTCGAGGCTTTGGCTCAGGTTAGAATCACCCTTGCCGACGGCAGCAATCAGCTCGATAAGCCGGGAACCAACGGGCTCGAGGCCAAGTGCCAGGGCTAGAGGATCCAGGGTGTCATTGAAGATAGAGGTGCGCCTGCAGCCCAACTCCAGCCTTCCGTCAAAGGCATCGGAAACAAATCTCAGCGTGCCAGGAAAGCCGATAGGCTCGGAGGTGACGTGCCCACCGGCGGCCAGGGTGACGAACTCAACGTTGCCGCCCTTAGCGCACCACGACTCAGCAGTCTTCGAAGCAGGGTCATAGGGGATGATCTGGTCCTTGCTGCTATGATACATGTGCACCGGGGCGGAAGGAGTCCCTGACTTGGCAGCCCCCAGGACCGTGTCATCCAGTATGCTGACTATGGTCGGGTCTTGCAAGAGTGCGAGACCTAGGGACTGGAAGCTCTTGGAGAAGATGCTTTGTTCGACGAAAAGAACGACAGCCTGATGTGAGCAGACTGTATTGATGGCATCCAGGACCGCGCGTCCATACGAAGTCAGAACGCGGTCTATAAGGGCGTTCATCTTCTTGCCGTAGGCACTGGCCTTAGAGAGACCGTTGATGGCCACAGGAGCGAAGCCAGCGTAGAGCGTGTTGTCAATAAAGGTGAGCGTGGCGCTCAAGGAGGCGGGGGTGCCTCCGAGAGCCCAGCCGCGGATGTCAATCTCGGGCGCGTACGACGGCTGCAACTCCGCTGCCCATCCAACGGGGATAGATCCTCCAGAGTATCCGACACCCACGACGGGAGGGGTCGTGGACGAGAAGCCCAGCTCGTCAGCAAAGTTGCCGACCGCACGGATTCCATCAAGAGCGGCCTTTCCCTGAAGGCGTCCGACAGCAAAGGCAGCATCGGGGCCTTCATAGTCAGGCGAGGCAACAATATAGCCGGACAGGAGATACGCCTCAAGGACGAGACGCTCGATGCCGGTGATCCACTCTAGCGGCATGGCGCCGAGCTGGTAAGTGTAGCTGGGGCTGCAGATGTTGCTAGACGAGTCGTAGGCCGTGTGGAAGGCGACGAGCCGGTCCTTCCTAGGGTTCAGCGGCTTGAAGATGGTGGTGGCCGTGGTGATAGCTGAACCGTTGACGGCCGTGGTGCGGTACAGCAGCTGCCACGCTTCGATAGGGTCAGGAATGAAACCGAAGAAGGCGGGGAAGATGCGACGCGAGCGTATGATCGTTCCGGGTGCCACATCCTCTAACCCTGTAGGGTTCCGGTAGAAGGGGTCAAAATCGGGCCACAAGGCGCGTGGATGGAGGTCTGTCACCTCTGAAGGCTCGGCCTCCCTCGACTCAATGCTGACGTCCCCGGGCTCAGCGAGGACATTTTCACCGGCAAATACCAGGCTCACATAGATCAGGGTCAAGAGTCGCGTAGATATGAAAATCATGGAGGTTACTAGGGGTGAGGGTGACGAAAACGGGGGTGGCCGTCCTAGAAATAGGACTGGGGATGTTTTCAATAGCGAGCGAGCCCCGAATGGGTGTAACCAAACGGGCGATCACATGGGGATAGGGTCAGGCGAACAAGAATACTTGAGAGTTACCCCGGACGATCGAAGGTGAACCGAAACCTGAGATATAATGCAATACTCAGGAACTAAGGAACGACGAGAACTAGATAGACTGGGCCTCCCCAACAACATTGAAGTCTCCGAGAATGCGAGCCGCGCTGTTGATTCTGGTCCATCACGTATTGACGAGGAAAGACTCTGGCTGAAACTCGTGTCGAGCGAGTACAGTTCTGTTGAGCCGCAGATAATGACATTCGGGCTTAGGGTGCCACAGCTAAGGTCTGCCTCTAATTCTGCAACTCCATGTGAGACGCTAGCCCCTATTGTCCCTGTGCGCATACTTGAAGCTTACCGTGGTAGTTTCGATACCGGTAAAAGGATACACTGATAGACACCGAGGATGGTGAAAGCTTCCTATCTTCGGAGTAGTTATTGGACCTACAATGGGCTAAGAGTAAGTCGTTCGTAGACTAAACAAGCTCGACGGATTTTGCCTCGGTAGGAAATGTGATCAAATGATCTGTACCTGGACTGGTCGCTCTGCGGCTTCTATTGTCTGACCTGCCGTATCTCGGCGCGGGAGATCGCCGTCTCAGTTCCACTTATACGGAGGTGGGCTTTATTCTCATTCAAGTCCCCGTTCCTACGCCGGCAAGATCAGAATGTTGTTTGTCTCGCAAATTTTTCCTGAAGCCAGATTCACTAGTTGCTGTCTCACCATTCATTACCGTTGAGCCGAGTCTACATTCTATTCAATCTGTTCTTGCCACATATGGAATGTGCATCAAAGATTTTTCGGAATGAAAGGTCCATCGAAATGACTTCAATGTCTTCCATGGAGTTTTCTGCACTGCCTTGCAGTGTTGTGCCCCGTTCTGGACCGGACTCCAGATCCTTCAGTCCGAACACTGTTCAACAGGCACTCCCAGTCATAGAGCAGGGAACATCTGTTGTGCGTTGCGACAGTCGCCGCGTATAGGCAACTGCCAGGGGGGGCCTGTCCAGCCGATCTGTCACGACGATCTATGGAACTGGCTAGCGGTTCTGATGGGACCAAGTGGGCGTTACAGTATAGCAAGACACAACGTCAGCATAGGGCAGGCACCGACCCGTTAGGAGCAGAGTGGCACATGGTCAGTCCATGATTGCGTCGCGTCACAGATGTCGTCGACTTCCATGAATAGTCCCGTTTGGTGATGATACGGTGGTACTCAAACGAGTTGTTCAGTGCCTACATCGGGAGAGGTTTTGGTAGCTGTGAGGTACAGACAGTCCTTAGAGTTTGATACGAAATGATAGATGAAGCGAACAGAGGAGAAGGCCGCCATTGTGTACTTGCCGGCCTTGATTCAAGGTGAAGAATGAAGCCGGACGCGAAAAATGTCATCGCATCGAGAAACATATGCTTCTATATGAACCCCTTCATTTTGCCGTAATACTGGATTATTGCATTAAGCTCGATATTACTGGATAGCGTGGGAATGCTGACTGAGCATCAAGGTCAGGCGGGCAACAGCACGAGCGCAACGAGCAGCCAACTCTGGTCATCGGACAGTTTGATATGCAAAGAATAACATTTCGGAAAGTCCTCCTTGTCTAACGCATAGGATTATTCCGCAGATCTTCCCTGCGATCGACGTGGTGCCGCCGCATGGCGCTCATGCCGGCCAGGCCGAGAAAGACGCGAGGCCAATACCTGCGGGACTATCAGGGCCAGCACCTCAATCTATATCATCATCAAACCCGGCTCCAGTCGCCCAGGGAGTCACCAAGCTGCGTAGCTGTGTCATATACCGTCGTCGAAAGATCCGGTGTGACAAGCTGTCACCGTGCACCAACTGCCGACTTGCTAACATTGCGTGCGTCGTACCCTCGGCAAACGACAAGCCCCCGCGCTGGGCTCACCGTCTGGAGCGCGACGGGGGAGCTGGACCCGTGCCCTCCAACGCCGGTGTAAACCAGGTCATGGAGAGGCTGCGCACCCTTGAGAGCCTGGTCGAGGAGCTCAACGGCCAGCTGGAACAGGCTCGCGCTTCTGCCAATAGAGGATACGAGGATGCCTCGTCGGCGAGTAACCAGGACTCATCAAAGCCCCAGCTGACCACAGGCATGCTGGAGTCATCATCATCGACGGCGGGGACATCACGCTTGGAAAAGCCGTTTGGAAGGATGATGCTCCAGGACAGTTCCCGTAGTCGCTACGTGAGCAACGGCTTCTGGTCCCGCATCAGCGACGAGGTGTGTTCAAGATGGGTCCTGGCATCAAGATTTCGGTTTTGCTGACGTGAGACCCCAAAGATTGATGGTTTGAAAATGGATGCTCGTGAGCTTGGTGGTAATGATTCCGACTCGTCCGATGATGAGGATTCCCCGGGCCAGACGTCATCCATCACCTACGAGTCTAGCCGGACGCCGTCTGAACGCCACGCATTACTCTTCGGCTTTAAATGTCTCCGGTACCATCAATTCTGACTTATCAGAGTTCCGGCCGCTACCATCACAGATTCCATTCCTTTTAGACGTCTTCTCGGAGAATGTGAATTACATGCTCCAGGCTGTCCATATGCCGAGTATCATGTCACTGTCTCGCAACATGCGCAATTCTGACACGGTAGCCTTGGACGCCGCTGATGAGGCCTTGATGTTCTCCATCTCCTATGCGGCCGTTACCTCTACGGAGGAGGACGACGTGAGTTATCACCATCAAATTTGCCAACGTATCCTGAAACCGCTGGCTGACCATCATTTCCAAGGTGCTCATCAACTTCGGCACCATCAAGGCAGAGCTTAACATGAAATTTCGGCTAGGGCTTGAGCACGGTCTGGCCAAAGCAGACTTTCTCAACATGCCTCAGCTGAAACTTGTTCAGGCTCTCAGTATATTCCTCTACGTCGCTCGCCGCCACGACAGCCCGCGCTTCATCTGGATGATGACGGGGCTTGCCATCAGAATGGCCCGGGCTATCGGCTTACACCGCGACGGGCCAAATTTCCCACACATGACCCCATTCGAGGCCGAAATGCGCCGGCGCGCGTGGTGTGTTCTGTGCACGCTCGATATTCGCACATCCAAAGATCAGGGCATGGAGCTCTCCATCGCGCATGGCAGTTTCGACACAAAACTACCCCTGGATGTCAACGAGGATGACTTGTTTCCCGAAATGACCCAGCTCCCACCTGAACGTGATGAAATCACAGACATGTCGGGGCCTCTCGGTATCCTCGAGCAATGTATACTCACGAGAAAGATGATGTCGCCCGAAGTCAGGGACAGTGCATCCCCCTTGCAGGAACAAGCTCGTCTTCTTGACAGCACGTACGAAAAGATGAGCAACCGGTTCCTCAAGTACGGCGGTAAGCCCAACATTATGCTATGGGTCGGCGTGACAGCCACTAGGCTCGTCGTGTCCAAGATGACGCTCTTTAACGACGAAAAGTCGTGCCGCCAGTGGCGCTGGGTCTACCAGTCGTACACGCACTGGAATGCCATTGTCTACCTGCTTCTCGAGATTTCCCGCCGTCCTTGGACCCTCATCGCTGAGCGCATGTGGATCTCTCTGCACAGCAAGTGGCTGATTCCAGCGGACCCCAACATGGATAAGGGATCCAGGATGTGGATACCGCTACGCAAGCTAATGGCCAAGGCCAGGAGGCACAGGGACGCCGAGGCTAAAGCGTTGGCGGCAAGACCCAGGCGCAGTCGCGCACCTCGAGGTTGCCGATGCAAGGATTCCCCCCCTTCCAGTCCTCTGCCTTTCCCCAGTGAGAACAGCGAGGAGCTCTTCCGCCAGCACTGGCACAGCCTCATAATCCCAGACGATGGAGACATATCTGTCAATTCACAGGAGCCGGACACGAAGTTCACCCGGGCTGACAGCTCTCATCTGTCGACGGATTACACTCCAGGCCTTGCTTCTCAGCAAGAGTCCGCGTCGCGCCAGTGGTCGGGCTCGCTCTCTCCATATCCGACGGAGCAGCAAGACCAGCCGCTTGGTCATGCCCATATTCCACTTACTGCGGATCTCCCAATAGGTATCACCCAGGGATCATCTCAGCTTCTGGCAGCACCACCAACTCTTGTCCCCGGCCCGACGGATTGGTCTGGAAGTGGCGATGGCAGACATTGGGACCGGGCTTCACGCCCTGGTTATGGGCTACTGATGACATGAGCCTGGATAAGCTCAACAATGCCGACTTCGCAATGGATATGGATCAAATATTGACTGGAACAGTTGGCTGGAGTCGACGGCAGGGATGGACAAGGGACCGGCTGGCGCACAGCAACAGGGCCCGCTGGAATACTAATCGAATGGATGATGCATGATACCCATCATAGATGGTTTAGACTATGTACTAGGGTTCATTTCCTGTGAATACTCACCTCCGGGTGTAAAGTCCTCGACGCTGCAAACATGCCACGGCCGGAGGAGGCCGTGAAGTTTGACCGTGGCCCCTATCGTCGGTGGCCTTAAGGATCAGTGTATGGCCATACTCTTTCAATAATTCGTAACATGGTCGCGTGGCCCAATGGCAAGGCGTCTGACTACGAATCAGAAGATTGTGGGTTCGATCCCCACCGTGACCTTTCTTTTTGCTCTGATCCCCTCAAGACAATATCGTTGCCTTCTTTTTTTCTTTTGCTCGAGCTTCTCTTGCTTCGTGGACTTCCCTACTACAGTAGTTCTTGGTGTTATCAACGAGAGGGATGAGAAATTATAAGGGATATTCATGAATATTCCGGCAACTCAACACAAATAGATGCATGCCATGCATGGATACTCCGATACAACATAATACTCCAAAGTCTACGTCTATCCCCCCCTTGCGTCGTCTGCTTTTTTTCTTGCTTTCTTTACTCATTCAACATCATCATAACTCATCCTTTGCAGGAACAGCCTTGACCTCTGGACGACCAGAATCCTTATGCAGGTCGACGCCCCTTTTTGCACGTTGCTTCTCCCAGAGGTTCCAAAACTCCTTCTCCATCCCTTTGTCCATCTGATCAGGGAGGACGACCTCATACGTGACGTAGAGGTTGCCAAACTCGTGCTTGTGGTAGACGCTGTCGCCGTCCTCGTGCCACTTGGGCATGCCTTCCCCGGGGATAGTATCGATGTGGCCGGGCTGGACGACCTGGCCACGCTTGCGGCCGAGACGCACGGCGTGCCGATCGAGGTGGGTGAGGTTGCGGGTCCAGTCTCCCATCCAAGCCTCGCGAAGAGACAGAACCTCTGTCCAGTATAGATCATCGCCCTTGCGGCGGAAGTACATTCCGTCGAGGCGGTCGGGGTTGTTGGCGGTCGAGGGAGCCTGCTCGGTCAGGTGGACGATGAGGTTGCCGGCGTCCCAGTCGGGGCTCTCGTCGGCTTCGCCGTCGAAAACGATGCGGCCGCCGTTGGCGACGCCCCTCTCCACCTTGACGTCGACCATTGTGGGCTTGCGCAGGACACGGTTACCCTGGCAGTGGGGACAGCGATGCTTGATCCTTTCGCCACGGCCACCGCACACATCGCAGGGGCGCGTCATCTGCTGGAACATTCCCGGTGCAAGCTGCTGCTTGATGACGCGCATGCCCTGCCCACCGCACACGTGGCACTTGTCGACCTGGCCATCGGCGCTACCCGAACCGTCGCAGTCGTCACACACGTGCTGCTTCTCCCACTCGAAGTGCACTTCGCCGCCGTTGTAGAAGTCGGCCAGGCTGATCTGCACGCGTACCTCCATGTCACGACCGCGGGGGCGCCCAGGGGACCCGCCACCGCGTCCGCCACCGCCAAAGAACCGGCTGAACAGGTCGAAAGGGTCATGGTGCCCGCCGCCGCCGCGGCCGTTGCGGTGCGACTCAACGCCCTGATGGCCGTAGCGGTCGTAGATCTTGCGCGTCTCGGCGTCGCCCAGAACATCGTACGCTTCAGACACTTCGACGAATTTTTCGTGCGCGCTCTTATCGTTACTGTGATAGAGGGCATCGTCAGTCTAGGTAAACACGGCGGATTGAGATGGGTCGGGCGCATTACGGGTTCTTGTCTGGGTGGAACTTTTTGGACAGCTGGCGGTACGCCGACTTTAATTGCCGTTCCGTGGCATCTTTTTGTACACCTAGAACCTGCAGGCAACAATGTCAGCCAAATATATCCCTCGACAGTGATCTCTATCTGGAGGGTGGAATGTTACCTTGTAGTAGTCTTGGGCGCAAAGGGCCAGCTGGACCAGTGCCAGCAACAGCACCAAAGCCACAACCCTCCCGTTGAAGAACATGGTGGTTCAGTAGCCAACAAGGAAGGGCCCTGGAAGTGGGCAGAGGCTCAAGAAAAGCACAGCGCGGGTATCCAAGGTATACTTCCCTCCGTATGTCGTCGGAATGCCTAAAAATACAAAGGTGCAAGTGTGGTGGTTTGGTTCAGAGAAGGGAAGAAGATCCAACGTGTTCGTTGATAACAGAGTTGAGGTGTGGATTAAAGACGTGGCCCCATAGGCACTAGACGAATCCCCGGTACAGGTGGTTTCAGGCACTTACAGGCACTTGCAGGCACCGGAGAGCGCTATCAGACCCTTCACATCGGGATCTTATCGATAAGAATCGATCAGACTCGAAGCGAGTAATGCTTAACGATTTTCTTTTGTTTTCGTCAACTACGTCAGTCACCGTAGCCATCGTCATCTTTACCAATCGATCAGCCTGGGGTCTCCTTCTTGTCTGTTGCAGGTCTCACGCAAATCTTGCTCCAGACTCATTCGGAGAGGGGGATAAAGTCGCCCACGATGAGCTCCAAAAAGTATGCCCTCCTCCCCATGGACGACGGGGAGGTCGGTCCTCAAAAGGTCGGCAAGGAGAAAAAGCACAGGTCGCGCCGCCACCGTGATCGCGATGAAAAGTTCTTGTCCAAATCTTCGATGTCGCGCCGTGACCGGAGTCGCAGTCGCTCGAATTCCCCGTCGCGACGATCATCTTCCCGTCGCCACCAACAGAGCAGCAGATCCAAAAGCTACAGGTCCCGACGCGACGCCGATGCCGACCTCGACGATCGGTGGGCCGACGAGCCCCCGTCTGATGGTGACTACGATAAGGGAGCTGCTTCACGGGAAGATGAGCCAGAATTCGAGGAATCGGCCAGTAAGCGCGTCAAGCTGAGCCGCGACGATGCGGAAAATAACAACGAAAATGAAGACGACGCCGATCTCTCTGACGAAGCCAAGGAAGAGCGCCAGAGGGAACGCGATCTCGAAGAACGAGATGCTTTCACTAAGAGGTTGAAAGAGAAGGATGATTCACGGTCCAAGAAAGACCGCGACGGGCCGTCCTCGTCGCGAAGACGACTGGCCGAGGACGCCGCCGCCCGGGAAGCTGCCATGCCTGATCTGCGAGAGCGATCTAGGCAGGAGTACCTCAAGAAGCGTGAGATGGAACGTCTAGCGCTTCTCCGGAAGCAGGTAGCCGAGGAGACGCAGGAGCTCCAGAGCGGCATGCGCCTGTCGGATAAGGAGAAGGCCGAGTTTGCCAAGAACCGCGAGATTCTACGCCTCGCTGAGGAGCGGCTGACGATCGACGACCATCGAGACGGTTACGTGATGCCCGAAGATTACATTACCGAGAAGGGCAAGATGGACCGCAAGAAGAAGGAAGAGGCGCTATACAAGCGGTACGTGGACCGTGACGAGTTTGGGCAGGAGAAGTTTGTCACGGAACACGAGGAATGGGAGCGGGAGCAGACGGCCAAGGCCAAGGCGCAGATTCAAAGCAACGAGAGGCAAAATGACAGCTATGACTATGTCATGGACGAGGCCCAGTACATCCAATGGAACCTCGACACGCGCATGGCTGGTGAGGGCAAGACCTTGACCAAGGAGCAGCGCTTCCTGGACGCCCAGATTGAGGCTGCCGAGAAGAAGGCCCTGTCCATCCAGGAAACGAGGAAGACGCTCCCCATCTATCAATACCGCGAAGAGTTCCTGGCCGCCCTGGAGCAGCACCAGGTCCTGGTCCTTGTTGGTGAGACGGGTAGCGGAAAGACGACGCAGCTGCCCCAGTACCTCCACGAGGCTGGATACACCAAGAACGGCATGAAGGTCGGATGTACCCAACCGCGACGAGTAGCTGCCATGAGTGTGGCTGCACGCGTGGCCGACGAGGTGGGCGTCAAGGTCGGTAACGAGGTCGGGTACTCGATTCGTTTCGAGGACAACACGTCAGACAAGACGGTTCTCAAGTACATGACGGACGGTATGCTTTTGCGAGAGTTCATGACAGAGCCCGATCTAGCAGGCTACTCGGCCATCATGATTGACGAGGCCCACGAACGGACGGTTCACACCGACATCTTGTTAGCGCTGGTCAAAGATTTGTCGCGTGAGAGGCCCGAACTCAAGCTTCTTATCTCGTCGGCTACAATGAATGCCGAGAAATTCGCCCAATACTTTGACGACGCGCCTATCTTCAACATTCCCGGTCGACGATACCCCGTCGATATCTACTACACGCCGGCTCCCGAAGCCAACTACCTGGCGGCTGCTATCACGACGACGTTCCAGATCCACACGACACAGGGCAAGGGAGACATCCTCATCTTCCTTACGGGACAAGACGAGATTGAGGCGGCGGAACTGGAGATTTCCGAGACGGCCAAGAAACTAGGCAGTCGGGTCAAGGAGCTCATCATATGCCCCATCTACGCCAATCTACCGTCAGAGCTGCAGTCCAAGATCTTTGAGCCGACGCCTGACGGCGCGCGCAAGGTGGTACTGGCCACCAACATTGCCGAGACGAGTCTGACGATTGATGGCATCGTATATGTTATCGATCCCGGCTACGTCAAAGAGAACGTCTACAATCCGCAGACGGGAATGTCCAACCTGGTAGTTGTGCCGTGCTCACGGGCGTCAGCCAACCAGCGCAGCGGTCGTGCCGGTCGTGTTGGTCCGGGCAAATGCTTTCGACTGTACACGAAATTTGCATACATGAACGAGATGGACGAGTCGACAATGCCCGAGATCCAACGGACCAACCTGAACTCGGTGGTGCTGCAGCTCAAATCGCTCGGCATCAATGACCTGCTCGACTTCGACTTCATGGACCCGCCACCGACGGAGGCGCTGATCGGAGCGCTGAACCAGCTGTTCGCACTGCAGGGTCTGAACCACAAGGGCGAGTTGACCAAGATGGGTCGGCAGATGGCCGAGTTTCCCACGGACCCGATGCTTGCCAAGGCAGTACTAGCAGCAGACAAGGAGGGGTGCGTGGACGAGGTGCTGTCTATTGTGTCGATGCTGGGCGAAGCCTCTGCACTCTTCTTCCGGCCCAAGGACAAAAAAATCCATGCCGACAGCGCGCGCAACCGGTTCACGGTGAAGGAGGGCGGCGACCATGTCACACTTCTCAACGTGTTCAACCAGTGGGTCGACAGCGACTTCTCGCCGGTGTGGGCACGGGAGAATTTCCTGCAGCAGCGGTCCCTGACAAGGGCACGCGATGTGCGCGACCAGCTGGCCAAGCTATGCGAAAGAGTGGAGGTGGCGCCTTCGTCGTGCGGCGCATCCAACCTGCGGGCCATCAAACGGGCCATCACGGCGGGCTTCTTCCCCAACGCGGCACGGTTGCAGAAGAGCGGTGACAGCTACCGCACCGTCAAGAACAACACGACGGTATGGATCCACCCCAGCAGCGTGCTCATGGCCGTGGACCCTCCCGAGAAGACGGTGGTGTACTTTGAGCTGGTGCAGACGACAAAGGAGTACATGCGCAGCGTCATGCCCATTGACGCCAGTTGGTTAGCGGAGCTGGCGCCGCACTTTCACAAGAAGAAGGATATCGAAGCCATGGAAGAGAAGAAGATGCCCAAACAGCGATAAGGCAGCGACATGTTAGTTATATAATTGTTTCATTACAAATTTTTTTATCGTGTGTATCCCCATCTCGTTCTCCCATTAAGACCAACGCATCGAAGCCGAGAACCGTTAAAAAGCCATGAGACGATCACATCAAGCCAGGAAACCATTATATCAGCCAAGGGAACAAAGATGATGCCCAAAGAGAAACTTTTTTCCATCCAATATTAAGTGACTATATGTTAAGTCTTCCTCGATGATATATATATATATACATGCTATGCGAAGAAGAAGAAGAGGAAGAGCAAAGGGGGCAGAAAAGAAAGACGAGGCCAGGTTAGACAAGAGCCTGGTACTCCATAGGGATTTCGGGCCAAGCGTCAACACCATCTTGGATGACAACCATCATACCGCCGACGAGGTGGTTGTCGATGTGGCAATGGAGCAGGAAGGCGCCAGGGTTGACGACGTGGTAGCGCACAGCCGTCCAGGCGAGGGTGGTGACGGCAGGCGGGCTGATGAAGGTATCCCTACGGGGCGGGTCGACGAGGTTGAAGAGGTCGGGCCTCTCCTTGACGGCCTCGTTGACCGAGGTCCAGTTGAAAGCGCCGTTTCCAGAGCCTATCTGGAACATCTTGTTGCTGTGCTTGTGAATGGGGTGGGAGGGCATGGGGGAGTAGTCTGCGAGGAAGACGAGGTCGACCCAGGTACCGTTCTTGGTGGAGATGGTGACGTTGTCGGACAGGCCGGGCTGGGGGTTGAACAGGGTGGGCAGGGCGTTGGCGTCCTCGATGTCGTCAGGCATGAAGCGAGTGCTGTTCATTGCCCACAGGTACGAGGCGCCGTCCGTCTTCATGTGAAGGATGAAGGTCTGGTCGGCCTCCTGGGCGATGGGCTCGGCCGGGAAGGGTCGGGCAATGGTCTGGTTGAAGAAGACGACGTCGTCGGACAGGGCCACGCCGACAATGTCAATGTACGGCTGGGAAGTGACATCGCTATCGCTGCTGCTGCTGTTACCTGCACCTCGACCCCAGCCACCGCCCTCGACAACGGACAGGATAGCGTTGCCGACAATCATCTGGGGGGCCGTTATGGCGTTGAAGCGCAGCTTGAAGTCGCCGGGCCTGGGGGTGTGGACGAGGATGGAGAAGCGGTCGCCGTTGGTGACGCTGAGGGCCTGGACTTTCTGGGGCTCGATGTAGGAGCCGTCCATGGCGTACACCCAAATGTCGTGCTCGTCGATGGAGAGGACACCGGTGATGAAGTTGACGGAGCCGATGACGTCGATGGCGATCCACTCGCCCGACTCGGAGTAGATGGTCTCGACGGATCCCTCAGTGGGCGTGCATCCGGCGAAGATCTCACTGGCCATCTCGGCCGGCTTGGCCTTCTCGCCGCCGCCCAGGTCGCCGATGGCGCCCATGACTTCGATGGGCAGGCAGGACTTGTCCGTCATCTCGGACCCGGGCACCAGGGCCAGGAAGGCCTGCTGGTCGGGCGTCAGGTGGGCCTTGACCTCTTCAGGGTCCAGGCAGTTGACGCTGCCGTGGCCGTTGAAGACGACGGAGTCGTAGCACGAGACCTCGATGCGCGACGCGGACGTCACCACGCCCTTGTACGTCTCGTTGTAATGCGAAAAGTCCGAGATGGCCAACGGGTACACGTTACGCTCGGCCTGCACGAGCTTCCGGAGTGTCTTCCTGTCCTTGGTGATTTTGCGGAACGGCTTCGGGTCGTCGGCTCGCGGGTGGATGACGATGGGGCCGTACAGACCGTCCTCGATCTGGCTCCTGAAGTGGGAGTGGTACCAGTAGCTGCCGTACTGCGTCGCTTCGAACCGATACTCGAACGACTTGGAGGGTTCGATAGGCCTCTGCGTCACACCGGGGACGCCGTCGGACCAGGGTGTTCCCAACATCTCGATGCCTTTTTTTTTGGGGGGGGAGTCAGCATATACACACCATGTCCATGTCTGGATATCTTCCCATCTTCTCCATCCTCTTCTCGGAAGAGAAAGAGATGGAGAGAAGGAGGTGGATAGAGGGAGAGGGAGGAAAGGAGGAGAGAGACTGACCGTGAAAGTGCGTCGTGACATTGTACGGCGACTCATTGTGCACGCGGACGAGGACACTGTCATCCTGATCGATCTCGAGAACGGGGCCAGGACTCTGGCCGTTGACGAGGAAGGCTTCCCTCGAGAAGCCATCGGGCGCAACATTTCCCCAGGTGACGAAGAGGTCAAACGTCCTGGGCTGGGCAGGGAGTTGAGGAGGATGGGAGAAGGCAGCAGCAGAGACGCCGGTCAGAAAGATGTTGAGCACGGAGCCCAAGACGGGCAGCCAAGCTGCAGATACCATGATGTTTTATTTTATGAGGGAGCAGATGACGAAACAAAACAAGGTGTCTCTCTCCTAACTCTCACTCACTCGCTCGCTCACTCACTCACTCACATACACACACACCAAGAGACAGAGTAGGGTTAGAAACAATAGGAGGGAAAGAAGGGAGGGGGGGGGGGGGGGGGGGGGGGGGGGGGGGGGGGGGGGGGGGGGGAGGAAGAAGAAGGATTGTAAGAATCCATAGGATTTATATAGCATATGTGTTTGTCTGATCCTTCGCGGCTCCAATGCGTCTCACATGTTTTACCGCGTGGCATTGTCTTTCCAAGACCGGAAAGGTGCTATTCCACATGTCGGGAGCAACCATGGTAAGCATCTTACTCTCCTTCCTGTACGAAGACATATCCTGACCATGGCTACGGGGATGATCCGGGGAGGAAAAAAATGGGCCGAGGAGTTGTCAGGCAGGATTGGAGAAGGAAGATGAGGGAAAACAGCTGGGGAGACATCACTAGGGGATGGAGTGCAGGCTGACATTGCGGCCCGGGAGGGTAGAAGGGGGCGGCGGGGAGGATCTGAGTACGATTCGGTAAGCAAGAGGAGAGGTGATGGATACAATGTTGTTACAAGGTTGTTGGTATGTAGCAGACAAGTCTCTGACGAAAATGCAGGGCAGCAGTAATTGAATTTCTTGGCGAGATGCGAGCAAAATGTTGCCTGCAAGCGGCCAAGACATTCAGAGCTCTTGAACTGTACGGATACATATTACTCTTAGTACGGCGAGATCTACAAGCTGCCAAGCTGAGGCTGGAAGAGACAGGGAGACTATTAATAATAATACTAACTATCCTAAGAGTGGAATGCGGGTCAGAGCCCAGACTAATAACACTTTTGGTTAAACTATTACTTGGTATCAATGCCCGTCCGTACACGAGAGTCCGTAAAGGATCAGAAGAACCAAGAGGGAGAGAGAGGATTAAAGCTAAGGAGTTGGGAAACACTTCTTTCTTCTTCTTCTTCCTTCTTCTACAAAGTGTTCCACGATAACGAGAGCGCTCGTAACTCGTAGGCGGTAAAAAATGCATGTCCTAGACTAGGATAGTTCAAGGCCCCTTTCAGCTTTTGTTGAGGATCTATTTCCTATTCAGGCAACATTCGGTCTCGTACTCGTAGAAAGAACTGAGCTGAGCCGGAGGGGGGGGAGTCTGACACCTACGGCCTGAGTGAGATTGACGATCCCTGTCCTTGCCAGAATGAGGCGGCGCCACGAGGTTCCCGTTATCCACCTTCTTCTATCTTGACCGCATTCAGGTCGTAATACTAGTTGCCAGGAGTTGAAGGTTAGACTAATGATGCTCGTCGTACAAGAGCCCCTCGTACAAGAGCCCCTCGTACTAGAGCAAGTGTCGAAGTAATCAACAAGTCAAACTAGTCGGTGAACTGATCAATAAGAATTCAGTAGCCATTACGGATAATGATGAGAATCTCTTGTATCAAGAGAGGAGAAATCTCTTCCCGCCCTCAAGAGTTTCGCACTAGCCTTTCTACTCCGCATTCTCCACAGATCACCTACCTGTACATGTCTGCATCTACTTCTACGAGTACGAGTGAGTACTCGCACACGCAAAGTATGGAGTGTTAAGTCTGCTCCATAGTTTCTTGTTAATAGCCAGTGATCTCACTCCGTTAAACTATCACTTCTGACTCCTCGCAGGATGACGGCGTGTAGCCACCATGTTCTTCGTAAGACGGGCATTCCACACAACCTCATGATGCTGCTTACTCCGCACCTCCTCATGCCCTGTATTACTACATGCAACTTCCGCTGTATATAGTAACAGAACCTCCCTACCATTCATGGACACTTGGTAATCATAACATCATGGCTTCTTGGGCCTCTTGGGCCTCTTGGGCCACCTTCTACGAGTCCAGCCAATGTCGACCATATATGCCAGTCCAAGCAACCTGAACAAATAATCATCCTCGTGTCATCGTACCTACTATCCTGTCATCACAGGCTACAAGCTATTACCAAACATCCTTGTCTCCATCTTCAGTCTAAGACTAGCATGGTCTTGGCATGGATGGCTACAGCTAATATAATTGTACCAAATCAGGCATCACGACATGTTATCTACACAGGTATTAGTATCGATATGTTCATTCCTTCATCTCTCTCTCTCTCTCTCTCTCTCTCTCTCTCTCTCTGCTTTCTCTTTTCTCCTGCCTTCTCTTCTTCTCAATTGACCGGTTCTTGAAAGGAGAGAAGAAAAGAAAATCTTTTTTTTTCATTGACCCATAGGAAAAGAAACTGTTGATACCCGGTGCCAAGTCATTGCCATTAGCATGTGTGTGAGTGTAGAAAAAACAGAAGGGAAAGGGGGAAAAAGTAATGTCTTCTATGTCTGTCGTATAGAGTCGTGTGATTTCATGCGAGTGTGAATGTGTGAGTGTGTGTGAGTGTGTGTGAGTGTGTGTGTGCGTGTGTATGTGTGTGCGTGTGTGTACGTGTCTCTTGTCTCTTGTGTGCTTCATATGTATGCATGTACCATGCTTCTCTTTGTCTCTGCTTCCTCCCCTCAACTCCATCGCATCTCACGTGGTCGTCTCTTACTAGCTGCATGTCCCACTCCTCCAGGTCTAGACGGATCATTCCTCTCTCGTGGCGTCGTACTCCCAACGTTACTGCTGCTCGTCGTCGGTCTGGACCCTGATGATGACGACGCCACCGACGGATGCTCCTTGTTGCTCATCCTCGTGTTACCCGCCGACGTGACCACAGGCGTCGTAGGCCTGGGCCTGGGAGACGTCGGCGTCGTCATCTCCCGCAGTACCGGACGGCTGCCCCGACTATGGAGGACCGGAGGGGTGGCCGATCTCGGCAGTCTGCTCTCTGCCGCCGCCGACGTCGCCGTGATGGCCGGGTTGACCCGTCTAGGCAGACCCGTGGGCCCGTCCCGGCTGCGGGGACGGTATATCGATCCTTCTCTCTCGAGCGCCGCCGTCGACCGTCGCGGGCTGGCCGACACGGCAGACTCGACGATGGGCCCGTTGGTCGCCAGGCTAGCCCTGCTCCTCCTGTGCGTCGGCGTCTGCGGTTGCGACGCCGACGGCGCGTGATGACGATGCGGGTGGTGGAATGCCGCAGGTGTGTAGCTCGTGTTTCTCCTAGACATCCGCCGCGACACCGACGTCGCCGGCCCCCCCGTCTGCTGATGCTGCAGTGACAGCGTCGACGACGACGACGACGACGCCGACGACGCCGACGAGGGGGCCGCCAGACCCGGTGACGATACCCCGTCGTGCAGCATCAGCATGGCCGAGTTGCCGCCGCCGATGTGCAGCCGAACCAGCTCGGAGGCCAGGTTGCGCACCAGCACCGCCGAGTCGGCCTCGGCGAGCACCTGGATCGACTCCATGAGCACGCGCACCTGCGCCGTGTTGAGCGTCTGGGACCCGTCGCCCCGGCCCAGCCCCGGCCCGGCTGCGTCCATGATGATGCGCACCAGCCGGAGCAGGTTCAGCCTGACGACGGCCTTCTTGTGGCCCAGCCTCTGCGCTATGCCGGCGAACATCTCCGGTCGGGCCAGCGACGCCGCGATCGACGGGCTCAGCCGCAGCAGCTTGAGCAGCGGCTCGAGCAGGTTCGAGTCGAACGCGTTGAGACGGTTCGTGCCGAAGCAGCCCACGATGGCGCGCGTAAAGTTTCCGTCCATCAGGTGCGACTCCACGTTGGCCGTCTCCTCCTGCAGCCAGATCAGGATGGCGTCGAGCGCCGTCACCTGCCAGTACTGGTCCGTCAGAAGCGACACGTAGAACGCCAGCCCGTTGTTCTGCCACAGGTACCGTCTGCCCTTGGATCCCGAGTGCGCCATGTCGCAGAGGATCGGCAGCGCAAACTCCTTGGGAGGGCGGTCCGTCTTGAGGGTCCGCAGCAGCAGCGGGATGATGCCGCCCACCGCCGCATCCTCCTGCCGCTCCTTGTTGAGCCGGCACAGGTTGAACAAGGTCGTGAGCACCTGGTTCGAGATCTCCCGGAAGTGCCTGGGACCCTTCTTCAGGCTGAAGCTGAGCAGGTCGATCAGGAACTCGATCGCGTCGGCCGAGTGCAGCACCTGCAACGTCGTCGACAGCATAGACAGGTTCTTGATGAACTTGAGCATCGTGATCTGGTGCATGGGCGTCATCCGTCGCAGGTCTTTGAGCACGCTCTTGAGCACCTGCCGGTCCGCCACCACCTCCTTGACGTAGTTCTCCGCCTGGCTGAAGAGGTAGAAGATGTTGACGATGCGGCCCTCTATCAGCTCGCCCAGCTCATCCTCGCCCTCCTCGTCCAGCACCCGGTGCAGCACCAGCGCCAGCGGGTACAGGATCTTGCTGCGCGAGAATATCCTGCAGAAGTCGTTCTTGGGCGTCGGGCCCTGCAGCTCAAACACGTTCCAGACGCCGTTGACCCCGATCAGCACCAGGTCCCGCGCGCTGTCGTAGTCCTCGTCCAGAAACTCCACCAGCACGTTCAGACCACCCGCCGACACAAACATCTGCAGTGTCAGCGTCGACGTCTGGTACATCTGCCGCACAAAGGCTGCCGCCTCCAATCGGATCTCGTTGGAGTATTGCCGTGCCGCGAATTTAGTAATGATGGGGATGCCACCGACGAAACACAGATTTTCCTGGATCTCGACGTCGTCCAGAATGATCTACGTCGTGTTAGTTCTGTACCTACATGTATGCTTGACGGATATCTGTGCTTGACAGGGGAGGGAAAAAGAAGAAGGGGAGGGGACGTACCGCGTTGACGACTTTGAGAAGCTGCAGAATCATAAACTGACTGCTCTTGACCGTGCACGGCTCCAGGATTTCTAGAATAGGCAGCAACCCATGAGCGCTCAGAATCATGTTCTTGGCCTCGTGATTCTCCCAGAGCAGGCCAAGCTATCATGCAAGCGTTAGCTTTCGGGGCATCGAACAGACAAAACGGAAGCGAGGGGTGTGGTGTGGTGTGGTCATTACCAGATCCTCAGACAGCTCCGAGAGCTCCTCCTCCCCCTCTGAGAACTTCAAATTCCTGACAAGCGACTCAACCTTCTCCGCCAGGCGAGCATGTCTGTCCCTGGCAATGTTCGCCTCGAGGTCCATCTCGTCCCAGCCGGGGTCCATGGATGCAAAGGGGTCGTCCTCGTCTCCGTCGTCGCCCAGCCACGAGTTGCTCGACATCTGGGACAGCATGAGCTTGCCGTCCTCGGATCCCAGCTCGCTCTCCTCCTTCTCCAGCCCCGTGCTGTCGGGCCCAAACACGTCGGAGAAGTCCTCGTCGTCGTCCTCGGCAAATTTCTGAATCTCGATCGACGACCGCGCCCGCTGCAGGGGCTTGTCCGGGAGCACCGACGGTCGGGGTGCCACCTTCTTCCGAAGACTGCCGCTGTCGGGCGCCTGCATGGACCGAGGTAGGCTCGTGAGGTCGGACGGGTGGAATAGACGGGGGGGGTCGACCTGTGACGGTTTCCCAAGGGTTAGCTACCAGCATGCTCTCTCATTCTTATTCCCAGCTGAGCGGCCACGTGGTGGATGCCTAACCTTTCTCGCGGCCTGGTTTGGCTTCTGGTCAAACACGCTGTCGTTGTCGATGAACAAGTCGGAAAAGTCCTCGATGCTCTGTTCGCGGTACACCACATCCGGGCGCGACGGGAGCTCAAACTTGCCAAAGGATGGCTTAGGCGGGGACCTGCCCTGGTGAGGTCCGCGATAGGGCTGATCGAGGCTCGACTTGGTGCGGCGGTGGGAGCGCGGCGAGGGCTCCATCAGCCTATCCGCCTGCCCCCGCGTCGGGCGTATCGTCTTCTCTTGGGAGTCGAAATCTCGGTAGAAGCTGGGGCCCCTGATGGTCATGAGCTCGCCCTCAAAAGAGTCATCGCAGCTGTTTCCGCCACCGTTCCTGTCCTCGTTGGCGTACGCAAACGACTTGAGCCTGTCGCTCGAGAGCAGGCCGCCAAAGTTGTCCTGGCCCTTGAGGTGGGGCAGCTGCAGCGCACTCGGGGAGATTGACGTGGCAAAGTCGTTGTCCCAGTTGTCGTCGTCGGCCATCTCCGGCACCATGAAGGCCTCGGCGCCGGGCTTGGGCTTTGCCAGGCTCAGCGGGCCCTTTGCAGGCGTGCCGCCCTGGTACCGCAATGCCGACGCTGCGCTCTCCGATCCCGACGAGGCGCGCAGGTTGGGCTCCGAGGACTCGAGCGCCTTGTTCCACTGCTTCACCTCCTCGACGGCCTGGGTAAAGTTGTCGGGCGCCTTGGAGACGGGGACATCGGCGCGGCGGCATCCGACGATCCAGGAATGCTTCAGGAGCTTACGGGCCGTGACTCGGAGGTTGGGGTCCTTCTGGAAGCACTGCATCAGGAAGTCTCTGGCGGCGGCGGAGATGCCCTCCGGGAGCGGCGGGTGGTCGTCGTTGACGATGGCAAACAAGGCGGGCATGGCAGCCAGGTTGTGGTACGGGGGCTTCCCCTGGAGGAGCTCAATGACGGTACATCCGACGCTCCAGATATCCGAGGCCGAGCTGGCGCCGGACAGCTGGATGATCTCGGGGGCCATCCAGTAAGGCGTGCCGACCACCTGAGCTTCCTTATCCTGGCCGCTAGCCAGCGTGCTCGTGGAGACGCCAAAGTCGGCCAGCTTGACGGTTCCATCCTTGGTGGTGAGGATGTTGGCACCCTTTATATCGCGGTGAATGACACCCTGATCGTGGAGGTACTGGAGACCGTGAAGGACCTGAGTCATGTAGACGCCTACCAAGTTCTCGGGGAACTTGCCGTAGGCCTTGCATATCGAATGTAGGGAGCCATTTTCGCAATACCTAAGTCTCCCGTGTCAGCCGCCATTCCCTTCTCTCGTCCTCGTCCTCGTCCTCCTCTCTCTCTCTCTCTCTCTCTCTCTCTCTCTCTCTCTCTGCCATCGTTTCGTCGTCGTTCGATCCGGGAGGGGCAGGCAGGCAGCGTACTCTAGAATGATGTTCAGACACTCGGTGGTCTTGACAAAGCCAATGTACTTGACAATGTTGGCATGCTAGTTGGTAGAAAGGGTCAGTCTCATTGTCAGATATCTGAATGAGTGTGTGTGTATGTGTGTGTGTCTAAGTGTCACTTACCAAGAGGTTCTTCAAAAGATCAATTTCACTCTGTTTGTTGTTGCTGTTAGCCGCCCGTCTTCTCGGCCGCCACGCGTACTTTGTACTGTCCAACGCACCTCGATCATGCGCAGCTCGCTCTTGGGGAGATCGCCCAGACGAATCTGCTTCACGGCAACAGCCTCGCCCGTCCCCCAATTGAAAGCCTTGTAGACAGCGCCGAACGCGCCTTTGCCTATGCACTCCCCCAGACGCTGAGGGATGGTGGCACAAAAGTCAGTCCAGATGGCACGACACAGACGCGGGGGACACAAAAACAGCAAAGGCTCACGTAGTCCTTCAATCCTGGATCCTGCACGGCCAGGGACTCTCTACTCTTATCCTTGCGCGACGGCGTGCTGTCGACCCTCTCCCTCGAGGCCACGACCCGGCCATTGCGCTGCCCTTGTAGCGGTCGTTCTGGCATACTCACGCTCTCCTCCCCCACCTCTGGTACCGCGGGCGCGACGACGGCGCCGTGTCGTCTTCCTTGACCGTCGTGGCCCCTCTTGGGGCTCTACCTCTGCAGGTGAGAGGAGAAGAAGGAGTGGAGTCGTCGTTGTTGGCTATCGATCGAGTATCGTCGTCGTCGGAGCCGAGGAGTCGAAGTCGAGGGTGCGGGCGGCGACGGTCGTCGGGAGGGAAGAGCTGTCATTGCCCGGCAGACAGATCCTACGCTTTTTGTGTGTTTTGAGAGAGAGCAGGGAATAGTCGAATGTTGGGCAGAGAGAGCTTGAATATCCCAGGCCTGGAATTCTTTCCCGTCCCTCTCCTTCTTGTTGACGTCGTGCGTGGTTTGGGCGGTAGAGAGAGGATAGAGAGAGAGGGAGGGAGGGAGAGAGTAGAGAGGACGAGTACAGTATGGATCTGTTTCTGGAGGGGCCGCCGGTTTGGGTACGTCGACAACAGCATTGAGCTAAAATAGCACCAGAAAAAAGACACCGACGGGTGTATGCAGGCACGAAAAAAAAAAAAAAATACACAGCAGAGTACAAAATAAATTGAGCAGAAATCCTGCTTAATTAAACGGTAAGAGTCGAAGCGAATAGCGGGATACAAACTTGCTGTGAATACTAATAAGAGCAGGTATGAATCTCATCTCATGTATGCACGATGGAAAAAGAAACGAGTGAAACCATCTTCAGGGCGTTGACTTGTTCTCCCTTGGTGCCTGATGATGTATTCATGTCGCCGCCGAGGAATAACCTGTACCAGACATGATAACACATTCTCAGCACCGTCCCTCCGGTCGTCTCTCCTCATCCTGGCCTTCTGGCATAGGATTGTTAGACACGACAGATGAATTGGTCTCGTCTCTACACCACCTGAATACGATAATGGTAGCTCCCACCGCTATTGCTGCTACTACTACTACTACTTACTGCTACTATTTAATGCTACTGCTACTGCTACTACTGCTACTGTGCTACTGTTACGAATATCACCGGCTCACCGCAGTCGGCTTCACCCTCATGACACTGACCAGTTCCGTTTCCGCGTAGTACGAGTCACACGGCCGATAAGACTTCCTGTTTGATGAAGATACTTTCAAGTAGTATTCATGCTTATATCGAACAAGATGAGAAGAAAAAGACACACAAGTCACCTTTCCCTAGATGACAAAATTCCATTACCTAAACGCCAAACGCTCCAATCCACGAGGACGATATCCTCTACCGATCCATGACAACATAATACCCACCATCCCCCC